TACTCCATATAGGCTTTGTTTAACTGCGCAGCTAGAATCAAACTGGACGTGTGAGTCCTCTGTTTGGGGAGTAGAGGACATTAATCTGTCCAAACACCGTGATGGAAAAAAAATATTTGAACAGTTTCTGTTTAGATATCGTCATTCCTTCAAGATAAGGGGAATTGTTAAATATTCTGCTGCTGCTACAGAAACTCTTTGTTATTCAGAGAGTAAATACTTCCATGGAAACCAGTTCTTTAAATATCAACACAGACCCTATAAACCCAGAATAAATCAGCAGACTGGTCCTCGGTGAGCACAGAGCCTTAGCTGCTGAATGAGAGGATATGCCTTTAATAATGTAGCACACTAGCCTTCAAATACCACAGGATTATCACTGTGGGTGTTTTTTTTTAAAGTGTCTCATTCATTCTAAAATTAAACAGCCTGCCATGCTGTTTTCTCATTGGCGTAAGATAACATAAAGCCAGATGTGTTTTTCAAACCTGACCTCTGACCCTGATTTCTAGGTTACACAGACCCCAGATCCCTGTATTTCAACTCTGGAAGTACATTTTCTCAAACTGATCTGCGTTCAAATCCAGAATTAAGCATAAATTAATAAATCTGACAAGATGTACACATTCACATTGGTGACTAAACTACTTGATAAAAAACATTAGTCACTCTTTGCATCAGCAGTTGATTCAGGTGTATAAGGTGAGTTCAAGAGATGCCATGCTCTGGTTATTTGACTATATCTGAATCCAAATACTGCAAGTGAGAAGGTTCTGGTATTTTTACCCCACTGAGCATTTTTTGGTCTAAAAGAGGTCTAATAGACGTCTAAATGTAGCCCAGACGACTGGTCTAAAATCAGGCTACCACAGGTCTAAAAATGAACGTTTTTAGACGTCTAAATTTAGACCAAGCTCAGATAAAGTCCAAAATCGGCTATCATAATTATTTTAGTTAAGTACTTGGAGATCAGTTATGCAACTAACAGTTGCTTTTTGAAATAAATAGTTATCAAATAATGGCTAAAAGTGCAACGTCTAGATTCCGTCTAAAAATATACAGAATCTAGACGGTTGAAATTAGGTCTAAAGAAAAAACTAGACATCTAATAGCCGTCTATTGCTCAGTGGGAACATTTTCATCTTCTTTTTGTTGAGCAGAAAGAGTTGATTTGTATTGCTGTCCTTTTTCCTAACTGTTAGTTTATACCAGTTTGTTTAATACCAAAGCATCTTCAAGTTTATTGCAGTTCAGAGTGACACTTTTCTGTCGTTCCTAAATCTGGTTGTCTGGTACAATTATACTGTCCTGCTCCAGAGAGTGTTTTTACATGGACTTGAGTATCCCAGTTTTGATTTGGACAGAGTACCCTGCTTGTGTATGCAAACATAGCCTGGTTTCAAAAACTAGGATGCAAGCATATATCATGCCCACAGGGATACGAATAACCAGGTTTCTCAGAGTGGGTAAGGATCATAACCAGGAAAGTAAAAACCATGGAAACACACTCACTGGCTGCTGTGTGGGTATCAGTGCATCGAGTTCACTGCTGGAGTTTTTAATTCTCTTTTATCTGCGAAGTTGATGCAGATCTTTGCTGCAATCTGCCTCTGAACCTCCAGAATCTGTGCATACATTTACATTCCATACATCGAATGACCCACTAACATCACACAGCTCACGCAGCATGCAGTTTACAGCTGTGAAGGTCAGTCATGCATCGCTCCGCCTCAGGGATCCATCTCTGCGTCTGAAACGTCAATGACAATCCCGTGAAAGTTTCCTGCTTCATTTATTCATTTAATTACCGACGGTTAAAGCAGAAGAGAAGCGCAACATTATAAATAGTGTTTTTGTTGTGCAACAACATCACAGAGCTTGTGTCACATTAGTGCTCGCCCTGCAGGAAACCAGTCTGGAAGTTAATTAACCGAATTTTACCTCCGGAACAGAAATAAAAACAACAGAGCGAACAGTAAAATAATGATTCATCCTTCAGCTCTCTGCTTGACCTTTGGCGGTGAAGGCTAAGTGCTGCGCTGGAGTTTAGTTTCACTGTGGCCTGTTTTAGATCCACCAATCACAATTAACTGTGTCAGCAGCTGCAGCTGGTTGCCATGCAGAAGATGTGTCTGCATCTCTGAGTCCCGGGGAAATATCAGAGCAAGACTGGCAGAGCTGCATGGAGTCAATGAATTAATAAAATGATGCATACTGAGGTGGTCTGTGGTGTCTGTGGAAGTTATTTAATGCACCGTAACTTTTTGACACCAATTTCTCTAAAACACCCAATAAAACAGAGAAAAATCTGCACCGAGCTGCAACCAGGATACAAGTTGTTATTGTGCATGATGAGTTAACTTTGTGGGTGTCGGCTGGTCTGATCTCTGTGGATTTAACACTCAGAGGTCAGCAGGGTTAAACACTGTGAAATAACTCTTATCTCTGTTTTAAACCCTGTGTTTAAAGGCGGGGCAGGCAGGATTCTGTAAATATTCAAAAATTAAAATGTGTGAATTCAAGAACTGTAATCTCCAGGTTTGTCAAGGCTGGGAGAGCAGCAGCAAAGACCCTGGATCTGGCTTCTTGGACCTCCTTCTCTTTTCATGTGTGAGTGTGGAAGTCTTGGGCAGGCTGAGCACACCTCCTATCCGTTACATGTGCAGCACTTGAGTCCTAACAAGTTGACTTTAGCTCAGAGAATAAATAATCATCATGAGATGTCCCAGCTCTAATCTGATCCACCTTCAGATGTCTAATCTCTTCTCTGTATCCTAAATCCTGAGCAAAGACACCCTGCAGAGAAAGCTGACTCCATCTGCTTTGATATGTGATCTTGTTCTTTGAGTCACGACCACAGCAGAGATCTCAAACGTGGTCTGGATCTATGTTCAGGCTCTGTGGTTAGTGATGTTTGACTCATATTTTCAGAAACAACTGACCCCCCCATCCTCTGTGTATCAAATATATTAAGTGCAGCTGTGAGATTCTGAGTCTCCAGCCTGGAGCAGCTGCAGCAGACAGGTCAATGAGGGGTTAAACGTGGCGTGCTGCAGACTAAGCCGTGTTGACATGAAGACGACCACGCTTTGATGCTGGTCGGCCGATCAAAGAGGAGCAGGATTTTCATCTAATCAGTCCACGCGGAATCAGAGTCATGTGACCCAACAGCAGCCTGTGAGGGTCATGTGATCTCTCTGACCAATAAATGAACTAATCTGGACGATGAACAGGGTCAAAACCCAAAAGAGGAAACTCAGCAGATGGCTGCAACTTTTCGTTTTCTGTCCGCAAATATTTATCCCCGATAGAATCTGATTAGGGATCAAACTGAGGCAGACAGAGAGTATTACAGTTTTTAAGATGATTCTGTTTATTATGAGCGCAAATGTTTCTGCTCATAATAAACAGATTATCTTTAATTCTTCATTTGCTGATGGCTTCATGTTGCTAAACAAACAGAAAAACAATCAGCTGATCCTCGTCTCAGTCATAGAGAACAACTTTCAAATAATGAGGGTGGGCTTTTAGAGTTTATTATACCCGGATGATTTAACTTAAGCACCTAAGCTCAAAACTCAGGTGAGTTTTTCCCATAGATTGAATATAGAATGGACAGCGTCTGCCTCTTCGCTGGGTGAAGCCACTCTGAGAACAGCACCCTCTGTTGACAGGCTGCAGTATAGGTCATAAATCCCGCCTCTGCCAGCAAAGCTTATGGAGTTGTGGACAAACTTTAGAAATTTATTACACAGAATCTATTTTTTTTTCCCCCTCTGCTTGCAATGTTGACATGAAGTAACTGTAAGACTGGTTTGTGCTCAAGTCATGACAAACTGAGTTAGAAGCACATAAAGAACACTTGATCCAACCCAAAAACCCTCGAAATTTACTTTGCGTGACTCCGCCCCCGTGTAGTAATGTCCTCTTTTTGAGGATTCAAAACATGGTCACCCTATATGAAAGCTTTTTCTATTTATACGTCAATACTGACAGAGATTAGAAATATAGAAGAAAAATTCCAAGTTAAGTTTTTTAAAAAGTCAAAGGAAAAGTCCACAAAAGTTTAGGTAAGGGAGAACCAGGTTGCAGAAAAAGGTCCATGTAAAGTTGGTGTTCCAAAGTCCATTGGAAAAAAGTCCAAAGAATTAGACCATGAAAAATCAGGGTGAGGACAGCAAAAAAGTCTATGTACATTTAAAGTGGACTGAAATTGTATTTGTAAGTGTTCACACATGCAGCAGAATCTGAGATTTCTGGAAGTTTTTAGAATTTTCTGTACGTGTGAATGCTGCCCTACATTTGCAGAAAACATTAAAAAAGAAAAAGAAAGTCAAGAAAAATAAATCCTTTAACGTCAACAGAAGAAAACCATAAACAGATTAGTTTTATTTCATTCTTCCCAACGTGATGGACTGGTTTTATTTAGCGTGGTGAACCAAGGAGATTAATCTGCTGGATTAGACAGACCCCCTGCTGTGTATCAGAGTCTCTATCTCCCTGTAGGAGTTTATTTCCATCTTAATGAACCACTCGCTGTATAATATCTCAAACTTAATACCATTCAGCTCTTTATACTTGAGTTTGGCTGCTAAATTTAGAATAAAACTCTCAGGGGGAGAAAATCCCTTTCTGCTCTGCAGGACGTCTTCCTGAAAGCATCAAAATAAAAGAAAGTTTCTGCTTCAGAGCCGCAGAAATTCTTGATCAGAGTTATTCCAAATTGTCTTTTGAGACTCTTAGTTTGGTGACTGAATAACAGATAAATATCATGCTTATATCAGCTGAGAGAAAGTGATTTTTATAAGAGTGTCTTTTCACTCAAACGTCCTCCGTTAATCCATAAATCTCTCCCCGCTGTACTCCTCTCTGTTTTTGATGTAGACTTCACTGACCTGGATGAATCGGCCTGTTTGAGGAGATTTGAAGGCTGAGTGGACTCAAACCCAAGTGGAGCCTCAGTCTTTGTCTGGACCTGAGAGCAATTCAGCTTCAGTGATTTAGAAGCTTTGATCACTGAGACCGAGACGGATCAGCGAAGGAGACACGTCAAGTCCACATCCATCAGCGTCTGTCCTCACAGTCAGCAGAGACTCTCTGAGCTGATTCAGGATCAGATTGGTGACCGTCACAGAAGTCAGGTAATGTTCGCTGACCTTGGCCGAGCAGATAGACGGAGAAGCAAAGTTACCTGTGTAGCTTCTCCAAAATTTGCAACAAGTCCTCCGATCCATTACGACCTAATGGGTCGTTTTTTCATGCACTGAAATACGACCCAATGGCGCGTTTACAAAAGGAGAAATATAAATGGTAAATATGACTCTTACCGATCACTAAATTCAGTTTTAACACCATTTTAGACTAGAACATTGTCGTTTAAATGTAAAATGTGCTGTTACTTTATCTCAAGAGGACTGATTTACAAATTTAGATCCCCGTTTCTCAGATCGGTACATCGCCTCTACAGGTGTCACCCAGCTGTCGCGCTAAATGAAACAATAAAAAGATCGAAACATAAGAGCAGCCAATGTGTTATACCTTCGCCACTCTGTCTTTAGTTGTAATGACATCTGTGTGCATGCAATCACGATAAAACACATTATTTAATCCCATTTGCCGCAGTGTTTTGGACGTGCCATAACAATGCGTGACATGTGTACTTATAACAGTCATTTCTTGCTACCCAATCGAAAATTGTACGCACAAGTAACGGCACATTTTAAATTTAAACATCTATGTCCTCGTCTAAAATGGTGATCCGTAAGAGTGTGGTACCTCAGTCGGCCAGCAGTCGGCACTCGTTAGTAAGCGCTCCATTGGGTCGTATTTTAGTGCATGAAAAAACAACCCGTTAGGTCATAATGAAAATTTGCCAAAACTAGAACCTTCCAAACTTCCTCAGCCGCTTGTATTTGTGATTTTGCTACTTATGGATGGATAAATTCATGTCTCTGTGGAGGGAATCCCCTCCTGCACACTCTCATCAGACCCAGAGAGAAGCAGGTACCTGTCATCATATCACTTGTCTTTGTGCTCCTGCAGCTCTGAAGGATGTTAACTCGGTCTGACCTGGATTCACTGAGGAGGATCCTCCTGACACCTCCTCCTCTGACAGTCTGAGAGTGTGAGAGTGTCACAGCTCACATGCAGGCATCACAATCGCTGTGGATAATTGGATTATTTCTGTTTGAAGACAGACGAGTTCAAAGAGGAAGGTGGGCGTTCAAAGATGGCAGCCTGAAGGTGTTGAGGATGAAAAAGAAAACCCGCAGAAAACCAAACTGTAAGAGGTTAAATCTACGGGGTGAGAGACTGAGTGAGGTCAGCAGGTCAGAGGGAGGGCCAGACATTCTTATTTCACTTGCTAACACGCTAACATGTGCTTAGCGTGAGCCTCCCGCTGAGACAATGTGCCGGTGAAGAAGACACTTCCTGGAACGAGGAACAATTCTATTTGGCTCACTTTGCTTTTTATCGTTTGCAGCCGGCCGACCAATCAGACGATCCGCTCGCTGTGGAGTCACAGAAACATCCATCCAGTCGCCTCTCGACTCGACCGCTTGTTGCCAGGGTTGTTTGTGCCCTGCAGGGTGGAGGTGGAAGTGGAGCAGAAAATGTTAGCGGTGAATAGACGGGGAGTAAATCTGCCACCTGAGAGCGGAAAACATCTCAGAGAGACGCTCAGTTTGTTGTCGAGGAGACATGAGAGGGGGTGGGGTCAGTGGAGTTCAACAGGAACCAGCAGGTTCATAAAACGGAGAGAAGTAGAAGAAGTGATCCATGAAGAGGGACACTTTTTTCTACAGATGGTTACATGGGTTACTGTGTTAGTTAAAAAAAAACTGGATCTCCAGTTGTTTGATTTAAAGTTGAGAAAAAAGTCAATTTCAATGTACAGATAAAAACATATCAAAACTTAATAAAAAAAATCAGCTTATTTTTAATTTGATGGTTTTAAAAAGTTGTTAGAGGGATGACTAAATGGTTAAAATAGGGTGACCATATTCTGACTTCCCAAAAAGAGGACATGACTACGCAAGGGCGGAGTCACGGAATTGCACAAAGTTAATTTTGATAGTTTTTTGGGTCGGATCGAGTGTCTTTTATACGCTTCTCACTCAGTATGTCCATGTGACACAAATGTGAAACTTACGTACAAAACCGTGGACATTTGAAGGATTTTATAAACTTCCCCGGACAAACACGGATAGCCTGAACAGCCCCCAGAAGGAGGACATTCTTGGGTAAAAGAGGACGTATGGTTACCCTAAAAAGTTGTGTAGTGCTGAAAGCTCCTAGCTCCCATTTCTTGGCTCTGTAGTAGAAGAGTCCTACTCCTAAACTGGTCCACCACCAGATAACTGAGGAGCTAAAGGCAAACGATGAGAAACACGACCTTATAACAACTTTTAGGAACATGTTGCTGGCATCAAATTTAAAATGAGCAGTTTTATCATAAGACGAAAACATTTTTCAGTTTCAATGTTTGATATTTTGTCTGTGCACCATTTCAATCAGATATAGTCTGATAATCAATTGCAAACCATCAAATTCTAATGTAATTAACACTGTCACAACTTTTTTTGGAGTTAAGAGTTACAAAAGTACGGTTGACTGCTATGAAAAAATAAATGTTCAGAAATTCCAACAAAGCATGAACAATAGAGAATATGAATGAATGAATGAATGAGTGAAAATGTGGAATAAAGCCTGCACTTCTGTCTGTTAGACCTTATACATACAGCGATCCTTTTAATTTTCAGTTGAGAAAATTTATGTCTTATCACCAAGAGAGATAAATCAAGCGCTCCCTCTTAGAAGAAACTCCCCTCTCAGGTGTGAGTAATCTACCTCTAACCAGAGGTGATAAATTCTGCTTTTCGTCTTTGCTCCGTTCAGCATGGCCACCTCTCTGGCCACATCAGAGACCAGTTTGAATCTAAGCGTATTAATGAGTTTCAGGGCCTGTTGTGACCTCTGACCTCCAGGTTCACTCAGGGATACTGAGCTTCCTGTAAAGCAGCAGGAGAGTCTTTTAATTGGAGTTCCCTGCTGGTTTTAATGTTCCGGACACTTTCACACTCGGAGGATTAACCTGGTCTCAGAGAGCAGAGCAGAGGGGGCATGCTCATTTGATTTCAGCTCAAACACGATGGTCCCTGGAAAATAAGAGGTGGACCAAAACGTAGAAAAAGGTTTACATATACAAAGGTGTGTGGATGTGTTTACACCAAAGTTAAAGCCCTTATAAGGAGTTTCCAACTGTTTTTAAATGACTTCCAAAAGCAAACAACAAGATCCACAATCTACAAATTGTCATCTTGAGAGCCTTTAACAACAGAGGAGACTTTGTCAGAAAACACCAGTTTCAGATGTGCACAGAAATAGTTCACAATAATAACAACAATCAGGAAGGATCATTTTCTGTCACCAAAGTAGAACTAGTTCTAGTAAATCATCCTGAAGGTATTAATGGGCGCTGTCTGCTGTGGCGGCTCACTAAACCAGGTGTTCACTCCTCCAGGTAAGTGCCTCTCAGCAGCATAAACAGTTAGTCTGTGTTCGTCTTTGACCTTTAACTCATTCATCACTGTGTTCGAAGCCCCCCAGCACATGCACACATAAGACTTATTTGTTCTTGTTACGTAAAGTCTTATTTTTTGTTCTCTGAGACATGTGTCCACATGTTCAGAGTTTTTTAAACAGTTTTGACCAAATGCCTTTTTGTAATATTATTGTAGCTCATGCATAGTTTGGGCTCATACTTCAGGAGGAGGATGTACCATAGATGGTCCACACAGAAGTCTAAAATGATTGGTCAAACACTTCAACCTCACAGAGAAATGTTTTTCATGTTAACTCAGCTTCATGATTTTGTGCCATTTTTTTTTTTTTACAGAATATTTTGGGGGCTGAGCTTCTGAAAATGTGCATGAGTGGAAAAAGGACGACAGTGTTGCCCTATTTTATGCATCCAAGCCTGTCAATATCATGATAGCAACCATGTGACAGGCTGTTTTTGTCATCCCATCAGGGTTCTCATTGGTTTAAAGAAAAAGCTCCTGGGGGTGAGAAAACCTCTGACATAAGACCTGATCAGAGTGCAGACCCCCTCTGAAAGCCCTTTAGTATGTTTTGTGTATAAATAAAGAGCATAAATTTATTATTTTCTCAAAAGTCCATCAGGAAATGTAGAAAACATCCAAACAAAGGTGTTGAAGGATTCTGGATCTGTGGTCCATTTGTTTTCTTTTGCTCTTTGCAGAGGGAGACTCAAGGTCAGAGACGGCGTCCCTCAGAGGAACGTCAGCTCTCATTGAGGGTGAGGAGCTGTGTGTGTTAGTGTGTGTTAATACGTGTGTGTTAGTGTGTGTATGTGTGTAGACTCCCCTCCGGCATGAATAAAACAGGCTGATATTCAGTTGAACCGTCAGTCTGACACGTTGTCCCTCCCCCTCGTTTCTGAGGTTCAAACGTGTTCGGTCGTGTTGATGAAACCCGAGGTGAGGACACGGCTGAGAAATAACACAGTGTATGTGTTCGTCAGTCATAAAGACAATTTTCTCTCTGTTTTTATTCCTTTAATTGCTGGTTTTTGTAGCTTTAGACTGAATTAAAATATATCTCTCTTTTGCTCATGGAGGGAGTTTCTACTGTAGTGTAATCATAATAATCTCACAGACAGCAGGAGACCAAATCTACTTGTGTGTTCACTTTAGCTAATTTTTAACTTTATGAATTATTTTTTATTTTATTTTTGTCCTTTATGTCCCTCAAACACCATTGAGTGTTTCTGTACCATCACGTGTGTCTGTCTGCTCTTGTTTTTCTCGTATTTTGTATGTTTTTAAAGTTAATCTGTTTTAATCCAAACTGAAAGCTGCTGCAGAGCCGATGTTACACACACCTAAAAGAATGTCTGACACACAGGTGTGCAATCTGTGGTTTTTGGTTTTTGTGGAACCTGAATAGAGGGAATAGATCTGCATCCAGATGGTAGCACATGGTGATGACATAGATGACCCATGAGTCTTTGCTGCATGGCGTCTGTTTGTCTGTCATGTTTCATCATCTGCAGCAGATGAAGATGGAAATTTCCCTCGAACTCTGACTGCTGATTTAAAAAAACTAAAGTGTAAAATGAGGAATTTTAACTGATATTTCTGGATTTTTTTATTTTTTATTTTCATGTAACTTAAAATTCAGTTGCAAACTATTCTGTTTCATTAAGATTCAGCTTTTTCCCCATGCATCCTCCATGTTTCTTAACTTTATTAATGTGCTTATGTGGAGAGATACAGATGTTTTCCATTATGACATTTGTCTGAATTAGTTTCAGTAAAGCACAAAGGTTAATTTTCTGACTGTGAAGTTATCCTGTCTACTTTATTCCTCCCTGAACTCAAAAATAATCTGAGTTATAGAAGTCAACTTTCAGTCAGTGAACTAAAACAGTTTAAACATGAATAAATGAGTAAGCACAGCTACTATCTTTGATTTGAAGGTGAAGATGCATCCTGAAGCTATGGCAACTTATTTTTTTTTTAATACATATATGTGATACATTTTGCAGAAATCCTTGAACCCTTGCAGCAATCAATAAACCAAGTGCTGACTTTGGAGCCTGAGGGTCTCAGGCCTCTCATAAAACTAGTAATTTCTGCATACTTGCATGTGTGTTCGACACCTATGTAGTTATTCTTGTTAAGAGAAGTCCCAAAATTCAGGAAGCTTTTTGCTAAAGAATGTCAGGAAGATAAATGGTTTATATTCCCTCCATTCTGCAGAAATCTACATGATTTCTCAGGAGTTGCATGAAGAAACTTGGTTCAATGTGGTCTTTTTTGACCTCTGAAAGTAAAGTTTTACTCTGGTCTGATCTAGACTCTGACAGTAAAGTTTGATTCTGGTCTGATCTAGACTCTGACAGTAAAGTTTGATTCTGGTCTGGATCTGTGGATTTCAACAGCAGAGGGAAGTTGGTTTCAGCAGGCGTCACACAGGCAGACGGAAGAATTCACAGCAGATCCAGACATGTTGAGTTAAACACACACCACTGTGGTTTGTGTGTGTCTCTGTGTGTGTGTGTGTGTGTGTGTGTGTGTGTGTGTGTGTGTGTTAGTCTACAGTGTGTGTGTACAGTATGTTTTCACTCTGCACTAGGTCTGCTGGATCTTGGTTTGATTGATGTGTTTTCCAGGTTTCATTCAAACATAAAATCATGAATGAGTTCAGCAGCTTTAGGCACAGAGCTGTGAGTGTGTCTGACACACTCTGTTTTAGACTCATGTGGTTGTTAAGTTGAGTATTTTTTAAACTCTGAGGTGATCATGTCACTCAGTGTTTGTAATCTCTGAAACTCTCTGCTCAGATCAAATATCTGTGAAGCTTTGAAGAGAAAAATGAACATAAAAAATGTACGTGTTAGGATGTTGTTGTCTTTTTTATATGTTAAAACAATGTTTTGCTTTTTAAGGGAAGCTCACGTTGCCTCTTCATAACTTTTGATGGAAAAAGGCACTGTTATCATGAAACAATGTCTGATCAAATGCACTTTAAAGTCAGAGCGATTAAAATCAGTATTCATTTTTAATCACTTTTAGCTTGATTCTAAATTAGTACAGCTGACATGAATCTTGCACAAAATTATCAGAAACAGGCTGTAACAGTTGAAGTGCGAGTACAAAAGTTTTTTTATGTCAGAAGTTAAGTTTCTCTTTGCATTTTTCAGGAAGCTCTTGTTTTTTTGCATCCAAACATCTCATTAAACTAGATTTAACTCAAACAAACTTCACTTAAGAATCGCTAAAATTAACGTTTTGTATGTACTTAATTACATAATGGCAATTCTGAAGCTTGAGGGCAGGGTATCTACCACACTAAATTATTTCTATTTCAGCACATAAAGTGACTAACTGTTTTATAAGCTTACAAATCTTATAACTGTCTATCTGATATCCAATAAAACTGCTCAGGTATCATGATTCATGTTTATTTCTCTCTGACGTCTTCCTAAAAGCTCATGTCTTCAAACAGAAAACTGTGCTGCTCTCCTCAAACTTGTCCAAACTTGAGGTAATTGTACTGTGTGTGTGTGTGTTGATAACAAACGTGAACATGTTCAGTTTAGTTTGCACGTGCAGCAGAGCTCAAAAGGAGAAACAGAGACCTCTAGTGGTGACAGGGAAACTGTAGACACTCTTATGATGGTTCACAACAGATAAAACACAAGATACTCATTTTAAAAAGCTAGATTTCTCTCTCTGAGCAACAACATTATAGATAAACAACATTGATGTTTCAACATTAAATTTGTTTTGATTGCTCTATATTCAACTAAATATTTACTTTAAGGGATTTTCAAGCAATCAAAATTAATTTTTAAATAAACTTCATTTATTGTGCCAACTATTTAGGAGTTGGATTGCACTTTGAGCTGTTTATTTGTGTTAATTTACCTGCTTCACTTTTATCAGCTGCAGGACACTACCAGAAAAAAACTCATCTGTCTCAGTGGGGCTTCCCTTCAAGGATGAATAAAATGTCAATGGCTCCATCTAGAGGCAATTCTGCAGAGTGTTTCATTATGAACTGAGACAATTTATTGATCATGCATACAGAATCAATGCATACAGAATCGTTTTCACTGATGCACAAAAAGACAGAAAGGAAAATATGGTGTAGAGGTCCTGCTTAACCTCTTGTTTTTTTATTCTTTGCATAACCATCTCTTCAGTGTATTTTAGGAACATATATTAACACTATTTATACCCTGTTAAAAGTTTTCTTGATAGTTAATTTTAATAGTTTTGTTTTGCACAAGTATAGGACAGATGGGCAGGAAATTGGCATGCCTCTGCAGGTAATGGTCCGACTTCACAGTGGGTCATTAACGAGCCCTTCATGAACCCATCTGTGGGTGTGTATCAGGGTCATAAACAAGTGTAATGATGTACAATAATGCTGTCATTCTGTCAGGGTAGGTGTGAAATTACCTTATTTAACTGAAGAAAAATTGTAGCAACAAAATACATTGTCAGACAAAAGCACATCATCGGGGCACCAAAACCTTGATGAAAACATCAGGTGACAACAGAAGACTGTCAGTGTGATTAACTGTTACTGAATCTATCATCATACATTTGACCGTAACATTAGTCTGAATTTCATGATGTCATTTGTTATGTTTTTAATGTGTGATTTGCATTTGTAAAATTGCTTTAATAAGACAAAACTCAAACATGCCCGCTTGCACTTCAGTATGACCTAAAGATTTAACTAGAAACTTCATTTATTTTGTTTGCCAGCAGTTATTGACACAATGTGAGTGGTTGGGAAAAAATATCTACTGCGGAAAAATGTGAACAGTGAGGTTTTTCTTCAAATCTAAAAACCTCTAACTTTAAGCTGAAGCTAAGCGTCACCATCTGTATTGAGAGTGTCAGGCTCCTGCTGCTGATATTGCAAATAAAACAGTCGTTGCATTTCCTATTTGTCTTTTTCAATATCAGCCTTTTGGGAAGAGTGTCTCAATAGATTTGACAAGTGCAGAGATATCTGAAGCTCAGGAATGAAAAGCTCTGCACATTTAGAGAACAGCACAGTTTGGAACAGACATTTTAGAGGGGAAAAATAAAAAATCATTTCAAGTAAAGCAGGTCTTGAACTAATGGTCAGTTTGTGCTTTAAGATAGCACAGCACCATAACTGCAAACATTCAGGTGTCAAGCACGTAATTTACATTATCTGCAAATAGAGAAATAAATGCCATGTACAAAATCTTATAAGGTGCAGCTTGACAGATAAATGGTTAAAACATCAACAGATAGCTTTGAAAAGCATGCCATGATTAAACTAATACACCTGTCTCTTTAAAAAGAAAGTACCTATTCTGTGATTTCATACAAAAGTATCATCAATGTTGCAGCCAAGGCCAATGCAAAAGTCTGAAAACAAGGACAGCCTTATTATGGTTTGATTTTGCCTTTTTAAAGAGACACAAAACATTGAGTGAAATCAGCAAGGATAGATTTTGTCATACTGTGTGAGAATCATCCGTCTAATATGCAATCAAATGAAACCCTAACATAAGGATTGTAGAAAGGAAAATCACATCTATGTGGATTTTCGGAAATTAAGTAAAAACTCTCTACATCATGTTTGCCTCACAGGAGCCCGGCTGCAGGATCTGAAGAGTCACAACGAGTTTAAGCGCTTTTCTAAACCATGGATAAAACAAGGCGTAAATCAGAGGGTTCAGACAGGAGTTAAAATAGAAGAGAAAGACCACAAATGATGAGAATGAATCACTGAGCACACTGTCTACTGCGAGAGACAAGCTGTAATATGGACAAAAACAGACCAAAAACACAATGACGAGAACACCAAGAGTCCTGGCTGCTTTGAGCTCAGATTTTGTTGCAGATAGAGGGAATGAGAGCTGGACTCTTACAGCTGTAACATGACAACGCATGGCTCGAGCCTGAGACACAGCCACGACAAACACTCTCATGTACAGAACAATGATGGCAGAAATGGGGGCAATGAAGGTTAAAACAAGATCAACAGTTCCCTGAATAAAGTCCAAAAACATCACACACTCCCCATAGCAGGAATTCTGCCTGCCTGGTTGATTTAAGTCTTCTTTTAGGAAGACACTGGTGTAAAACACCGAGCAAAGCCAGCACAGACAAACACAGAATTTAACTCTTCTCTCTGTGACTCTGCTGCTATAATGCAGAGGGTAACAGATAGCAACATAACGGTCCACAGATATGAGAACCATGTCTCCTACTGAAGCAGAAGTAATGATGAAGGACACATAACTATACAAGGAGCACATGATGTCCCCAAAAAACCAGCAGGAGGTATTCAAGAGGATTTCAACCGGCATTAGCAGGAGGCCCACGAGCAAGTCTGAGACGGCCAGAGAGAGGAGGAGGATGTTGGTGGGAGTGTGGAGCTGCCTGAAGAGCAAGAGAAAGTCTCATTATAACGACAAAGTCCACATTACAAAGACCGCTAGGATAGATCATTTTACATCTCAAGGATTCTTCTAAAACATCACAAAAACATTAACAATTTCAACCAACGAATGAAACACAAGTCTGTGCCTGAAGTGAGAGACCGAGATGATGACAAGCAGGTTAAGAGCCACTGTGAGCAGAGAGATGGAGGACAGCATGACATGAAGAAAAAGGCTTTCAGGCCAGGTGGAGGTGGGCTTCCTGCAGGAGGAGTTGAGGAGTTGTGGGAAGCAGAGCTCGGCTTCTCCCTCGACCTCCATCCTCTGCAGAGACCTGCAGCTCTGACAGCTTTCTAGAAAAATCTGAATGATATAACAAATTCTGCTCTCCTCAACTCCTCCCCTGTTCCTCAGCGTCTGTTCAACTATGATGCCCCTCCTTTTACTGAATGGTCATCATCGCCATCACTTTGTCTGCAGCACTGCCTCTTTTACTGCACCTTTGATGGAAATATTCCCTCTTTTTCTTCGTACTGTTTTGTCCCACCTATATTTCACTGTTCTATCTTTCAAAATATAGCTCAAACAAAGTACTAGGAGTGACCTGAACTTAGTGGCAGCAAAACATGGCTTTCCACAGTGATGGCAAATCCTACAACTGACAGTCTTGGTGGAATATATTGGGACACCAAAGATGTTTCCATTTCACACTACTGTAACCTATTTTTGTTGTAGCAGCTCTGAGTGGAGCTAAGGCAGATACGGTTCATTACACAGGATGTGCCGAGGTTTATTGTGAGGGAATAACGGAAGTAGTGTTGTTGTTACCAGGTGTGAATTGACGTGTGTGGGTGCGGGGGGGGGGGAGTAATTGAAAGAGTGGACGCTGCTGTCAACACTAAAAACTGCCGCTTGTATTCTTATTTACTCGGTGACATTGGTGGCAGCGGTGGGATTTTCTCCACTTGAATAACAGGGGCAAAAGTTCGCCGACGTGTAGCTAAGTAGCTAGCTACCGCTAGCACGTTTAGCTTAGCTGCTTAAGTGTAATTGACCTATTGCTAAGCCCCACCCCCTTAGTTACTATTGCTAACAAACAACCGGAGCTGACCAATGCTTCAAAATGGCAGCTGCCGGTGTCAAACACTATCTTAAGAGGGTTTCGACAAATTCTTGGCACAGAAACACCTGATTACTTCGTGAAGAGACTTCATCAAGCCATGGAGGGATATGTCCAGAATTCAAAATAAGATGTGGTGAGTGAAAACACAGCTAAATTAAACAGCTAGTGTGCTAACCTGGGCTAACATTAGCGTTAGCTAGTCTACCAGAGGCGAGAGTTCTACATCGCTAATGACGATCAAATAACTGTCTGTAAAGTTGGTAAATTTAAAGCCATGTTGGTGTAACTTACCTTAGAACAAACGTTCATCCTTGTTGATCTTTTGGACGTTAAGTTGGCTGTGTGGTCTGCCAGATAGTAGACATTTACTTCGGTCTTCCTTTGGTTTTGGAAATGGAATGAAATACACCCATTGCCCATCCTGTCGGGATAACTTGCGTCGGTATCACATCTACCCCACGCACATCTTTTGAGCATGTTTCTTTCTGTTATATTAAAATTAACGCCATAAAACAGATGAAAAATCATGACTTCTAATGCTTCTAAATTGAGCTGAAAAGCTACAGATATCCGAGTTCCGGTCCCGGTAAAACTGATACTAAACTGCCATTGGCTCATCTGCGTTCGAGGGACGGGGCTTAGCGATAGGTAAATTAGCACAACTTGTAAGCCATGTCGTCGGACCCATAGATATATATAAGAACGGCTAGATGACTCGAAGTGGAGTCACCGGCGCCCCAACACGGAGGCCATCTTTCTCCAGTATATCATTCTGGTATGCTCTATGGTAGCTGACAGGACGTGAGTAACCTGCATGATCAAGAATACTCTCTAAAATCTTGACAGATTTACAAATGGTTTTGTTTATTACAGACCTCAATAACGTGGCTATGAGTCAGGATGCTTGGACATATTGAAATGGCAGCTATTCTAGGAGAAAAAAAAAGACTTAATCATGAAGCACAGTTGTTTCACGGCTATTCGTGCGCAAGGGCTAACTTTTGAGTCGCTTTAAGACAGACCACAATGGAGATTTTAATTTATTGTATGACAGTCTATTTATTTATTTATTTATTTAGTCTATGTGACAGACAAAATAAATAACTTGGCTAACAGACTTGCTGTGAGTGAGAACAAGTACGTATTACAAAGTTGACCCAGCAATTTTACATCAGTTGGAGAGGCAGAAATGCTCTTTTGATTCAACATAACTTTAGTTGCACATGATTTCCAAGCTGTTTGGTTTGTTAAAAACATGAGGCAGAAGTTTATATTGAAAATAAATTTTCTATATATGTTATTGCTATATGTTATTATAGTTATCCCTATAATAGAAATATTACGAGTATAACATACAAGGAATGATTTAAATGTTTTATATAAATGATTAAATATAACTGCCTTGTGTGTGTAGGCCTATAGCTATTGCTCTACCTATCTGCTTAATATTTACTTGTGAAAATCCATCCTTTCATCCTTTCTTTGTGTGATGAGGTTTTCTTTTCCGTCTGGCTTCCTAGCCATGCATCCATGCTGATAAACTTCAGGCTCAAGCCCAGCGTGCAAACACTGTGGCATTTGCAAAATGCTCAGGCCAGCTTCAGTTTGATTTTGCGGTATTGATAAATCCACAGCCGCATTATGCAGGTATGGAAGTCTGGATATGAGAAGTCTGATTCAGTGTATTTTCAGTCGGACCAACGTGTTTACGTGATTTTTAAAAGTCCAGTTTTAGTCAGACTAAGGCATTAAATCTATTTTTTTGAAGAACGTGTAAATGCACTGAGTGAGTAGGAGAGAAGTTTTTCTACTCTTGGAGAGGCAATACTAAATTTCCTGTACAATATCAGTAGCATTCTAATTCACTATTGTTGCATCTTTATTTGGTCCTTATAGTTTTGGTTGTAGAAACCTCAACAGTGTTCAGTATAATGAATCTAAGGAAAACTGGAAGCATGAAACTCAACTTTTACCTTTTTTTTTCTTGAAGCATGTGCAGGCAAGAGATGATTTTAATGTTAAGTTTAAATTTACAAGGCCTTAAATGAACCCAAACAATTTTTTCAAGGTCATTTGATCAATTAAAAAAACACTTTTAGTTTGAGTCTTTATGATTAGTTTGAAAAAATATCTTTATTTTTATCACAAGGTGTTCAGCCCAACATCATGTCAACACAACTGTTAAACATTTTATAATCGGGTTTGACTACTTGATTCCCCTTTAAAGCCTGTGGTTTCAATAGGAATCAGTTTCTTTTTTTTTTCTTTTTTTACAGTTGATTGTATCAGAAAGTACAGAATATTTAATATAAAACAGATCTACATTTGTATCCTAAACAGAAAGATGCCAAAAGGGAGAGAGAGAGAAGCCGTATCACAGCACATTCTTGTATAGATTCACATTTAAGGTTTATGTTGTTATATCAAAACAGGTATTGATCTCTGAGCATTTTATTAGGGTTGCAAAGTATATGATTGTGGTATGCATATGACAGCTTTATGTGCTTGAACAACACTGCAAAGTAATTCATATTTTAGTGATTAGGACACTGACCAAATCACCTTATTTTTTATGGCAAGTTAGACATCAGGTTGTCTTACATGTTCACTGCATGCTTTGCATAACTGAGTCACTGATTTTGGGAGTGGGCTTGGTGGGTTCATGTTTCTGGTGACTTTAATTTCAACATCAGTCTGAAGCAGGGTCTGAAAGTGGGGTAGTTTATGCAAAATGAGATGAAAATAACCCTGAGTCTAATATTTTAGAAGTGTGTGACAGATGTGCACAGTGGCAAATATGAGGGGAGACATGTTTTCCTGAACAGGCCCGGCAGCGTTTAATTTCATGGTTTAAAAAGTATGCTTTCCTGTGGTTAAAACATCTCTATATGATGATCTTTTACATTTCTTTCATTCTCTTATTGTTTAATCATGAAGCATTTTTATGACAAATGTTTTGAGGCTCATATTTAGTTCAAAATGACTAATTCACACATTTCCAGTTTTTCCTCTCTCTAGGTTAACCCATCTTTCCAACCACATTTCTGTGATACAAGGCCACATCAGCAGGTAACAGATTTGAAACAGATGTGAACTACATATATGAGCAAAGCCACACATAGAAGTTTATGATGCAATCTTCCAGAAATCCATGAAGAAAAACATGATTTGGTTTCCATAGTTTGAAGTGAGTTTTGCTCGCGGAGGTTTGCTTTGAATTCAAGATGCAGTCGCTCCACGTCTTATTTACATCATGTTTGCCTCACAGGAGCCTGGCTGCAGGATCTGAAGAGTCACAATGAGTTTAAGTGCTTTTCTAAACCAGGAATAAAACAAGGCATAAATCACAGGGTTCAGACAGGAGTTAAAATAGAAGAGAAAGATAAAAATGGACAAAATGTATGTTTGAGGCAGGAAGTCAGTGGTCAGAGACAAACAGTAATATGGACAGAAACATATCAGAAACACAACAACAAGAACACCGAGAGTCCTGGCTGCTTTTAGCTCAGATTTCTTTGCAGTGACACCCACTGAAAGCTGGACTCTTACACCTGTAACATGAGAGCGCATGGCTCGAGCCTGAGACACAGCCACCACAAACACTTGCATATACAGAACAAAGATGGTAGTTATGGGGGCAATAAAGGATAAAACAAGATCAATAGTTCCTTTGATTACATCCAAAAAAAGCAAACATTCACCAAAGCAGGAATTGTGCCTGCCTGGTTGAATAAGATCATCCTTTAAAATCAGACCATTGTACAAAACCGAGCAGAGCCAGCACAGACAAACACAAAGCCTGACTCTTCTCACCGTGACCCTGCTGCTGTAATGTAGAGGGTCACAGATAGCAACATAACGGTCCACAGATATAAGAACCATGTCTCCTATTGAAGTAGACGTAATGAGCATCATGATATAGATGCTCCAAGAACACATCCAGTCACCATAAGTCCAGCAAGTTGTTAGTCTCAAGATTTCTATTGGCATCATTAGGAGGCCCACGAGAAAGTCTGAGATAGCCAGAGAGAGCAGGAGGATGTTGGTGGGAGTGTGGAGCTGCCTGGAGAGGAAAAGAAAGTCTCATCAAAAAAACAAACAAGTTTAAAAAAACTGATGCAGATTATCACTGTGAGATCTACAGAGACCAAAAATTAGTTTACACAAGTTAAAACACAGAATGACCTCCAGTTATCAGCATACACTCTACAGAATAAATGTTTGAGTATGAAATGAAATGACTCTGTGTAAACTCTCATGACATTAAGAAATGGTTTAGAGGTTAGTCTGTGCCTGAAATGAGAGACTGAGATGATGACAAGCAAGTTTAGAGCCACAGTGAGCACAGAGATGCACGACAGCAAAACATAAATGATAAACGATCCAGAAGTAGAATGTGAGGGCGTCATGCATGAGATGTTGGGAAGGTGTGGAAAACAGAGCTCCACTCGGTCCCCAACCTCCATCTCCTGCAGACCTCTGCAGCTTCAGCAGCTTTATGTATAAGTTTATTCACCCCTCTTACGTCCCTCCTCTTTTGCTCTGGACAACACACCAACATCTGTATCACTTCCTGACACCCCCTTTCCCACCATGGTTTCATTGTGTACTCTGTCTTTTTTAATTTGTTTTATGTTTATTAGGCCCAGTAGGAGTGATTGTATTACAGTAGAGCTGACCAGTCTGAAGAAAACTGTTGCCTAGCTTCAACCCCACTTCAGAAATACTAAAATATCCTTTTGAGACTAAACAAAATTCATTCAACAAAGCAATCATCAAAACTAATGACAGCCGTGAACTTGATGTTTGGAGGAAACCAAAAAAGTAAAAAGTGACTTTTCTCCTTCTCACTCTAAAGAACCCTTAAAAAAGAAGTATCTGTAGTCAAAAATGTTTGATATATTTAACATACAAGATTAAGAAACTAAATCTTAAGGGAATTTAAATGACTAAAAGTAACAAACACAAAGTACCGCCTCATAAACAAAAATGTGAAGGTAAGACAAAGGGCCTGATCGTGCACCTAGTGCAAAGTGTTTCTGGTGCAAAGGTGGCATGCTACTATCTAAAGAGCTTGGAAAGCACAGTTACAGCTAGATTAAGTGATTAAACTGGACTTCTTGTCCTGGTTTACATTAACCTGGTGAAAATCAAGTTATTGACAGAAGCACGTCAGCCCTTGCTGTAGAAACCTCAACAGTGTTCAGTATGGTGAAATCTAAGGAAACCTGGAGTTAGGGCTGGGCGATGAACCGAAAATTTACTGATACAGAAATTTACGACAATAACCAACGTCCTTTTGCCCATGTCAATATATTGAGTGTCAAAAATAAATAAATAAAAGTTGGTTTTGGATGTGTGTAGGTAGGCTTTGGTCTCATGTCCCTTTTAAGGTACTGTCCTACGTCTTGACTCCACCCCATCTAGTCCGTAACAAAGAGGGAAAGACAGGTGAGGAGATGGAGGACGGTTCAAAAGTTGTAGCAGCTGGAGCGGTGGCTGAAGTAGACAAAGTTAATGTGGGAAGGGGTGAGTGGCTTGTGGAGTAGTTATCGTCAATTTATCGTTATTGAGGTGAACCGCTCAATATATCGTTATCTTGATTTGAGGCCATATTGCCCAGCCCTACCTGGAGTCGTGAAACTTCAATTTTTTCCCTTTTTTTCTGTGAAGTTTACATTTACAAGGCCTTAAATCAACCCCAAAAAATTTTCAAGGTCATTTGATCAATAAAAAACACTTATAGTTTGAGTCTCGATGATTCATTGAATAAAATATCTTTATTATTTTTACAAGATGTTCAGCATCTTTTCCAAACAAGATTTAAACATTTTTGAATCAGGTTCGCCTTTTTGATTACCCTTTAAAGCCTGTGATTTCAGAAGAAATCACTCTTTTTTTATTAAGCTCGACCCAATGATGAGAACAGGCTCAGGTTACAAAGTGAGAAGTGATTGTTGACTGGTATTACACTTTGATTAACCTCCTTTAATCTCTGCAGGGAGAGAGATTTTCAGGAAGAAAGATATATGTTATTATATCAAAACAGCTACTGATATCTGATCATTTTAATTTTTATGACATTTTTGTGATATAAAGCCACATCAGCAGGGAACAGAACTGAAACTGATGTGAACTACATATATAAGCAAAGCCACACACAGAAGTTTATAATGCAATAGAAACCCATAGACTATGTACACTAATTCATTCATTCTTCAAAATCCATGAAGAAAAACATGATTTGGTTTCCATAGTTTGAAGTGAGTTTTGCTTGCGGAGGTTTGCTTTGAATTCAAGATGCAGTCACTCCACGTCTTATTTACATCATGTTTGCCTCACAGGAGCCTGGCTGCAGGATCTGAAGAGTCACAATGAGTTTAAGTGCTTTTCTAAACCAGGAATAAAACAAGGCATAAATCACAGGGTTCAGACAGGAGTTAAAATAGAAGAGAAAGATAAAAATGGACAAAAAATATGTGTGAGGCAGGGAGTCAGTGGTCAGAGACAAACAGTAATATGGACAGAAACATATCAGAAACACAACAACAAGAACCCCGAGAGTCCTGGCTGCTTTTAGCTCAGATTTCTTTACAGTGACACCCACTGAGAGCTGGACTCTTACACCTGTAACATGAGAGCGCATGGCTCGAGCCTGAGACACAGCCACCACAAACACTCGCATATACAGAACAAAGATGGTAGTTATGGGGGCAATAAAGGATAAAACAAGATCAATAGTTCCTTTGATTACATCCAAAAAAAGCAAACATTCACCAAAGCAGGAATTGTGCCTGCCTGGTTGAATAAGATCATCCTTTAAAATCAGACCGGTGTACAAAACCGAGCAGAGCCAGCACAGACAAACACAAAGCCTGACTCTTCTCGCCGTGACCCTGCTGCTGTAATGTAGAGGGTCACAGATAGCAACATAACGGTCCACAGATATAAGAACCATGTCTCCTATTGAAGCAGAAGTAATGACTAATTGCCAATAATTGCTCACAGAACATATGAAGTCACCAAAAGTCCAGCAAGTTGTTAGTCTCAAGATTTCAAGTGGCATCATTAGGAGGCCCACGAGAAAGTCTGAGATAGCCAGAGAGAGCAGGAGGATGTTGGTGGGAGTGTGGAGCTGCCTGGAGAGGAAAAGAAAGTCTCATCAAAAAACAAACAAACAAATTTTAAAAAACTGATGCAGATTATCACTGTGAGATCTACAGAGACAGAAAATTAGTATACACAAGTACATACATGGTACATATGTTTGAGTTTGAAATGAAATGACTTTGTGTAAACTCTCATGACATTAAGAAATGGTTTAGAGGTTAGTCTGTGCCTGAAATGAGAGACTGAGATGATGACAAGCAAGTTTAGAGCCGCAGTGAGCACAGAGATGCACGACAGCAAAACATAAATGATAAACGATCCAGAAGTAGAATGTGAGGGCGTCATGCATGAGATGTTGGGAAGGTGTGGAAAACAGAGCTCCACTCGGTCCCCAACCTCCATCTCCTGCAGACCTCTGCAGCTTCAGCAGCTTTATGTATAAGTTTATTCACCCCTCTTACGTCCCTCCTCTTTTGCTCTGGACAACACACCAACATCTGTATCACTTCCTGACACCCCCTTTCCCACCATGGTTTCATTGTGTACTCTGTCTTTTTTAATTTGTTTTATGTTTATTAGGCCCAGTAGGAGTGATTGTATTACAGTAGAGTTGACCAGTCTGAAGAAAACTGTTGCCTAGCTTCAACCCCACTTCAGAAATACTAAAATATCCTTTTGAGACTAAACAAAATTCATTCAACAAAGCAATCATCAAAACTAATGACAGCCGTGAACTTGATGTTTGGAGGAGACCAAAAAGTAAAAAGTGACTTTTCTCCTTCTCACTCTAAAGAACCCTTAAAAAAGAAGTATCTGTAGTCAAAAATGTTTGATATATTTAACATACAAGATTAAGAAACTAAATCTTAAGGGAATTTAAATGACTAAAAGTAACAAACACAAAGTACCGCCTCATAAACAAAAATGTGAAGGTAAGACAAAGGGCCTGATCGTGCACCTAGTGCAAAGTGTTTCTGGTGCAAAGGTGGCATGCTACTATCTAAAGAGCTTGGAAAGCACAGTTACAGCTAGATTAAGTGATTAAACTGGACTTCTTGTCCTGGTTTATATTCACCTGGCAAAAATCAAGTTATTGACAGAAGCACGTCAGCCCTTGCTGTAGAAACCTCAACAGTGTTCAGTATGGTGAAATCTAAGGAAACCTGGAGTTAGGGCTGGGCGATGAACCGAAAATTTACTGACACAGAAATTTACAACAATAACCAACGTCCTTTTGCCCATGTCAATATATTAAGTGTCAAAAATAAGTAAATAAAAGTTGTTTTTGGATGTGTGTAGGTAGGCTATGGTCTCATGTCCCTTTAAGGCACTGTCCTATGTCAGAGACGTGACTCCACCCCATCTAGTCCGTAGCAAAGAGGGAAAGACAGGTGAGGAGATGGAGGACGGTTCAAAAGTTGTAGCAGCTGGAGCGGTGGCTGAAGTAGACAAAGTTAATGTGGGAGAGGGTGAGCAGTTTGTGGAGTAGTTATCGTCCAATCATCACCATGAGGTGATCTGCTCAATATATCGTGATCTTGATTTGAGGCCATATTGCCCAGCCCTACATGGAGTCGTGAAACTTCAATTTTTTCCCTTTTTTTCTTGAAGCATGTAATGGCAAGAGCTGATTTTAACGTGAAGTTTACATTTACAAGGCCTTAAATCAACCCCAAAAAATTTTCAAGGTCATTTGATCAATAAAAAACACTTATAGTTTAAGTCTCGATGATTCATTGAATAAAATATCTTTATTATTTTTACAAGATGTTCAGCATCTTTTCCAAACAAGATTTAAACATTTTTGAATCAGGTTCGCCTTTTTGATTACCCTTTGAAGCCTGTGATTTCAGAAGAAATCACTCTTTTTTTTATTGTCTATTGTATATACTTACAAAAAGCAGATCTACAGTTAACAAAAAGCAAGAGAGAAAAAGAGAGAGAGAGAGAGGGAGCAGAGGTGGTCAGGAGTGATGAAACAGAAAACAAGATGTTGTTTGGTATAAGCTCGACCCAATGATGAGAACAGGCTCAGTTTACAAAGTGAAAAATGATTGTTGACTGGTATTACACTTTGATTAACCTCCTTTAATCTCTGCAGGGAGAGAGATTTTCAGGAAGAAAGATATATGTTATTATATCAAAACAGCTACTGATATCTGATCATTTTAATTTTTATAACATTTCTGTGACATAAAGCCACATCAGCAGGTAACAGAACTGAAACTGATGTGAACTACATATATAAGCAAAGCCACACACAGAAGTTTATAATGCAATAGAAACCCATAGACTATGTACACTAATTCATTCATTCTTCAAAATCCATGAAGAAAAACATGATTTGGTTTCCATAGTTTGAAGTGAGTTTTGCTCGCGGAGGTTTGCTTTGAATTCAAGATGCAGTCACTCCACGTCTTATTTACATCATGTTTGCCTCACAGGAGCCTGGCTGCAGGATCTGAAGAGTCACAATGAGTTTAAGTGCTTTTCTAAACCAGGAATAAAACAAGGCATAAATCACAGGGTTCAGGCAGGAGTTAAAATAGAAGAGAAAGATAAAAAAGGACCAAAAATATGTTTGAGGCAGGGAGTCAGTGGTCAGAGACAAACAGTAATATGGACAGAAACATATCAGAAACACAACAACAAGAACACCGAGAGTCCTGGCTGCTTTTAGCTCAGATTTCTTTACAGTGACACCCACTGAGAGCTGGACTCTTACACCTGTAACATGAGAGCGCATGGCTCGAGCCTGAGACACAGCCACCACAAACACTTGCATATACAGAACAAAGATGGTAGTTATGGGGGCAATAAAGGATAAAACAAGATCAATAGTTCCTTTGATTACATCCAAAAAAAGCAAACATTCACCAAAGCAGGAATTGTGCCTGCCTGGTTGAATAAGATCATCCTTTAAAATCAGACCGGTGTACAAAACCGAGCAGAGCCAGCACAGACAAACACAAAGCCTGACTCTTCTCGCCGTGACCCTGCTGCTGTAATGTAGAGGGTCACAGATAGCAACATAACGGTCCACACATATAAGAACCATGTCTCCTATTGAAGTAGAAGTAATGACTAATTGCCAATAATTGCTCACAGAACATATGAAGTCACCAAAAGTCCAGCAAGTTGTTAGTCTCAAGATTTCAAGTGGCATTATTAGGAGGCCCACGAGAAAGTCTGAGATAGCCAGAGAGAGCAGGAGGATGTTGGTGGGAGTGTGGAGCTGCCTGGAGAGGAAAAGAAAGTCTCATCAAAAAACAAACAAACAAATTTTAAAAAACTGATGCAGATTATCACTGTGAGATCTACAGAGACAGAAAATTAGTATACACAAGTACATACATGGTACATATGTTTGAGTATGAAATGAAATGACTTTGTGTAAACTCTCATGACATTAAGAAATGGTTAAGAGGTTAGTCTGTGCCTGAAATGAGAGACTGAGATGATGACAAGCAAGTTTAGAGCCACAGTGAGCACAGAGATGCACGACAGCAAAACATAAATGATAAACGATCCAGAAGTAGAAGTTGAGGGCGTAGTGCATGAGATGTTGGGAAGGTGTGGAAAACAGAGCTCCACTCGGTCCCCAACCTCCATCTCCTGCAGACCTCTGCAGCTTCAGCAGCTTTATGTATACGTTTATTCGCCCCTCTTCCGTCTCTCCTCTTTTGCTCTGAACAACACACCAACATCTGTATCACTACACCCCCTTTCCCACCATGGTTTCATCATGTACTCTTTTTTTGTGGTTTGTCAGGGCTCAGTGGGAGTGATCTTACAATGAACAACAATATGAATGCAACACTTTTGTGTTTGCTCATGAGCTGAACTCAAAGATCTAATACTTTTTCTATGTACAAAGAAGGCCTTTTTCTTTCAAATATCATTCACAAATTCTAAGTCTGTGTTAGAGAGCACTTCTCCTTTTTCGAGGTAACACATCCACCTCACAGGTGTGTCATACCAAGATGCTGATCAGACAGCATGATTGTTGCACAGGTGTGCCTTAAGCTCGCCACAATGGCTGTGTCCGTAATGGATCCCTAACCCCTATATAGATGACTACATGGGGGTAAGTGCCATATTGACGGGTGTCCGAAACCTCAGTGATCAGTTCAAGTGCCCTATATAGGTGACTCAAAATTTCCCATAAAGCATCGCAAAATGTAGTGACCATCCTAAGGTCACTCACTGGTGGTGGGCATCCCGTCATACATTGCGTCTTGCCATGTAGTGTCCCAAACCTCCGGTGATTGAGTTTACTACATAGTCAACTATATAGTAAAACCCCATATGGGACAACATTTGCATTTGTCGAGGAAAGTTTAAGTAGCGGATTAAATATGCCATTATGGAAAATCTGTCCCCCATGCAAGTACAGTGGTGCCACCTTGAGAAATATGAAGGCAAATGACCAAGTCCACTGAGATGCCAAATATCAGGGTCTATGAGACACAGGAGGAGGGCAGAGTTGTCCAGGTAGGTGTTTGGGGACTGGACAAAAGGGTCATACACTCTTTTTTCCATTGAAAGCAACCAGAAGCACTGTTTCACCACTGCTTATGTCCTCTTGGATCCAGGATGGCAAAAGATCTAGGACACATGGGCCCAATGGATTACCTTGGATCATTACTCAGATGGTTATGGCCTTCATCTCAGGACCTTAGAGGGATTACAATCATCTCCTTGGAAGTGAGGTGCCCAGAGAAGTCTATGGCACCGTCATTGGGCCTGTAAGGAAGAAGGGCCTTGACTTTGGATTTACTAAACACTTTGTTCAAATTATGATAACAAAGGTGAGTTTGTAAGTTAAGTTGAGTTGATACAAAGGACTTGGTGTGGACCAATCTGGACCCAGGTCATGGACTGTTTCTCTGAAAACTACAGTCGTAAGAAGAGAATAGACTGAAGCAGATGAGTAGTTGATCTGTGAACTGCAACAGGAAGTGCAGAAATGTGACCTTGAACATATGGCCATTTAATTTGTTATAATATCTACTAATCAATAGAATATCAGACTGGCTCCATAAGTATTTACTGATCACATCTCGATAAAAAAAAAGATACTCCCCGTTTAGCAATGATTGCGTGACATGTTGATGTGCGTTGTCTGCATCCTGTGTGTTTGCCAAAGCTTGTTTCTTCACACCTCTGACTGACGCAACCTTCGAGCTCTAAAGGACATCATTACCTGACTCTGATGCATACAGGTGTGAACAAACTTCCTGTCTGTAGGGGTTTAGCACACCAACGTTTAGTTAGCTAACAGGCTCCAAAACTTTTACTGTTCAGAGCCTCATCACATATCATGGGACTTTGTTGTTTGTGTGCAAGTTACATCTACTGAAAATTAGGTGACTATTGTTTCTTTTTCATCAGAGTACTTTGATATTTAAATCATATTTCATATATTTCCCCAATAATGTTGATAAATTACTCTATGTGCCTCATTTTGATGACAAATACCTGACCTTTTATTTAGAGTTCATATGATTTTACCATCTAAATTGTGCAAAATCCTTTTGTGACACCACATTAGTCATGAACTTCACTCTTACACAATCCCAACTTAGAAATTCTGATGGCTTACCCCACATAGGTTTGAACTTCAGGGTCACCCACTCATGTACTCCCAAAATACTCCCCAAAACAACTGTCATGCACAAGTATGTCAGCAATCCCCAAAACTGTAGAATTTCCATCCTTGGTATTTGGGTGTCTGAACCTTCCACTCACCTGTAGATAAAGGTTCTGTTTGTAGTTTTTCAAATCCACATCTACCCCAAAAATTAAGAAAAAAAAGTTAACATCAGTGATTAATGACCAACAGATTAACGGATGTGTCCTACTCTTGAATTTATGATTCTTAATATATAAAATACCATCCCACTGAGCAATAGACGGCTATTAGATGAGTATTTTTTAGATCTAATTTCAACCATCTAGATTCTGTATATTTTTAGACAGAATTTGAACGTTGCACTTTAACCCATTATTCCATAACTATTTATTACAAAAAGCAACTGGGAGTTGCATTACTGATCTCGAAGTACTTAACCAAAATTGTCATGGTAGCCATGGAGCAAAAAATGCTCAGTAGGCTGTTAGACCTCTGTTAGACGGCTAGTATAAACTTGGTCTAAATTTAGATGTCTAAAAAACTTTCACTTTCAGACCTGTGGTAGCCTGATTTTAGACCAGTCGAATAGGCTACAGTTGGACATCTATTTGACCGCTTTCAGATCAAAAAATGCTCAGTTGGATCAACAACTTAATGTTCGCCTTGGTTGTCTGGCTTTAGGTTTTACTTCCTTTTAGTCTTGAAAAGAGACTGACATTGTGGTCAAGAGGACAGGGGCTATATCCTCTTACAGTGATCTGAGTATGTAAACTGACTGGCTGTGCACTTTTGTCTCTGTTTACTTGCAAGTTTGGTCAAATCAGTACCAAACGAGCACCAAGTATCACTGGGGCATCAACATAGACGCATGTTTTTCAGCAATGATTACATCACATGTTGATGTGCGCTGGCTGTGACCTGTGTGTTTGCTGAAGCTTGTGTTCCTTCACACCTCTGACTGGTAAAACCTCAGAGGTCTGGATGTCCTCATTACCTGACACTGATCTGTACAGGTGTGAACAACCTTTTGTCTGCAGGGGTTCAGCCCGCCGCTGTTTAGTGAGCAAAACATCCTTCACTATCCAGAGAGGCACATTGCATCTCTTGGGACTTTGCTGTTTGTGGATTTGTTTGTGTGTAAGTTACAGGTGAGGAGGCAGATTTTTAAAAAAATGATCACCGATCTACTAAAAAATAGATATTTATGTTAGAACCAAATCATGACATGCAGCATCTTGACATCATGTCCTGCTTTTTCAGACTTATGGAGGTTCCAGGAAATCCTCCAACCAAGCGCAGATCCCATCTTCATCCTCTGAATGTCATATTTGAAAACCTGAATCAGAACTATAGATCTCCAAAGCAAGGCTACAAGAGCTTTAACTCTGATCGTTGTTATCAAAATTCGATTTACACACATCCATTTGTTTTGCAAAAAATTTAAGAAACAGACAACATTGGAGAACAGAAGTCTTAGTCTTTAATTACCAGTTTTATTTCCACAGGAAATATGAGATATTTAAGAAGCATTCACACTTAAAAGATAAGTCAGAATAAAATATACCAACAGTATATTCATCTTCATAAAGGCCTGAGCATTCCCAACAGTGTCTTTGCTGCTGATCCATAGTCAGACGAATAAACAGACCAATGCAGACCTCCTCCACACTTTGCTGCGGCCTCATGAATCAACTGACCAGTCAGTAGTTACACAACAGTATTTGTTCAGTGAGGAGATTTTCAGATAAAACACGGTTGAATTGAAGTTCAATCAGGATCTGTGGGAGTATCTTCACTCATGTCCTACTCAATTGGTTGCTCAGTAGCGCCCCCCTCACTGATATTTCTGGATGTTTTTCCGGGACTGGATTCGAGCACACTTTGGACACTTCTTCTCCTCGAAACAGTGTTTGTGAAAACAGCTCCTGCACACTGCCAGAAAATAAAAGATAAGACGGGTCATCATTTTTGCTCATCATCATTCATACCACATGTCCAACTGCTGCATATCAGTTTTTATGTTTAGTTCCTCCCTAATTGCAGGTATAAAACTCGCTGAGGCAGGATGAATATTAGAGCAGGAGACGGGCTATAAACTATCTGATTTAAAAGACTGTTTTTCCACAAGAACGGTGAATGTGTAGAGGCCTCAGTCCTCATCACTGTGCAGATTTCCTGCTGCATGCCTTTCCTCTCGCTCTCCTCACATTCCCTGTTTATCTGAAGCTGTCCATTTTTCATTCTTGAGCTTTTTGCACAAGACCAGAAAAGAGCCAAAACATGCAACAAAGCTGGTTTCTTCTTAAGTTAATTTTTTATAAATAAAGTTGTTGCTCGTTTCTTACCTTGACAGCGACTGCAAATCTCAGTCTGAAAAGGAAAGATGACGTCTCTGTCTCTGCAGAACTCACAGATGAAACCTCGAGCGAGACACAGCTGTGTAAGGATGAGATGGACATTTTATTAAAGTTAGAAAGTTTGAACCAAAGCATCCTGAATTTTATGTCTAAAATTTACCGTATTTGTCTGAGCTCTGGGCAGACCAGGTTATTTTAACTCAGTTGTTCAGATACCAATCTGTATCAGATTAAACCCAGGAGGTGTTTGTATGTATATTTTAGATAACATGTTTTGAAGCTCCCTCATGTGTTTTTGTAAGAAGTGTTTCTTACCTGACAGTTTTCTACATGACTGACACACGTGTTCAGAACCGCTCGGGCCTGAGAGACCAGCTGACCCTTCTTCACCCTCAGGAGGTCATCCATGGAGAACAGGTGAGGCTGCTCTGTCAGGTGAGCAGGAAGCTGTTCAAACTCTGTCATCACCCTGAGATACACACAAATAGGAACACACACGCACACACACAAATGTCAGAAATACAATATATCTATTAATACAAGTTTCTCTGATGACTCTGGATGAAATTTGGAAACTCAAACATTCATTGCTGTCTGCCACAGTGTATTTTTTAATGATGCCACTGGGTGGCGCCACACTAAGCTGGTTTTAAATCACTTTGATGGCACTTTGCTGACTTTAAGTCTATTAATAAAAGAGTGAACTGTTATTAAATGGTTCTCTGAGGGATTTTCCAGGTTATAAACATTTTGAACTTTAAACTGAAGCTCTGAAGATAAAAGACTCCATTTAAACTGTGTTAATAAAAACTTACTGAGCAGATAATCTGCAGGCCCTCAACAGCTTCTTAATGCCCAACAGCTGATCCTGGAGCTCCTGAGGAGAGAGGAAGACAGGAAGGAAGGACGGAAGGAAGAATGGAAATAGAAGAAAAGGACAAAGACAAAGTTTGGACCATTTGAAGGTGAATTCAGTGATGTTTAAATGTTCTTTTGTTCACACATACCTGCACATTTATTAAGTAATGCAAATATAAACCTTTGTGTGACAGTACATCTTAGCACAGTGTCCTTATATCAAACCTGCTGTGTTTTGCTGCTAATTAATCTCCAGCTGCTCTGAGTTTCTCTTCTGCTTTTTCTGCCTCATAATTTGTGACTGATCTTGCTTTCTTCAGCAGGATATGAATACATTTATAAACATGTGCTCAGACTCCAGTGTTTTGCCCACATGAACATAGATAAGTGCTTACTGATCTAATAAAACGGTTAATAACTTATCATTAGGCTTACCCTGAACCTGTGCAGCTCCTTCACTCGGCTGTAGAGCGTTTTACCAACACAGGTCAGATCGAACAGAGGCTGAAACCAAATCGAGTCCAGCAGCTGTTTGGAGAAATCACTCACTGAGAACCTGAAATAGAATCATATATGTTTCACATTTTTGTAATCTTATATCTGCAGGTTTTTATTCCAGATTAAAACTACAAAATAAGAAGTTATCAGCGACAGATACTGCAGACATAGTGACACACCTTTAAGCATTAACGCTGTTACCATTCTTTGATAAATCTGTGTTTTGACCTACCGGTTAAAGTCCCAGTGGGTGAGAACTCGAGCAGGAATCACAGCCTCAGAGCCGCTGTGGCAGCAGTCACAGAAATACCTGGAAAATAAAATTCATGAACCCACACTTATCAATATATTTGAAATATTCTACATTCAATCACAGTTTTCTTTAATACACTGCTTTTTCCCATACCTGCCCAGATATTCACAGTAACGTAGTTTCTTGATGTGCTCTGGAGACAAAGAGAAAAAAGGAGTCAGTTACACTTTCTATCAGATCAAACTTTTGACTCATTTTATTATTTCTACCAAAAAAAATTACATCAGGAATCAATAAAACCAAGAGAAAAAAAACAGCAGGGAACAGATTTTCATCTTGAAAATATTTGCTTTGGTTCAATTTTAAGCCCTCCACCATTAGCGTCTAATTGAACCTGACAGTGCCCTCTAGTGGCATTACCAGTTGTTACACCAATTTATACGAGATTATCTTTTTATTTAAGGTCCACCTGAGTTTTATCATTGTCAGGAAAAAACTAACAATTCAGTGAACATAACATACAATCAAATATCGTAATGTTGCTTCACAGCTGAGACAATTATAACATCAACAAATCAGAAGATCTGTAACATGAAACACTCACTGTGCTCGATCTCTGTCCCACAACCTGCACACAGGAAGTTCTGTTGAGCGATGATGACGCCGCGTCTGAAGGAGAAAAAGCAAACTGTCAAATCTGTTCAGCCACTTTTCTATCTATCTTTGGATCTGATGGCGTGGTGCAGACCTGAGGCTCGGATGGACGCTGAGGATGAGCTCGACTTGAGGTGGAGCCCAGCTCAGAGATCCTCTCATCCTGGTCCTCTGTCTGATCTCCTCTTTCAGGCTACTGCTGCTGCTCACTGACACACCTGTTGTACCAGGTAACTAAAAAAGGGGAAAGGTCAAAGGTCACAGATGGAAATGGATATAACTCTTGTGTCTAAAATGTAAACACAGATCTGCTCTCTATCCAGCAGGGGGCGTCTGATTGTTCTCAGTCTTCTTCAGTACAGCGTGATGTTTATTTAGTGAATTATGGTCCATTTAGAGTCATGCAGACCAGGAAGCAGAAGAAAGATTACACAGAGGATACCTGGAACTGTTAGGCTGTCACTATGGCAACCTTTAATAATGTGTTTCTTACTGTTTAGTTAAACTTAAAGACATTCTTCCCTCTTCACCTTGGTCACCAACTATTTGAACCTCTACCTTCAGGGGGGTAGTACAGGACAGTGAAAAACAAGAACCACCAGACTCAGCTTCATTCCCACTCCACTCCTACAGTCAGTACACATTTGGACTTAACAACCAATTTCACATGTATATTCTTGTGGACTGTGTTATTCCTTAGACTGCAATATTACCTACATGAAGTGCATTGCAGTCCAAATGAGAGGAGGTGAAAGTGTATGTCACTCACTCGAAATTATTGGACAATAAACTGATTAAGTAATGGACTGAAGCCTCCCTCTTCACGTGAATTTGAAACAGTGAAACTGTCAGCTGTCGGCTGAAGCTTTGTATTTCTTTAGAGAGGAGAGAGTTAGCTGAAAGTATAAATAACAGCACTTTGATGTCACCCGTTTGTGTATCCAATACTTTCTCAATAAGCAGCTGGCTAAAAGAAGAGGTTTGAAGCCTTTACAAAGGATAATACACTTTATAAAAGTTGTTATGCCTCATTAACCTCATTTATATTTCCGCATCAAATCTTGACTGTAGCATATGTTTATAGTTTTGTGCAGACATGATGTTTAGGAGCAAACAAAAGGGGCACAAGAATCGAACCCTGGGTTACTCCACATGGCTGGGGGAAAAGGACAATACAAAGTCACCACCTTTTGAGATGCAGTCAGTAGAAACTGATAACTCAGTATGTGCAAACCCTTTAATCCTCACTAAGTGAGATCAAGGTGTCTCCAAACTTCCTGTATACAGTCCATGATTGGATTAGCCAATCAGGCTTGCCTCTGTGTAAATAGATTAAAAATAATGAAAGCTAAAGCCATCTTATGTCTGTGTTGATCAGTTGTTTGTGATCTGACCTCCTGCAGGGCGCTCCGGAGACTCAGCCGTCCACGTTGAGGTCCGTCTGCAGGAAGCCAGCTCCTCCTAAACTCCAGGACCAGCTGCTGAGCCAGGCCCTCTGCACTGCATCATGGGAAAAATAGAGGACATGTCAGAGGTCAGAGCATTAAAAGAAATATATATTCTTTTCGAGAATTTTTAAGAAAGTAGTCTTCTTACTTTCCGAGTGACTCCTTCTGTGTCAGCACTGTGTCGACTCCACAGTCTGAAAATATCAAGAAATAATGTGAAATTTGATGCAATAATAACTCGGATGAACATCACCAGTGCTGATATGGTAATTCCTCATGACTTTTTTACACCTTTTCCCAGTTATTTCACTGATAAAAACCAGCAGTTCATGCATAAAGACAGTGTAGTATAGAGAGGAAGATGATAGAAAAATCCTCATTATTTTTAACCTGCTCAGACAACAAAGCAAAACCATGGGTATTTGACATTAATGAATGTAGATTTATACAGGCATGAGTATCATAAAAAAGGAGATAATTATTAAGAATAATTATATGCTAATAATTCTGATGTTAATAAAATAAATAAGATTTAAATAAACATAAAAAATAATAATTTTACCTTCAAACCCACTGTCAGTGGAGAGGATAGAGAGGGTCTTTGATGGATGATCATCTTCATCTTTCTCTGCTGTCTTCTCATCCTCTTCACTCTGTGTGTGTCCGTGTGTGTAGAAAGAGTGTGATGTCTCCATGTCTTCATCAGAGTCTCTTTCCTCCTGATTCTCCTCTACAGCGTTTTTATTTTTGCATCTCTGTGGCGGTTCTTCCTCTGCAGAGCTGGTATGTTGGTCTGTGCAGCTCTGACAGTCTTTGTTTTTGTGTTTGTCCGTCATTAGAGTCCACTTCACTCCTTCCAGCACTTCCAGCACCATGTCAACCACGATGAAATGAGCGTTTTCCTGAAAGAAGAATTATTTTAAAACTGATGAATCACTGCACATCTGACTGATAAATACCCACATAATTATAACATGATTACATGTGATATTAAGTTAATTTATTGAGTTAATTTTCCCCAACATATAACAGAGGCTTTCAGTAACCAACAGATAACTCACCTGCTCCAGCTCACTGCTCGTCTTTAAAATGTCTGCTGAGTATTCTGGGATTCCACTGCTCCTTTTCTTTCTGCTGTTGTCCCCTGAAGGAGAGAATTATCACCAAACAATCACATTTAAGGAAGACAGCTTAGATAAAGAGTGACCTCAACACTGATTCTGACTGATCTGGTGATCTTACTGCATCGTGTCCGGCTTGTTTTAGGTCTCAGATCCTCCAGACTGGTGGCTGTCAGATTCTCACGCTGACTCAGAGACAGGAATCTAGATGACGAAACATCCAGGCTGCAGGAGATAAAGTTTCCCACACATGATGAATTATTACATGTAAATCCACAGTTGATCCTAACCTCAGTCCATATCAGCTGACAGCTCAGCTTCTACTATCCAATCATCAAATGCTTGCCTCAGGCTTTTCACTTCTGCATACCCCCTTGGAGGGTCAGGGAGCCTTTTGGACGGTGCCATAAAGTCAAATAAACTTTTTGTCTGTGTTTAAAAAGTTATATTTGACTGACATGGTCCTGACTGGACTCTGATTGCCGATCATTATAAACTTTCACTGATAAGAAAGTTTCAAACCGTTCGAGTTAATAACTGTATTTGTGTTTACCTCCGAAAATCAGGTCTGCTGGTGTCTCCTTCGTGCCAGGAAACAGGTCTGTGTCCTTTGGAGATAACCGGGCTGCTCCTGGGGAGGCCAAGGAAGCGCTTGTCTTCTTGATGCTGAAGATTGAGGCCATTTTTGTGTCCTCTTCCTCCGTCATCATCAGAGTGACTATCAGAGTCGAAGCAGGAGAGATTGAAGGCCTTGTTGGCTGTTCTCTTTGTTAAAGTGGACTGTGAGCGTTGATGGGCTGTTCCTCTGGTTTCTGGAGGTGTCAAAAGCAGACGTGGGAATGATCCTGGTGTAGCCGCCTGGTGGTTTTCTTTTGTAGCTCCTAAAAGAGAATCAAAGCTGTTTGTTTGCTATAAGCGCTCTATATTGACCAAACTGACCTGATTTTTGCACCTGAAACCGCCTAAGAGGAACAAGTCAAAGAGCGAGGTTTCATCGGGTGAATCATGATAAGCTGCTTCTTCTGCACGTCTGCTGAATCCCTTAAAGCTCTACACACCTGTCCTGTCAGTGTAAAACTTTTCTTACCTGTTGCAGTAGATATTGGCGTCTCTGTGGGATCCACACACCAGCTGACGTATCTGTGTTTCCTCTGAGAATAGAATGAGTCCATGCCGAAGCTCTCCTTCTGAACAAGTGAAGAGAAGAGTCTGAGTTTCTTAACCCAGTGACGGCAGGTTTACTGCAAACTTCCTGCTGCAACAGTCCTTCCTGAATGACGACAAATCATACGCACAAATTAACCCAAAAACCACAGGATGAGGAGCAGAAATCACTGCGCTCATTAAACTGACCTGCTTTCTTTGGTCTAGAGGAGTTTCTCTGGCTCTGGCAGCTTTTACTTCTCTGATCGTTATTTAATCAGGGGCATTATAAAAGTTTACGGCTTTTAGAGGTCAAAGTCTAAAGATTATTGACCTCATTTTAAAAGAAGGGCAACAGATTAGATAGATAATCATGTCATTACTCATTTTGTCAGCATTAGTGCTGCACTGCTGTTTTTTGTGCCCATCATTAGGATGGATCTGCAGACTTTGTGGGAAATAAATGTGGCAATATCACACCCAGAAAATTACCAGCTTGCAGAAATATTGTTTCTTGCAGATTTCGAGTCCTTCGTTGTTCTCTCAGTGTGCAGGAAACATCTGTTAAAAATACGTCGTCATATCAGATCTGAGTTATGAAAGTCTGATCACCACAACTCTCACAGATTTTATCTGATGTTAGTGAATTTCAACCCAAATTACAAACTCAAGGAGCTCTCAGTTAAGCTTCATTTGACTAAAAAGTGAACCTGAGATCACATTTAAAGCATATGTTTGATGATTTGTCTGCTGCAGAGTCGAGGGGACTGAATCTGAACTTCTGCTTTTGATTTTTAATCTCTGTGCAATGAAATCAGATGACTGACGGCAGTTTTATATAAAGTCTGACTGTAAAACTTTTTCATGTGCCATTTTAAAAGTCTGACTGCAGAATCACAGCACAGACAAGTTTGGAGATAAATCCTGCACATGCACATGCATAATTCAACTGAATACCCAGGAATCACAGTTCTTTAGAAAGTCCATGTGCTCTGTTCCTGATCATTTCCCTAAACATGAACTAGTATTTGCATCTCCGTCTCTGGAAATCCCCTGACAGCTGCTTTAATATCAGACCATAATGTCACAGAATCACACATTCAAACACATTGGACAGTTTCACACCAACATGCAGCAGGACTGTGAAAGACGCACCAAACTGTAAACAGAACACTAGAAAACGGACATGTACGGCTGTATCTGACTGATTTGTCCCCCATCAACTCCACCATCTGGTCAAATTTTTAATTAACTCCAAAATAAAAGAGCATTAAATCACAGCTACACTTAAATACAGTTTGTAAACTAAAGATCTACTGAACTCAAGCATTTGATATCAGTGGTTTAGTTAGGGGGATGAGGAATGAGCCCCCCTGGTGCCATTATGTCTGATTAAGTTTCCTCACAGATGATTAAAAGTGAAACAAAACACAATAGAGTGGCCTTCTCCATGGAAAGTTGATAATATTGGCTTTGGAGTCAGTCTTCCACAAGATAAAACACAACAAAGTGAAAGAAACAAAAACTAAACATTATCAAATGCACTTTAGAAACACTTGCAGGGGAATACGGCAAAGTGCCTTTAGATGCTCTTTTTAGTAAAACAAGACAAATTACCTTTTAACCCCAGAAAACAGTTGGGATCAAAAGAAATGAAAAAAATCCCAGACTAATATCTGGTAACAAATGAAGTCTTTAACATACAGCACAAACAGATATAAAGCTATATGTTCGAATGATAGAAATAAAGCTGCTTACCTTTTATTAATGTCCCTGACTCGGTCAAAGGCTGACGCATTGAATGCTGTTTGAAAAGCTGCAGCAGAGGAAGAGAGGCGTGATTACCATCACTTCCTGAATTCAACACAAACACTTTTTTTCTTTTCCTCTGGTTAAGCCATCAATCGAGTTTGTACAAAATAAAAAAAAATCCTTCAATCATGATGAAACATCATGGCAAGCTTTTATAAAAAGTCACATTTACAAAAAACCTGATCATAAACATTGTAAAGAGCAGAGCTTGAGTTGAAGTCTTCTATGTAAAACCTCTACTCTCTCTTCCTCTTTAACATGAAACTATTTTAAAGACAGGAAGTTTATTCATTTTGCTCTCTGCTATATTTTATTTTTAGCTGACTTTTTCAGTATTTTTTTTACAGAACTCATGGGTCTCTTCTTCCTGTACAAAAATATACCTCCCAGCCTTAAGAACCTCCTCATGTACTTTATGTCTTCTACATGAAGTGTAGTGTATGTTTGTTCTTTAAATTAAGTTTACTCTCTGTCTGTGTCATTAAATGTAATCTAAAAAGTGGGGTGATTTGAGTCAGTTTTTACTTCAGGCATGTTTTGAGTCTAAAGGCCTAACAGTTTGTCTGGAGCTACAACAGACACAGTTATTCCAGGATGTGGTTCATCCCTGAAAATGATCATTACAGCTTCAAAAAGTCGTCTCTTAGATCAGCTTTCCACTAATGAGGAGTAAGTTGAGACTTGGGAGAGGATGAGCCGCAGAGGAATGAATTGTTCCACTCATGTCAAAGTTAAAAAAGAACATTTTAACCTTACATAATACTTTATAACAGCAAGACAAATTCAGGACATCTTTGGGAATAAAGATGTAAACCTGATCTCTAAATAAAAAACCCAAAGTAAAACTGAAAACAAACTTGTATAAATTGCACAAAAAGAAAAGAAGATTTGATGATGAGTTTCTTCAACCACAGGAGATCAAGATGTCCACCCACATCCTGGTGAGATTAAACAGCCAATCAGGTGCACACAGCTCTTCTTCAACTGAGCCACTGACTCAACTTGTGTCAGGCCTTTTGGCTCAGGTTACCCCATCCCAGACATTTTCATACAGCTGTGTCATCAAGAGCCAGGAGTTCAGAGCTGACATCATACTAACAGAAAAGTCGGATTACATAACTTACTAAAGCACGAATATGTTTAAGCGTTAAACAGTGAGTAATTGTGTTAAACACCAAGTTTATGTGTTAAACAGTGGGACACCCGCTGGGGTCTGGGCCCAAAAGAACAAGCGTAGTTGGCACACAGCGAGAAATCAGAGATCAGCTCTGTGTTTCTGCTGAGGCAGGCTGCCTTTATAAACTGCTGACTCAACACACACACACACACACACACACACACACACACACACACACACACACACACACACACACACACACACACACACACACAGCAGATGGTAGTAAATAAGGGTTTTACCTGCAGTTTGAAGCAGACTCTGTGTCTACTGGCTGTGCCAAGTTCAGACCTGAATCCAAAGTTTCTCGTGTTTGAGCCTGTGTTCAAACTATCCACAAATCATTATCCTACATTATATTTACAGGCATGTTGATAACATTCAGCTTCATTAATAAACAACAACAAAAACAGAAAAAAAGTCACAAAAAGAGGAAAAGCTGTAATACAAAGGCTTTACATTAAGGGCATTTAGCTGTGAATAACTTCTGTAAATACAGACCGAAATGTTCATAATGTGTCTAAAGTTTAAGATAAGACAGATCTGATGTCTCTTAACTTCTTTATCAGTGGAGTTTTCAGTCATTTATAGACCATAAAATGGATTCAATATAAGTCTCTGTAATTCAAAGTTCAGAGTAGAATCTCAGCATTAGTCATAAAATGTAACACCTAGTCATAGTTTTCATATTAACACGTGCCACTGTGTGTGTTGAACAGCTCAGCTCTGTGTTCCAGTGTGGGTCTTTGGTTTATATCAGGAAACTATGGGTGTGAGGAGACCCTTTCCGAATCCCTGCCCACATGTCGGTCTGCATTCATCAAAGGAAAAATCACATAGGTGATATATCTGCGGAGGATATGATGAGTTCGTCCCTCACACCTAAACTTTAATCATTTTTTAAAAGTGGAATATGGTCAATTTTTACTACAAAGAGTTGTTAAAAATGTTTATTCCTCAGAATGAACAACCACAATAAAGTGAAGAGGGTTAAAGTGTTTAAATTAGATCTCTGATAAATAAATATTGGCCTGAAAATTAATCACATCACAAAATATCTTTTTTTAGGAAATTATTCAAATAAAATCTAGATGCCTACTAACTTTTTAAATATAAACATATTTACATACTGTATTCATAAATTATCTGAATTTCCCCCCTGCGTGCTGCAGTCACTTAGTCCAACCAACAGGTGTCGCTGTTAAATAAGTTTCAACGCCTTTGTCTCTCCCTGCCGTTTTCCAGCTGCTCGGTCCGGTGCGCAGGCGCAGTAAGGAAGCTGAGTCAATTCCAAGGACCGCAAAGTGCAATGAAGTGAAGCTGCCTTCAAAATAAAACAACACTATTGCGAATAATCTGGATGAATGGATATAAAATTAGACAACATTAAGGATAAAGACAGAAAGAGAGGATAAAAACAGCCATAAAAATAATAAAAAAAACAACAACAAACTATATCAACAAAGATTTAAAGTGAAAATATAGATACTATAGCTATTTAAAAATGTTTAATTTAATGTTTTTATGATGATTGATTGAAGGTTTTTTTTTTACATTTAAATAATAATAATAATAATAATAATAATAATAATAATAATAATAATCACCACAGTGAAAATAACAAAACAACAACAAAACGATGATAATAGTTACTCTGATTATCCTGTGAAGACATATCTCTTTATTTTGTTTTAAATTTTTTTTATGTTTAGGCATTGTTTTAACTCCTCACCCATACCATTCCTCAGTCTAACCACACAGAATGATATGCAAAACTGTTTTCTGCTTGTGCGAATTTTGTTAATTTTGAAATTATACTTCCCTCTTAATTGATAACCCCATATCAGTCAGAAAATATCAATTTCAATATGGATGCAAAGAATTGCTGATTTTAATTTCATTGACTGATTTATTTTTCCTTCTTGTAGCTTCTTTATTAGTAAATCATATAAAACACAAACAGCAAAGGTATGAAACTGCTTTGTTTGCTTTAATTATCTTTCAGCTTTGAATCATTATAAGTTAAGGAGCACACTTGTCTTTTACCTTTTAACACACAAGTCCACATGTGTAAATGTTGTTTCAGATTTCAAATCTAAATCTCTGGTTGGTCTGAATCCGGTTACCTCGGTGACATGTTAATCCTGTTTGTAGCAGGTGGTAACCTTAAATTCTCTTTGGCTCTAAATCCACAAAATTCCTCAACATCTGAGCCTCTGATCAGCTCTACGGTAACTATACAATCTAACCTATAACGACATTTTACATTAATTGAAACTGAATTTAACCATGTGAATTTCTGATCATGTAGAATCCTTAAGATCTTCACACAGAGCATTTTTTTTTTCTTCATTTTATTTTGAAGAGGAAAAACCGGATGTGAAAATCCTGCTGTTGTTGTTTGCCGCTTCACGCACCGTGCAGTCGGGACGGCGAACGCGGTTGAGAGACGCGAAGAGGAAACTGACCACGGCGCAGCTCGTTACCCTGGAGAGAGTCGGTGATCCGCCGTTTACCTGAACGTTAGCTCACCCCGCGTGCTCTCTGCTTTGGATATACTAACGACACGCGCACACACCGGGAGACCCGCGCGGAGAGGGGGATCGCTATGGCGACGTTAGGACCGGAGTCCGCTCGTCCTCCTCTTTCCCAGCTCGGTTCTTCCCCGTCTATCCAGACTCACATCGGAGGCGCCAACCTGCCTCCTAACCGGGGCTTGGAGCGCGCTCTCGAGGAGGCGGCAGCCAGCGGGGTGCTCAATCTGAGCTCCCGTAAACTGAAGGAGTTCCCGCGGACCGCCACCAATCACGACCTAACGGACACCGTGGAAGCAGGTACGAGCCGCAGGGACCGGGGTGCGTGAGCACTCGACCCACAATTTTCTGTACTTTAAAGAACTCTTGTGATCCGCAGCGGAACGGAGAGAAGCCGGTGGAAATTGACTCATTATGGTTAAGATCAGCTACGATCGGCGGATACGGCCTTTTAGTAGCCGTTCCGGATGCGGTGGAAATTGGGGGTTAAGACAGTGAAGGTATTTCTGTCATATTCAGGAGGGTCCGTGCTTATTCTGCGAGGCAGACAGAAAAGGACCATAATCCTGCTTGTTTGGGAGAGTCCCGGTGTCTGATGTTTTCAGTGTGTGAGAGCTAAAGTCTAAAACCTCCTGATCCGGATGCTCAGTTGTGTGTAAACCCCCCTCTGATAGGGGTCTCCTGTCTGTGCTGTCACCGTGTCTGGGTTTGGGTCCTGCACATGTGGAAGGAGGTGGTGTGTTTCCAGGTTGCAGTGAGTGTTTTCAGGATGTCTCTGTGGAGTGGGCCTGCAGTGGAATTCCCCCACACTTCCCTGTATTAATCCATTTAGAGATGTAAACAGGCTGGCGGACTCAGGAGGGACTCAGATCTCTCAGTGTGTGGATTTCACCTGTGCTTGCTCTGATTGGTTTAGACAGGTTCAGATGAGCTGAGGTACTCCAGTTATAGTGAATCGGCTGGTTACGTAATTTAGCATCATTCTTTAAAGCTCCTGTCAGGAGGTTTTTATGTTAATGAAGTGGACTGAAATTCATATTATTGCTTTTTCATGACTTACACAAGCAAACAAGATAATCACAGATACAATCGATGATTTTTATTTCCTCCTTTTTAATGCATGAAATAATGTGAGGGGAAAGATTTAGCATCCACAATAAATCATACATGTCTGTCAGAAGTCAACAGGATGAGATTTCTCTGAGATTAGCTTGTGAAGATGGAGATAAACATGACTGCTTAGTCCACAGGAGGCGCCACAGTTGACCCAAACCTCATAGGAGCTTTAAAGCTCACCAGTGTTTGCATATTTACCATCATAGAGATCCCTGTTATCCCATTATCCTTTAAAAATAAAAGCACTCTTTTGCATCTTGAAGGGATATGCCGACGTAAAATTAAGTTAGGGTCAAACTATGGCTGGGACCCATTATGTGCTGTTGATTAAGTTAGGTGCTGTTCTGAGCATTATTTGTGGCTATAGAGTGGCGTTTTGGTTGAGGTTTGTTTATGGCTCCTCAGACCGCTTTGTATTGCTACCGTGCGTCATTACTAAAGTTGGTATAACTAGAGAAGCAAATGGTTGGCAACATTTATCTCGAGGGGATGTCTAACTCGGTGTTACGGTGTGTTTGACCCTAAATTAACTTTACGCCGGAATATCCCTTTAAATGGCAGCAAATTAAATCTGTCACAGTCACTGGATCATGTTTTTTAAAGGGCGTCAGTTATTTAGTTGGTGCTGTTTGTTTAGAGATGAGATTATCTTCCAAAACTGTGATTTATAATACTCTCCATTACCTTTTTTGTTGCCTTACCCTTCAGTTACTTTCTCCCTCTTCTTCTTTAGTTACAGTCAGTCCTCGTTCATGCTGCAGTTGTACTGTAGAGTCTCAGTGACGTCATGGTGCTGAACTTCACTTTGTTTCTACACTGGAAAAGAAAAGGTGTCTTATATAAGCTGCAGGGAGGCTCACTGTTACAGGAACACACTCAGCAGATACAGACACAGATACAGAGCACTGCTGCAGGGTTACCTGAGTCTGGATCTCACCTGCTGACACCTGCTGCTGCTGACAGACATTTCCCTCTGCTGAAAACAGAGTTCATCTCAGAGCTTGTATCCATATATTGCGCTTGATCTCACATCTGTTGTTGGTCTTGTTCTGTGCAGGTTTTCTGATCGAATCAAATCCGGGCTGCTGCGTATTTATATTCTGCTTCGGTTTCTGTCTCCTCTCATGAAACCATCCCTCTTGCTCTGCCGCATGCTTTCAGGTCTGTCGCAGGTTTGTTTTTGGTTATTGTGTCACAGTTTGCATGGAGTCCAGCTCAGCGTCAGGCTGCTGAGCACCAGGAGCTGTGACATGAACTCTGCACATTGAAATCTCCGTATTCAGTGTGAATAGAAACATGCAGAGATGCAGAGTCCTGCAGCTCTGTGGCTGTTTCTATTTCAATCTGACCTACACGCTTACATGTTCACTGGACTCGGTGTTTGAGGCTTTTGTTATCCAGTGAGGGATTTGATCTGCAGATTTCTAAAAGTATCTGATCTTTTTGTTATTTAATGTAGGATTTGGTCTGAATTTCCAAGAACTGTGGATTTGATATGAACTGAATAACAGTGAGAATTTAACCATGCATATCACTTCCTGTAATCTACTGGGACTAGCTTGATAAAAAAAAACCACAAACCATGTGATGAGAGAGCTTAATGTGTGCATCCTGGACCTGGGCTGATCCCTCTGATTGTCAGTCCTGCAGACTCAGACATGACTCAGACTTTTGTCAGTGAAATCTTTCTGCTTCTGTTTTTTGGCGGTGAAGCAAATAATCAGATCGCAGGACATGCAATTCCAGTTATATGACCTGAAACATGTCATGCTGTCATTGTTTCCTTGTAGTCCTAGTTTACTTTAGGATAGACATCTACCTGCAATCTTATCTGCTGATGGCTGTGCAGAGAGTGTCTGTATCTGTGCGTGACATGACTGTTTAATGTAAACATGCATGTGAGCTGTTATGCTGCTACATTCACAGGTACATGGAAAATGCTCATTTATAGGCCTGTTGTTTGACTTGTCCCAGGGCTAGTTAAGGTTTGAGGCATACATACATAGTGTATGTGGATGTAGTCTCAGTGGCGTACTAATCCATTTGTTCCAAAGCCCAGTTTTAAGGCCGTTTGCCATCAGCACCATGCTGGAAATGGTGACACAACCTAACTTGTGATCGTCCTATTATGAGGCAAAGAGGCGGGCCTTTAGCCCCCTTGCCAACAGCTACATAGTGGTCGCCTGTAGGTCAAGTCAACCATGCTCCTTATTCACCAAAACATTTTTAGGTAAAGATAGGGCTGGGCGATAAAATGATAATGCCATATCGAAAATTAATTTCCCTCAATATCAATATAAAACTTGGTCAATATGCTTTTCAGTAGTCAGCATTCTGCCATGTTTTGGTAGACTATATGAATAGCCAATGAAAAGGAGATTTGCTCCAGGTCCACTTCGCGCTGAACCAATCATGTGAGCTAGAACCAGCAAACAACTGCGTATTAGCAGGCTGTAGCTACACGCAACTGTAGCATCTTAACACGTGAAGCTGACAGCACTGTTGGTGAGAAAAAAAGGAAATGAGTGCAGAAATGTAGATGAAGGCTCAACAGATGATGACATTGTTGACAACACTGGCACGAAAACGTTAGTGGTGTGGAGGTATTTTGGTTTTTTGAGGTCGGACATGAAGCAGAGTAATGTGCACTGCAAATTATGTCGAGTACATGTTCTCACAAAGTTGGTATACCTCAAATCTTTTTCACCACCTGAAGCAGTGCCACGCGGCAGAGCATGGGCAATGCTAAAGGTTACAAACCCCAAGCCCATGGCACCTGTGCAGCAGGAACAGCCGACCATTCAGTCCTCTTTCTCAAGCGCAACACCTTACGACAAAACTTTGAAGAGACACAAAGACCTCACAGATGCAGTAGCTTATTGTATGGCAAAAGACATGCTGTTAAAGTTAATTTTTTATACCGTGATATATATTGACTAATATGAAAAAAATATATATCGTGACAAACTTTTTTCCATATCGCCCAGCCCTAGGTAAACATTATCTGATCACAGATTATTGAAATAATGTGAATCAGAGCAGAAATCAGACTGATGCATATATCTTTAAACTGACCGTCTGTGTTAATCAGCTGTGCATCACAGTGTGTGTCTGTCACAGAGTTAACCTGTTGCCCTGAGACCTTTGAACTGTCCTGTTTCTGTTTCTGAGTTTAAATCTGATCACACCAGAGTCAGATCAGCCCCCATTATGTTAGATCACACAGAGCAGTGAGTCACTGTGACACACACACTCTTACACACACTAACACACATACACCCTCGGTGGTTGGTTGTAGCCCTCTATCAGCAGCAGACGTGTCTGAACCTGCAGTGTAACAAACTGGAGCTTCCTGTGACTGATAGAGGCGTCAGGCTGCAAAAGAGGCAGAAAATGAGGTTTCTCTGCCGTTACAAGATAAAGACATGTTTTTGGAAACACATGGAAACAAAAGTCTGACTTTACATTATTTCATTTTAGAAAAGATTACATATTTTCAGACTTTTTTTTTTTGCATTAAGTTCATCCATGTTTGATTCTTTCTCAACTCTGTAGGGAATCGATTCTTGAAAATGCTCAGATCTTTACCATCTGGTCAGCTGATTTTGTTACTGATATTGTTAGCACAACAACATCGTTACGTCGCAGCATTAACCAAAATTTTTAACAATCACTGAAGGTAAAACCAGCCCACTTTATTTAGGTATATTCAGTGGGAAAACCACCTTATTATCGGGTCTATATGATAGTTGTTAGCTTGTGTGTAACCGCTGATGTATTGTACAGAGTTGATTTATGTCACTTGGTCTGTAAATCCCCCCAAAAAGTTTCTGAGAGTCCCAGGATTTAACAACTTAAATATGACTACAAAGTTTAAAACTATAAGAGCCCAAAGATATACAAGCCTTAGTTTTTCCTTAGTTTCCCCTCAAGGTACATAAAGATGTCTGAAAACTGTGACTCAGACTGTTAAATCCTCAAACCTGACAGCTGAGTACAAGTCAGGTCAGACAACTCATCTCATATCTGAGAGTGAGTTTTCTCAATATAACACATCGTCTGCTGCTGAACAATCAAAATAATCTGAAAAAGCTCCAAGTTGGTCTTTAATTTTCTTATCAGCACCAGCGTCAGGTACCTCTCGCCAACTTTCTACCACCAAACAGAAACCTTTGACTAAGATAAAGCTTCTTCATTACAGATAATGAAACTGATGTTATTTGGAGTTTTAGGGGATTTTAGCTGATATCATCAAGATGAGGACGGTGGAGGAGAGGAAATCTAACTGACCTAACTGGTCAGTCGGCTCTCACGCTGCTGTTATGGTGGTATCAACTTAAACAGAAGAGAAACTGTGTATGCTGAGGTTTCACAGGGAAACAGGGTTTAATTTCAGCTTCTGTCACAGAGGACTCTCAGAGTTTTAATGAAACTCAATTACACTTAACATGAAAGACTGTAATATAATCATGGTTAGACACAGTTTAACTTAAGTGGGATGAAGATGGAGTTTTGAAGATGGTAAAACAGATTCAGGAGGTGATTTCCAAACCAGACCAGCTGATCTGTTTGAGTTTACTGTCACATAAACACAGATCGTCAACTTAGCTAATGAATGAGAAACTGTTAGAGCGTGATGTTTTGAAGCGATACAGTATTTCTTCTGCAGAAGCTGGACTCGTTTACTTTCTGTTCCTCTGCTGTTTCAACCCAGAAACACGTTTGAGCTGAAGTTTTCTGCTCCACTCTGCAGCACAGACAGTAACTATAGGATTTTAATTGTGTGGGTTTAAATAAACTGAAACTGTGAGTCTGTTTACATGTGAAATTGTGTCCATCTGCAGCCCACGTTTGTGCCACAGACACATTTCTGCAGATTATCAGCCTCTGTGATTGTATGAGTCATATCGACAGTAGCTACATCCCCGTGAGTGTGTGTATATATAGCATGAGTGTGTGTGTGTGCGTTTAAGCAGTGCAGAAAGAGATTACATAAGACTGCATGATTTTAAATCACTTTAAAAGCATCTGTTGGATATTTCAGATCAGATAAATCCTGATAAAAATAGATTCTGATCAGAACCTGCAGCTCTAACGTCACGTTATATCCTGACACTCTGCAGCTCATAATTTGAACTTCTATGATTTATATGAAATAACTTAAATCACTGCAGTGTGACTCTATCAGTGATCACATACAGCTGTTATTTTACTTTATTTTTTTTGCATTAAACATATAAATAGTCCATATGAAGAATGTAAATCAATTCTTATGAGTGTCTTTGAATCAAATAACAACGATAACACTGTTGTACATGAAGAAATATGCAGGAGTACACGCACAAGATTCCAGTCAGTGTCAATATGATGATTTCTTGTTGATGTGAAGGTATACCTGGTTAATTTTAAAGAAGCTGCACATTTTAAGAGGTTTTTAAACATAGAAATCATAGAAAACATTGATCATAAATGTCATTAAAGACATTTTTGAACAACAGCTGATGGGTTTTAATCAGTATCAAAACGTTGCTCACGTCTTTTTGGCCTTCTCTTGATTTTTTTTATTTAATTTTTTAGTGAAACAGTTTTTTAAAAATCTGTCTCTATTTGGTTGAAAGTGTGAGGCAGAATCGCTCATTGCAGAGGATACTGCAGGGACATGTTATCAGATCTAATTTTAATGTGTGGATGGATTCATAGTGTGAGCCTCAAGTGTGACACTCCTCCCAGTTTAACCACCCTCACTTCCTCTTCCTCACACACACACATACATACACACACACACACACACAAACAGGAAGCTGTGGATTCTCAGGAATGCTGTGTGGTGTTGGTCAGAGGAGGGTCTATCCGCTCTACGTTTCCCGCCACACCTGAACGTCATGACAGCTGGGACACACAAACACACACTCTTGCACACTAAAACACACGTACTGAGGACACTGACATTAACCACAAAAACAGGAATAAGATGCTGCCACACAGAAAATAACTGAAAAGATGTCAATAATCACACAGATCTGTTAAAAAGTCATTATTTACTTAACCTAACCCTGATCCTGACCTTCAGCCATATAAATCCCTTCTTAAATATTGACTCTTACCTTTACTGTCTCCATCCATGGAGGGTCAGTAATATGGGGGAGGGGCTGAGCTTCATGCATAGTGAATGAAGCAGTAAATGAAGCAGTTAATGGAGAAGTAAATGGTTTCTCACAGAGGAGTGAACAGTGTTAAAGACCAGGCTAGAGCTCAGTAGAGACAAAGGAATCAATATGACCAGACGAGACAGGGTGAAGGTCGACGTCAGGCATGTAAAGGTTATTGCAAAATAACAGAGGCAGCAGCTGCATTCAAGCTCAGGTGATCGGAAGTCAGAGGATCAACAAAATCATGTAAGTATAAGACAGTGTGTGAGTCAATGCACCAATCGAGTAGCATATATTTTTGGCGAAACTAGCAAAATTTCAGCATTCAGGTTTGTATTATGAATATTTTTGTTCTTCCTGTTATTAGCGTAATACTCAGATCTGCTGAGAGTCAATATAAATGAACTGCTTTTAGAAAGGGAATAATGATATCAAAACATGTCCTATCTAATAACACCAGCTCCAGTTTTGTTTGTATACATTGAAATGGCAATCCAGAGAAGAGCAATGTGTCTCTTTTCTGGAACTTACTGCTAAATCTGGGACAAAAATGCTAAGAGCACAGTGCAGTTAAATTAAAAAGCTTTACTTTCTGCTTAAGTATTTAAAAATGTCAAACTCTTCAATGATCAAAACTGAAATTCCTCTGGATGGTCTATCTGTGCTGTTATACATGATATTGTACATATTTATACCATCCAAACAAGCTGGTATAAACTGTGAAGCTTGTATCACATCTGTCATAAACTGACTTCACTACATAGTAGCAATGACTAACCTGTGAGTAGATTTCAGCTCTGTCAGGATAAGAGTGCACAGTTCAGCTCTGAGCAGCAGAGAGAGGAGATGCTAACAGCTCATCTCCGTCATGTTAAACATGCAAAACTGGAGAAAACTGCACAGAGCTGTGAGGGTGCTGCTGCATTTGAAAGTCCAAAGTCGTCTCGTCAACAACAGATGTGACTTGAAATGAGACCATCTAAAAAAAGTTATCTGTTCATAAATGTATTTGAAACTCAGGTCAGTGTGAATATGGGCCTAAACATGGTCTGCAGTGAGCTGATCAGGACTGAGATGTCAGGAGAGACAACAAACACACAACACTCCAACAAATACAACACATAAGAGTTTTTACGACTTCAAGTCTGCCCTCCTGTCCCTGAGGCTTCAGAATAAGAGACTTTTTCTCTAAAGAGTGTTTGTGGTGAGCATTAGAAACCACATCCAGCAGTGGATCTCGGTGTGGACTCTGGAGGAGGGTCGGGGTGTGATTATAAGGACACGGTGAGGTGGAGCACTGACCGCTGAGATGTAGAGACAGGAAGTGACCGCTCCCCCTCCTCATTGTTTCCAGGAGGCTGCAGCTCTGATGGTTTCCTGTCAGGGAAACAAGAACCCCCCCCACCCCCTCAAAAACTGCAGAGCTGTGGAGTTACAGCTGCAGAGAAACATCACATACACATGAAGACATATACAGTATTAATAACAAACCTGAGAGTCTGCAGCAGAGCGTAGAGCTCAGCGAGGTGGAGCTCAGCGGGTTTTAGGCTGATGGGTCGATAGTTTGTTCTTACGCAGTTTGAAAACAGGTAGATTGGCTGTACTTTGGAGTAAGAAACAGAGAAACTGAACTGTGGATGTTAAACATCCAGACACAAATGAAGCCATCATCTTTGAGAGATCTTCAGGCTGATTTTGGGCCTGACTCCCTTAAGACTGAAGTCAACAAAGACCCGATCATCAGACCAGTCTGAGGATGATCTTGTTTGATCATCTTGTGGTGTGAAGTGTGTTCAGGCATGAAATTAATCGAAGCCGCTTCGACTTAAGACCATCAATATTTAAGATGTTCGATATTTACGGTCAGATATCCAGATGGAGAGAGGAATCTTGAGGATCACTGAGACCTCTCTCTCTCATTCTCTCGTTTTTTTAAAATCGGTTAAGATTGAAAGTTGTTTTAGTGTGTACGAAGTCTTTCAGAAGCCCTTTTCGCCTGTGTACAACAAAATCTCCAAAAACTGGTGCATGTCTGGACACTCCAAGTTTTCACCCTCTTTCCAGCAAGCTTCCTCTGGTAAACGTTCTGTAAGAAGTCAGAGTGAGTCTGTGGGTTTTAGTCCCTCTTTCTTTCCTGCGGGTGAAACTGTGTTTGATCTTTGTATGCCAGATGAGGTCATGACCTCACTGTAGGTCGCCTGATCACAGTAGGTAGTTTCCTCTTTTCTCAACCTGACACCTCAAAGCGAGAGTGTGACCTTAGGTTGCTACACCGGTTACATGCTGTTACCATGGAGACGATGCCACACATTACATCATCACATGTTCCCAAAACACTGCCCCACCGTAGGCTGATAATCTGTGTGTGTGCGTGTGTGAGTGTGAGATGAGGTCACATCTCGTGTGTGTGCCTAAATTAGGAGTGTGTTTTTTTTCCTCTCTCTTTGTGTTTGCGATCTGAGATCAGAGCGACTGTGAGGCTGTGATGTGGAGCAGAAAATAGAAATGGAAACACAAACGCACACAAACAGATACACACTCAGAGCAGACTGTCTGTTGTTAACCTACATCTAAACACTCATTCGGCAGAACTGAAATGAACATGAAACAAGAAAAAAAGAGGAAAAAAACGTTTCGTGACACGAGGAGTGAAACTGTCTTTAGCCCGCGGACCTTCAAAATCAAGTACAGTTTTATTTCCATTCTACTTAATTTACTTGTATCTAATCTAATTTAATCTAATTTGGCTTGAACACTGCAATCAAGATGGGCAATGTCAGTCACATGGCTCATAACATGTCATGCTGGCACCACTTCCTGGCACACGTCTGACTGAAGCCAATTTCTTCTAAACACAAAAATACTCAACACAAAATAATATTTAAAACAAATGATATAAATACCAGAATTTTAAGTGTTGCAATTAATATTGTAGAAAAGGGGAAAAAAGCTATATTACATTGTTTTTCTAATATGGTGCAGCCCCGACAGTATGCCTCTATTTTTGAAGAAACTGGATCCAGACACACTGATCTTCTCAGTCTGAATGTTGCAGAAAATACAGATTTTACTGCCAGTCTCACAAAGCGAGTGGATTTTACTGTAACTATATACATATTCCTATTCACTTTTAGAGTTGATACCCCAAACATATCAATATTATATTTAATACGACAGCATTTTGGACCACTCTTGTCTTCTGTCCACCATGATCACTTCCTGACCACCTTTTGATATGCGTCACATTATTGTTTTGCAGGACACAAGGAACACAGTGGAAGGCATAAGGAAACTGTTTAGCATAAAGGCAAATAGTGTTGACATCTCAAACTAGCTAAAACCAGTTCCTGATCTCGAACCAAATCTTGATTCCCATCCACAATCTGCATCTACATCAAGAAAGTCTAGAAACACTGCTGTAGAGAAGCTATCTAATCTGCAGAGTTAAAGCAGCTGGTTTGTCCAAACTGTAAACACATAAAAATAACCGTGCGTTTGTTCTCTTTTGGTTTGTTATATTTAGTAAGTAAAAGTTTACTCTGTGTGATTACAGCCTTGTCTCCACCTGACTCACATCAGAGTTAATTTCTCTGAGCCTCCTCGAACCCGACATTAACACACTGATCCACAGTCACTGCTGTAATTCACCTCTGGACTCAAAGACATGGATTTATGGATTTACGTCTGCCTCCTTACATCCATAATCTCCTTTAATTTGTGTTTGTCTTTAGTGGGATTAGATGGTGTTCTTACTCGTAATCAAACACTGTATTTTTACTCACAGAGGAGGTTAAATATCAGGAGTGCACAAAGCTCAGTCAGAAATCTGCAGAAATGACACTAGGAAGCATTGAATTTACAGCTGGCTGTGCATCTACTGAAAAAAATATTACTACAATAGCGATGTTTTTAAAAATAATAATGTCCAAACGAAGATATTTCTCCTCCTCTTCCTCTCTGTATGAAGCTGTAGTTTTTCCTAAATGTGAAACGTACAGTTTGAGTGTCCTGACAGACGCCAAAATCCCTCTGAATAAATAAACAGGAGCACTCTCTCATCCTCCAAATGTAGGCCAGCACACACACACTTGCACACACACACACTCACACACACACACACACACACACACACACACCTCTATCACCCACTTAAATCCGCCTGGCAGCATCCTGGCATCCAAACATCTCTCTCTCTCTCTCTCTCTCTCTCTCTCTCTCTCTCTCTCTCTCTCTCTCTCTCTCTCTCACTCACACACACACACACACAGCAGAATCTGGTTCAGCATCGAGCACACACACTTTCCATACAGCTCTCCTCCTGCAGGCTAATCCTAACACACCATGAAGCTCACGCCAACACACATTTGAGCACATATGTTCACAAACACACACATAACATTGTACATACATAAACACACTCACATTAACACACATACTTACATAAACAAACACACACACACACATTGAATGCAGATTAAACGAGCAGACATGTGGAGGTTGAGGATTTAGCTCTCATAACTAAATCTGTCAGAGTGTAATCTAAGGATTCAGCCTCACCTGCTCAGGTGTGACATTAAATCACACTGTGGGGGAAGCGTGTGTGTGTGTGTGTGTGTATGCGGTTAATATTGATGAAGCTTTATTCCTGTGTGGGTGTTTCACTCTGTGCTCGCTGATTGAATAAACTTGTGTGTTTTGATGTTTTTGACAAATGTGAAATCGGAGTCTATCAGTATGAAACTGTTCACCTCTTTGAATAAAACTTGCTTTAAATCTCTTCTCAACATTCAGACATTTACCATCTTCTGCTACAGGAGCTGCTCAGTGAAGCAGATTAAATTCTAATACAAACCTCAGTCTGGGTTACATTACTTTAAGAAAGTGCAGACACCTCAAGAGAACAAGTATTAAGATTTAACTTTGTTTAAAAAGCTCTGAACTGGGAGCCCCTCCAGAAACTGCAGATATAAATAAGCATAAAGGTGTTCCACAAGGATCTGTACTGGGTCCTATCTCATTTTAAACGATTAATGTAGTAGTGTTACCTTTTCTGATACCGATTTGTGCTTAAACATTCCCAACGGCATGCATCTGAAAGACAGTAAGTAAAGGTTATACATTAGGGCTGGGAAGATATACTTTTCTCCCGATTCGATTCTTCTACGATATTTTGGATGCCGATTCGATTAAAATTGTGATTCTACGATATTGTCGATTGTCTCGATTTTAGTCTGCATTTGTGACACCATTGAAACAGTTCAATTATTAGGATTGTCTACTGACTATTCCAGGAACCATATTTTCCCAAAATGTAAACATCAAATGTAAGTCACTCTTACACTAGAATTTACTGTTTGAATTATCTGAACCAATAAATCTTAATTCTTAGCTAATGTTATCTTAACACACCTTCAATTAAGGGCAGATGTAAAATGTTCCCTTTGTTACATCATTTACAGAGACCAAATATAATTCCACCATCAGACAGAAATCAATTCCTGTAACAAACAGAAAAAACCTCCAACAGAAACAAAATCACTGTCTGAGTCTGTACCAGTCTCAGCCTACAGTCTGAGCCACATTTCAAGGTTAAAGACTCTTTGAAGATTTTTTGTTTTATGTATTAGCCAATTAGATTTTCCCCAAAGGGTGTAGCCCCTCCCCCCTACAGAAAGAAAAATAGATATTTTGGTTTTTGACGACTTTATTTTTCTGAATCAATTTCTCACAGACACACAAATCCTGTTTGTGTTCAGTAGGGTGGTGCTGGTGTGTGTTTAAGTGTGTGTTTTTTGGAAGCGGGTGTCGTCCCCTGCAGCCCTGCCAGTGGCCACACACACACACACACACACACACCACATCACATCATCACTAAATTCAACAACAAGACCCCCACCACTGACCCACATCTTTCTCTGCTGTCAGCATATCACCACTCTGTGTGTGTGTGTGTGTGTGTGTGTGTGTGTGTGTGTGTGTGTGTGTGTGTGTGTGTGTGTGTGTGTGTGTGTGTGTGTGTGTGGCAGGTTTCCAGTTTGAGGAAACTCCCCCTCTTTAATCCCATTACTCTCTCTGCCGCCTGCTCTCTCCCCTTTTCCTCGTTTTTCTATCTCTCCATATTTAATCTTGATTTTTGTCGTCTGTCTCTCACGCCAGTTTTTCCTGTCCACTGTCTCTCCGTCTGTCTGATATCCTGTCAAACATCTGTGTTTTTACCCCTATAACACTGCTTTTTTACTGTTAGTACAGCTTGTCTCACTTGAAATAGGAACATTTGCATATATCCACTCTGTTTGTTTTCACCGTCTTTGTTATACCGTATATTATTTATAAATAGACCAATAAGATGGCCAATCTTTGTCTGTCTTATGGTTGAATTCTTTGATGCTGAATGAAAATAATTACTAAAATGGGGTTAAAATACCTCACATTTGCACTACTTTAGTGAACGCACTCAGTGTAAAATTATCTCAGACCAGATCCTCCTGAAGGATTATGTCTGAGTGAATTTAAGGATTAATTTTCAGCGACTGATTTATGATGGAAAAGTCATTTGAAGGTTTTAAACGCATGAATTTAAGAGTAAATGAGACTGATTTTAATATTCAAACATCTGCAATCCAACACTTTAAATATTTGTCTAAAATTATGTTTGTTATTATAAGGAAATCAATATTTATGATCATGACCCTCTCAGCTGTCTGCTTTATAATCACCCCAACTCTCTAAACCTGTAATCCACCGCTGTCTGCCGTCAGACGGTCACTAACACACACACTAATACACACAGGCTTTGTTTCTAATAAACAGCTGATACAGACTCTGTTAGACCCACAGTATCTCTCTGAGCATCAGAGACCTGACCTGAGACTGGAGTCAGACTGAGTCTAAACCACAGACTGGATTAAATGTGGACTCAGTGTGATGCTGCAGTCATGTGCTCCTCCTTGGTCCCACTTTCTGAGTCAGGAGGTCGCTCTCCTGATTCATTCAGTTCAGAAATATGGAAAGATACAGCAATATTTTCATATACAGAGCAGCCCTTATTATCACAACACCAGACAGTATAATCACATATCATCATGTCGCTCCCTTTTAAAGGTTATGTCCTATTTTGCTTGCCATGTTGTTGCAGGAGCTGAAAGCAGAACGTTAATGTATTTCTGTACATGTCCAACATTTTATCAACATGTTCCTGTGTGAACGACTGAACTTGTTGGATAAAGCTTCTCCTGAATTGGAGGTTGTCTTATTGGTTGGTGTTGACGACATGTGGATTTAAAACCCTCAGCAGTGTGAGACAGCTGATGACCTTTCAGTGTTATTAATTCACACTTACTCTCACAGTCACACACCTGCACGTGGAAAGGTGAGGCGTAAACCTGCTGTTTCTGCTCTCCTGACTGACGCCTCTGACCTTTACTCCCTCAGCTTGATGCTGACACTGAAACATCTGTTGCTCTGTCCGTTTGAGGCAGGATGTTGTGTTTTTTTCCCTGTTTTCATAAGTTTTAAGAACATATCAAACATGAGTAGAAATATTTTGTCACCGGTTCTGTTCATAACCTTTATGGACAGAATTTCGAGGCGCAGCCGGGGGGTGGAAGGTCTCCACTTCGGCAGGCAGAGGATCGCGTTGCTGCTTTTTGCAGATGATGTGGTTGTTCTAGCTTCGTCCAGTAGTGACATTCAGCTCTTGCTGGTGCGGTTCGCGGCCGAGTGTGAAGCGGCTGGGACGCGAATCAGCACCTCCAAGTACAAGGCCATAGTCCTCAGTCGGAAAAAGGTAGAGTGCCTTCTCCAGGTCAGAGGGGTGGTCCTGCCTCAAGTGGAGGAGTTCAAGTATCTCGGGAGCGGCGTCAACAGTATTGCAGATGCTTAACCAATCAGTTGTGGTGAAGAAAGAGCTAAGCCATAAGGCGAGACTCTCGATTTACCGGTCGATCTATGTGCCGATCCTCACCTATGGCCATGAACTTTGGGTAATGACCGAAAGAACAAGATTGCGGATACAAGCGGCCGGAATGGGTTTCTTTCACAGGGTGGCCGGGCTCAGCCTTAGTGATAGAGTAAGGAGCTCGGACACTCGGGAGGCGCTCAGAGTAGAACCGCTGTTCCTCCATGTCAAGGGGAGTCAGCTGAGGTGGCTTGGGAATCTGGTTAGGATGCCTTCTGTACGCCTCCCGTTAGAGGTGTTCCAGACATGTCCCACCGGGAAGAGACCTCGTGGCCAGCCCAGGACCTGGTGGAGGGATTATATCTCTCGCCTGGACTGGGAGCGCCTGGGAATCCCCCCCGGGAGGAGCTGGTGGAAGTGGCTGAGGTGAGGGCCATCTGGGCTTCCCTCTTGAAACTGCTGCCCCCGTAAACCGGACCCGGATCATACGTGCTGAAGTGCTTTTCTGCAGAGCAAGACAGTTTCGAAGTTTTAATGCAACCATGTGCAACTCACCAAGTTGACCTGACCTTTCTGTCCTCTGAACTGTGTTCAGATGAATCTGTCAGCAGATAGTGTAACTGCACAAACAGACGGACAATAGCTTTACTTTCATTATCACCACGGTTACAGTAAACAGCAGCTGCAGGGTCAAAGGTCAGGGATTATAAAACCATGATAGAGCAGATCTCAGAGGAGAGTCAGGTCAGTGTTTATCTCTGATCTCTCTGTTGTAAGAAAATCTATAAATGTGACTTGTCTGTAATCTGGTCTGTTGACTTTGGGAAAGTGAACTGGAGGGAATTTGATGAAAAAAAACGAAAATCAATGAGCACATGGAAAAAAGATTTGTGCCAGCGATGAGATATTTAATAATCCAGAACATCAGGAGACAGAGTTCAGCAGGAGTTCAGATCAACTCTCAGTCTGTCTGTCTGTCTGTTTATAAACCATCTCAGTCCCATGTTGGTTATTATCCGTCTCATTACAGCACTCAGGAGCCAAAACAAACTCATTCACTGTGATTCCATGACAATAAACAGGCTGAAAAGATGCTGAAATAACTACATCAGGATGGTGATGTGGAGGAAATCTGAATTCAAGATTTGTCAGGTCTGTCTGCTAAAAACGGTTATTTTTTGAATGGAGTTTGGTGGCAGTAAACTGAGGATGTCAGGAGAGTCAGTGAAAATATGTTGTTTTAGGTTAGATGACTGATTTGTTATCGATGTTTATGACCATGTTGAGAAATTTTGCAGAGAAGTAGCTTCATTTTAACTTTGTAAATGAAAACAATGACGAACTGACTGAATTACCAGAGGCCAGCTGTCATTTCTGCTTGTTTACATCCAGGTAGTAGAGTCTTATAGCATTACAGCTGCACTCCAGCAGCATTATTGGGGCCTATGATGATAAAGTTTTCATAATGAGGTTAACTGAGAGAAAATGTAGTGCAGCCTAATGAGGGTGATGAGGTTTTAATGTTAAGTCAACTAAACATGCACATCCAGTGTCCACAGGGGGCGCTAAATCCGCACAAACATTACCCTCTTCACAGTAGCTTTAATGGTAGCCTGCTGCAGAGGAAACTGAAGAAACTTTTCAGTCAGACTGAGAGATTTCTGAGGTCAGCCCAGCTTTACGAACCTACGTACTGTATATTTAGACCTGTGTATGTATGTGTGTGTGCGTGTGTGACTGTGTGTGCTACTGTGTGTGTGTTTTGAGTGTATTGTAAGGCTGTAGATCCGTCGTTTGATTCTTTGATCTGACTGATTTAACCTCTCAGACTCTCAAACAGCATGAACACTATCAGGTTTCTGCTCCTGCGTGTGTGTGTGTGTGTGTGTGTGTGTGTGTGTGTGTGTGTGTGTGTGTGTGTGTGTGTGTGTGTGTGTGTGTGTGTGTGTGCTGAAGGAGCAGACTGATCTCTCTGGGTGTTCTCGTCCTACTTTCCCCTCAGTGCAGACAGAAAGTGGGGCGATCGAGGCAGCGATGAGTTAGTGAGGGAGTAGCATGGTCGTCCTGTGAGTGTGTGAGGTAAATACCTCTTTAAAAAAACACACACAGATTGCTTTCTTTATTTTTCTTTGTTTCTCTGTGTTTCTTCTGTGTGCTCCTTCAGCAGTACGAAGCCCCTCGGCTGCGGTTGTGTTGGCGCTCTGCTCTCTCTGAGCGTGGACGGGGATTCGGTGGATCTTGGTGGATGTTGTTGGATGTGTGGGAGGATGTGGAGCTTGAAGTACTCGCTGTGTTATGTAACTGTGAGTTCAAGTCGGAGAACAAAACAAAGAGTCAGAGAGTAATGGAGCGAGGAAGAGGAGGAGGAACAAACTCTGATTGTCTGATGAAGCATCATTATTCCTCCGTCCATATCCTGTTTGTTCCTGACTTTATACATTTGTAGAGTTTGCAAGTTCCTGCCTGAGACCATTTGTGGGAATCTGAGTCATCTTGGTAGTTTCTGGGTTGCTCTGCTCTGTGCATCAGTACCAGGAATTCCTCTTAACTGCAGCATCAGTCTGAAACCGAAACTAAAGTGCACATTATCTTCTGGTTTTAATATGTGAGAAAGGAGAAGCTGATGCAAACAGAGTCGCTGGTTTTACGTCTACAGTTGTCTACGTGCAGTTAGTGCATGCATGCTTGGTGATTTTGGTTCTTGTACTTTAGGAAACCAGGAAGAGGGGTAGCAGTAAATAAAGACAGAAAAGAGTCTCTGGAGCGGTGAGTTCAGCTTCAAAGCTCTGCCAGATGGATCTCTCCATGACACCATAACTGTCTGCACTTACTGTTGATATAGCGCTGTGTGATTAAACAAATCTTGATTTCAGTTTGGATTATTGCCCCAGGATCATAAAGATATGATAATGGAGGCTGACAATCGCTGTAACGCCTGCTGTGTTTGCACTCGTGTTGTCCTATATGTCGAAGGAAGCTCATCCTCCTTTTCTTCCGCTAAATCAGGACAAGGGCTCAGCTCTCACTTTGACTCCATCATTAAGAGCTCAGATGTACAACAACTGGGGCGCCACTGGCCTTCAGGTCCAAATAAAGGGCGGGTTTGCTTTGAGCAGACAGTCCGGGTCTGATCTAGCCCGGGGCTTCTTTCCTGAATGTCACACCCCGCTCTCTCTCTATCTCTCTGTTTCCTGCTCCATCCACTGACCTCCTCTCTCTAATAAAAACAGGGTTTACATGCAGCTTGTAAGTTTATGACACAAGGAAGTTACAGCTTGTGCAACAGCGGTACAAACTATCAGACAGACACAGGTGGAGAGAGGAGAGCAGGGAGAGGAGCAGGAGGAGGCAGACAGAACTTTACATTAGATTTTTTCTTAAATTACATATTACTCAGATAAACAGAGAGGCATGCTTTTAGGGCCGTCAAAACTGCTCCAAAATGAGATTTGAATGTTCGTCCTGAATATAACACATATTAGGATATGTAGCTTACACGGCTTGCATAGAACTTTCTCTTGCTCTGAACTTTTTCCGTCTACCATTTCTGCCCAAAACCCAAAGAATTTCCAAATGGAGCTTCGGAGCTAATGGAACTAAAGTTCGTTGAGGTCCAGACCACTCTCTCCAAGTTTGGCGCCGAACATCTCGCTATCTTTCTCTGCGTGTGCCAACCTAGCGACTAGATTTAGCGACTTTTCAGACCCCCCTAGCGACTTATTTTCAAAAGAGCGCCTTGCAACAAATCTAGCGAAGTTTAGAGACTCTAACATGAACGCAGGTATCGATGTTACTCTCTCAACGGGTAGCCGCTGTGCATCAAAAACAAAGACACAGACACCCGGCGGAAGACTCCTCCTCCTCCTCCTCCTGAGGTTTGGGTGGGGTGAGGGGTCAGCGGTGGTGGGTTTGACTGAGAAATTATGCAAATTAGGCAATGACGTCATCTAGAGACTTTTACGACAGCCACTAGCGAATCTCCTTACTAAGGAGTTGGCAACACTGTGTGCCACAGACATTTTTTTGACGAGTCTCGGTGCACTACAGTTACTTCGTTACAGTGCGCTCACTCACAAAGCGACCACATTTTACTTACTTTTTTTTTTCCCAACTTGTTTTTTTCCCCCGCTGTTTATTTGATAATCGAATGGTAATTTTCACATTTGAATCTTGTTTTTTTTTTTTTTTTTTTTTTTTTTTTACATATTCTAATATAAATTAGAATTTAGAATATTCGTTGACAGCCCTGCATGCTTTAGTAAATCAGAAAAGTAAATCAGGTCTTTCAAATAGCTCAGAATAATTTCTATTTAAAGAGGTTTTAAAATTCAGATTTAATGAGTCATCGTTTTTAATAATCATGAGTCATCGTTTTTAACAACCATGATCTTAACATAATTAAAATAACCATGATTGGGATTTTTGCCATAATGGAGCAGCCCTACTGTTAAGTTTCCACCGCAGTACGCCAACTCTCACATATGCCAAGTTCACAGCTCACACAGAGAGTCCTCCTCCTGCTCCTCCTCCTCTTTGCCAAAGCTGTGATGTGAGACACTGTGAGAGGAAATAATCTTTTTGAGTGATGGAAAGTGTAACTGACCTATCTTCTGTTGACATGGTGAAAATTCTCCCGGTTTGCGTTCACACGTGCTGCTCACTCTGACAAGTTTTCAGCTGTTTTTACCTGTGTGAACACAAACTGTCCTAACATTATTTGCCTGTGTGAGCATGTGTCTGCCACAGACAGTGCTGAGAGGACAGTAGACTGTGGTGTCAGAGCGCCCTCTAATGGAGGAGGAATAACATGATGACACCATTTTAAAACCACATCTGCATTGTTTTCTGCAGTATATGATCCGTTAGAAGAATTTTCTATCTGTGCATTAAAAAGACACTCTCCATGGTAGGAGTGTGCATTTGTGAGTGTGTGTGTATATGTGTGTGTTTGTAAAAATAGATCATGAGTAGAAATCAGAGTCTGCAGGAGAGAAACTCACAGAGGAGCTGAGATTGTTCACTGAGCTCAAATAAATCGACTGCAGGACGAGGAATGTTCCAGTAGCACCGGAAAACAATTCAGAGAGAGCGTGTGTGTCTGTGTGTGTGTGTGTGTGTGTGTGTGTGTGTGAGTCCACGTTTGTGTGTGTCCTGCCTGCCATCAACAGACCTTATAAAGCAAATCTTGTGTTTTAATGGTTTTTTGGGAATGTGTGTGTATTGTGTGTGTGCATAAATGGCTTGTCCTCCCACAGGAATCCTACATGACCTATTTCACAACCCACGTCCATCTGCCACAACCACACACACACATGCACACACACACACGCACACACAGATTCTATGTTTAGATCTGGAAACACTTGCACAATCTGCAAATATGCATTTTTTTGCCACAGGGTAAACATGAAACACACTGGTTCACACACACGTGCGCGTTTACTTATTGTGCAGCCGTTGATGCATGCAGCTTCACACACACGCATGTTTGCATCCATGATGCTGCATCCATGCAGAAAGTGACACACAGCCATTCTTGAACTTTCTGTCTCTTCTTCTTCTGCTGCTGTGTGTGGATTTAAAGGTTAACAGAGTCAAGAATATGAATATTTTATCATAAATTTAGGACTCTTCCTGTCTGGACAGAAAGGTTTTGTGCGTTAAAAAGCAGCACAGTTTCTATTCTCCTCGTTTTTCAGTCCTCGATGATTTTACAGTTGACTTTTCAGACTATTTCTGTCTGTGTGTTCCTCATTTGAAATAGATGCTGATATGTTACAGCTGATTTGTGGAGTTATTTTGAAATCTAAACAAGTAGCCCTGTCAGCTGGCTGCAGGGAGCTATAAATACTTTGTCTGTTTAAAATCTACAAAACCATGATGGCAGTGTTTACCTCAGAGTGATGGGAGACTTGCAAGGGGAGGGGAGGGGTAAATCTTCAAGAAATAAAATCATAATCTTTGTTTCTGCACCTTAAACCCATGTAGAATACTTCTTTATGTTTAGAAAACTGTTGTTGTTTTATAGTTTGCACTATAAAATTGACAGTTTGTCCAGGAGAAACATGGCAGCACCTGGGGAAGGACATCAGGAATGCAAGCAGGACACAAATGAGATGGATCTGACACATGAAGTTTGCAAGAAGTGAAATATAAAAAAATAAAATACTGTGTAAATAAGACAAACGTAACAGAAAGATAAATGCTAAATCAGCTAAGCGGTTAGAAAAATTGCCACATATGGTATTGCAATAGTCACTGTATTGCAAAATGTCTAAAATCACATTAATATCGAATCGTGGCCCAAGTATCGTGATCATATCGTATCGTGGCCGAAGTATCGTGATCATATCGTATCGTGGGGCCTTGTGATTCCCCCCCTAAGTATTCGCTGTGATCTATATGACTTTGGTAAGATCAGATGCAGTGAAGAAATCTGTATTTTTGGACTCAAATGGATCTCGATTTTGGATGTTAGAGGACTTTAGACAAAGTTTGATGACAGACACGTCTTCATCTTTTCCTCAATATTATCTCTTGTCTTCATCCTGGATGAAATAATACCTAGTTGAGTCAAGGTTAAGTTCAGGGGAAAAATGCAGCTGTATGGGTTCAGACATGCAGCTCCATGATGAAACGTCAGGAATTTAACAGTAGTCTATGTGCGAATTCATGCAAGACTGCAGGATTTTAAAGGAAACATGAATATCAAACCTAGAATCTGTCCTCTGTTTAGCCAGGTGACTGCTTCTGGAGTTTAAAGTCTCCTTTCAGGTAACCACCTGATAAGCAGAGAAGAAAGTCTGTAATTATAACCCTGATATGCTCTGACCTCTATCTGTTATCTTATTTATCATGATGAGTGTGATTGAATCTCATAACACATAGATTCAAAGTGGAGCAGTGGCTCCTCTGTTTGCACTCTGTGTTCTGCACACAGGGTCAGAGTTACACAGCAGTTAATATAGCGCTGCTCCTTTAGTTTTCTCCTACCCCTGAGTGTGTGTGTCTGTGTGTGTACGTGTGTGTGTGTGGTGTAAAGAAGCTTGTTATTACTGTACTGCAGGGAGGAGTCTCGCCTTTTCCTGCACCACCAAAGGATGCAGCTGCAACACATGCCCACGAAAAAACACACTCAGAGGAAACTCTCAGCATCTTCAGCCAATTACAGAGATGCATGAAAAGATAGTTTCAGCTTCCATTGATGTCAATTAGCATTTTTATTCCAATGTTTTCTGATATTTTGTCACATTTTGGTCATTTTTGTGCAGAAATGTGAAGAAGTTTTCCATTTTGAGGAGAAACTGCAGCTTCAGGACATTTTGTAGAAGAAAAAAGAAACTCTCTTGAGTATTTTTGAGGCTATAATCAACGTTTATTTAGTTCCTGATCAGCAGGTTAACAGATAACTCTGTGTCTGTGTTGCTTCAAATCAAACAGAAGTGACTGTGAACGTATTGTCTTAATGATAAATCAGTCTTTTGTTTCCTCTTCCTCTTGTCGGTCTCTTTTCCTTCCTCCTCCTCCTCCTCCTCCTCCTCTTCCTCCCCCTCCTCCTCCCTCCGTGTGTCCAGATGACAGAGCTGAGTGTGTTAATGAGTGGGCAGAAAACATTTTTGTGTCTCGGCTGCTCAGCCTCCACATTCCTGCTCTGAGTCCATCAGACCGTTGCTCCATCAGACGTCTCTGAACAATGTCACGTGTCTGTGTGTCTCTGAACAAACCAGAAAACCTCTAAACTAATTCATGAATCAGTGTCGTGACAGATTTCTACAATCTCACCTGCATGACACCGTTGTTAGATCCACACTGTGGCGTCAGATGGATGCTGTTCTCTGGCTGCTCGGTCCGTCCTTGTAAACTAGTCTGGGGTTCTGACTGATCCTTTCAGCTGCTCACTCTGCAGTAATCACGAATAGTGAGATCTCACTTTCAAGCTTCATATACAAATAAACACAGAGCCTGTTTACCATCATTAGCCCCTGATAAAGATGACTGTCAGTGAAGCACGGTGAGCACAGGAAGAACTCGGATTGGTGGTAATGAGGGGCAGACGATTATGGACTGCTCTGATTTTTTGTTACATTAACTTTGATCATGAAGCTTGATGTTCCTCTAAGGTTTCGCGGTTCATTATTGAACTAAGCAAACAGACTGGATACTCTGTTAGAGTGACATTTACAAATTAAAATCGGCCAAAAGACGCACGTCATGTAACTTATTTCATTACTGCAGCAGACCAACCGCTTGACAATCACATCTCATGCGTGTGTTATTAAAGCATGTGGAGGTCATGCATTATATCAGGTTGTGCAAACAGTAAAGATAGATCAGATTGTGAGTGGAAAAAGGGACGCAGACTGGCTCTGGTTCAGCTCCTTAACTCTCTGATTGTTCTTGTAGCGACTGCTTTCCTTCAACAAAAAAGCCGCTGGGGTTTCGGTGCGCTTGCGTCTGTGAGTCGTTCAATTATCAGTCCAGTTTGAGTGTCAAAAAGTGGCTTATTGTTCCAAAAAATAAAAAAACCTACACTGATCCAGGTCCAAAACTTTTGCCTTTGAATGAAAAAGTGATATGATGAAATGAGGTTAAAACAGGATGAGTGAAACGGTCAACAGAAAACCATTGTCTGACTACACCGGGGAGATTTAAATAACCCGCTAAACATCCCAAAACCACACACCTCAGTGCTGATCCCTGGAAATGATGTACCTGGTAGAAATCATGTGCTACAGTTCTCATTTTGGCTGTAATTTGGTGAGTTTAGATTCTCTTCTCAGATCACTTGCTAAAAAAAACACTTTATGTGACATAAAATACCTGCAGTGTTCAATATAATCAACTACTGCTCTAGAAAACTTGGCAACCAAGAAGAATAAGTAGTCTTGAAACCCCTGGAGTAGACACACTAAGGCATTAAAGTTGATTCTGGTTCAGATAACATCAGACACAGGGTGATGTTAAACTCAGCACTCTTTCTGTCCGACTCAGCTCTTCCTCCAGATGTTTTAAAATGATGACATTTGGATTACTGGAAGGCTTTTAATGTGAAACATCTGTGCAGGAAGTCCAGAAGTGGTGGGACTTTCTTTTTCGGTGGTGGGACTCTTCTTGTCTGCGAGCCTTTTTTTCTTCTTCTTCATTTGGTGATGACTGTTAGAGAAGAGAAAGTTTGTTTCTCCAAATGCTGCTTCTTAAAACATTGAACTGACTCAGGGCATGTTTAGTCATTTCATTTTGTTTTTTATCTACAAGCACAAACAGCTGCTGTTCTCTCTCAGCAGGGAAACAGAGAAATACAAACATGTAGGTTTATCCAAAACAACAGCCTGACTACAGAAACAAAACTCACCTCTACAGAAATAGAAGAGGTTAAAGAGCAGACAGTTCATCTGATGCATAGACTTCTTTTTGCACCCATAATCCCAGCATGCACCTGTTCTTTTAACCTCTTGATCCTGCAGATTAAACTCATATCTCTTCATGCACTTTCATTTATTTCCTCTGCAGAGTTTTGTCTCCTGATCTGAGTCCGAGTTCAGGTGCAGAAACCTCCTCCGCCACTCTCTTTATCTCTGCGTCTTCCCGTAAAAAGTCAAAGGTCACATGTTAGTAACAATACACAGTGCCACCTTTGACCCTGATGAGGTCACTTCCTGTTTCTTAAGGGTGGGAGTGTTGTTATTAACACAGGAAGCTCCACGCCCGCCTGTTTCACAGGGGTGAGAGTGTTTACAGTCTCAGGACTTTCTGCACCCACATGCTCACACACACAGAGGTCAGTCTGAGGCTGGACCACAAACATCAACAGCGTTTATTTGTACACCCATATTTTCATGCAGAGTTATTTTATGAGCTATAGAAATTTAAGATCATCTCAGAGACTTTTACAAATTGCAACTCCATGACAGCATGGACACAAAGTCTCACCATCCTTAGTTCTCTCTGCTTTCACTCTGCAGCTGCGTAATGTTGGTGTCCCAGTGTGCCGTTACATCTCTGAATCTCTCTGTAGACATGCAGTAACGTGGTTCAACTTCAGGATAAAATCTCCTCCAGGTTGTTTTTTATCAGCCGCTGACGATCTCCAACGTCTCTCTGAAAACTCCAAATCCACGCTCCGCAGCTCCTCCTGTTCCTCTGCATGTCGGAACAAGTGAGGTGGAGGAAATCTGTCCTCAAACTCTCACAGTAACTCACATCAGATCCTCTGAAACGTGTCAGAGAGGCATGGAGATGATTTACTGTAAGAACGCCCCGAGGTCAGAGGTCAGAGGAGAGTGTGGGTTACCAGTTTGAATTCAGGACAGACTGAGAGACGGGACTGGTTTCAAACTGTGCAATAGTTCACTGTTGTTTCCAAGATACATGTTTGTAATATGGGAGATAAACTGACTTTAAAGGGATATTTCAGTGTTTTTGGAGTGAGATTGTATGAGTTAAATTTTAACAGTAAACGTTTTAACCATAGACTGTATATAGAATGGACAGCGTCTGCTTCCTTGCTGGGTGATGCCACTCTGAGAACAGCACCCTCTGGTGACGGGCTGCAGTATAGGTCATACAGCCTGTGGTTGTACGAAGATTGCGTAGCTCACCCAGGGGATACGCTGTTTGAGCCGAGCGTCATCACAGTGACTCTCGGCGACTCTCCCGTCGAATGCTTACAACACTACTGCGCAATGTTGGTTTCAGGAAATGGAGAGAAAACGCAGAATTAGAGCTTTTCGTCTTCAAATCTGTATACAGGTGGAAGGTGGAACCAAGTTGTCCATAGTATATACAGTCTATGGTTTTAACCCTGTAGAATAAGCCTCATGCTAATAGCACAAAAACAAATGATAAAGAGCTGACATGTTTCTCAGTAGAGCGTACACTTTAACCAAGATGAATATTCGGGTCGGAGTCTCTTAATTGGTTAAAACACTTCTTAGTGACATGTGACCTACTATACATCAGAAATACTGAAATATCCCTTTAATGTGGATGGATTTTTTCAGCGTGAATGAACACGTCTGTGACCGAAAATATGATGTTAGGTACATCATACAGGCTCGGTCAGCGACAGCAATGACCCAGTATGAGTGTGTGTGTGTGTGTTAATGACCTGAGGCGTGTATCATGTTATCACAAGTAGAAGAGTTTGAGTGTGTTCAGACAGAGGTGTGTCTGAGTGGACGGCAGCCTTTAAAATCATCATTCTTCTTCTTTTATTTAAATATTCATCATTTATTTCTCTTTAAGTGTGTCTGTGAGGAAGATGAAAGCGGGTAATGAAGCCTGGGTGATATTTTTAACACTCACAATGATGTTGAACGTGCTCTTTGTTGTGTTCACAGGATGATCAGACTGACTCTTTGTTTCTCAGTCTCTCTGTTTAGCAGCACTTCCTGTGACTCAGCATCCCATGATGCACTGCTACGTGTGTTTCTGATGCTCACACCCGGGACACGTCTTTTTTCCCCCGGAAAAAAAATTTGCCTCTGAATATTTCGTAATTTCGCGTCATACATTTGTGTTGTCCTGGTGTGTAAGGGCCTTTATTCTTAAATTTGGAAAAGAAAAAGATTTTTGAACATAAACATCGATTTAAAAATCGTAAAACAAAAAATACTTATGTGAATCGATTTTTTCTCCCACCCCTAGATTGTAAAGTCAGTGCTCACAGTGATGTCTTTTAGCATTTAATGCAACATTCAAGTGCTGCAGGAAAAACGAGCGTTCATCCTTGACTTCATGACCTCAAAATAACAGATTTTGTAAAGTTACCGCACACATTTAAACTTTCCAGCTCCCTCTGTTTTGGTCCCTGATGTTGTTGCTGTGCAGCTCAGTGAGGTGTTTGTGTCCTGATGAGGAAGGAAACGTCTCATATACGAGTATTTTTGTGCTGTAGATGAGAATCACTGCAGCTGGGTAAAGGTGGAGTTAACGACAGCTCCATTCAGCACCTTCTCTGTGAATTTAAAACATTATAATCAGAGTTTCAGGCTTTAAACAGAAACAGCCGAGCGTTTCCCTCCTCCTGCATTCAGAGGAAGCAGACTGTTAACTGAAGTGTTTAAAGAGCGCAGCCTCTCCGAACATTGTGCTCTGATTGTTCTCACATTTCTCTGCCTTATTTGGTCGCTCCGAGCCGTGGGCATGTTGTTGTTGTTGCAGAGTCACAGGAAGTGATGTCATCAGTCCTGGCTGTAAGTGGTTCACCTCTGACCCTTAAAAAAATAACTTCCCCCCCTGTCTGGGTACAGATTAAGTATCCTCTTCTTATCCAATCTTCAGTGTTCATGTCGGCAGCAGCAGCTCCTCCTTCAGGTTTCTGATCACCTGCTTTGTCTCTGCTGCAGGTGGAGTCGTCTGCGTTTGTCGCTTTGTTCGTTTGTGTTGGCGTCATGCAAATTCCTGCGGCGCACCGACGTGTTCGAGAGAATTTGGTGTAAAAACATGGTGATGATATAACCAAATATCTGAGACTCTTTATTATCAGATAAATAGAAACAGGAGATGTTGGCAGCGTAGGAGAACAACATCACCCCTACATCAACCAGCAGGCGGTTGAATTGCATTACAGCCAGGCCTGGTTAAATAATATAATAGTTGTATCTCTTAAACTGTCTGTTTCATAATAAGTCATGAACTGATCTTCTTCTTTTCCTCTCTGCAGATCTGTCCAAAAACAGGCTGACGGACGTCCCCTCAGAGGTCACTCACCTGGTTGCCTTGGAAACACTAAACTTGTATCACAACTGCATCAGGACCATCCCAGACAGTCTGATCGGCCTGCAGTCCCTCACATCCTTAAACCTCAGGTACACAGATATGGTCCTTCTGTCTCAGTGTGTGTTGTCTCTGCTGAAAGGTTGAGTTTGTTGTGTATTTTATGAAATTTGAACACCTCTTTAAGGATAGATGTTACAAATTAGCACAGGTTATAAATGTCTTAGTGCCGTCAGTTCACCTGCTCACACCTGCCCCTGTACAAATCTACATGAAAGAATAATAACAGTGAGTATTAAGCTTATGATGCACTTATGATGAGTAAGGGATATTGTTATTCTGCTCTAGATGTTTTTGTCTGATCTGATAGTTCCTTCTTCATTTCTCACTCTGAATTATCTGCCTAAATTCCTCAGAAATCATTACAGTTATTTCCTCTGTGTCTGGATAAAACTGGCAGCAAATCGCTTCATGTCTGTGATTGTTCCCAGATATTTAACACTTCATGCTCACAGTAACTCTGGGTTCATTTATCAGGATGCTAACCGGCTTCATGAGACTGTTTAGTGTGATCTCCTCAGTCAGGTTCAGAGAGGACGGATCACTACAAGATACCTGAGGTTTCTTAAACTCATAACAGAGCACACAGACCCAAGAGACCTTTTCTTACCACAGCATCTCGTTTGTTAACCTGCTGAAAAAGATTGAGATTAAAAGTACAACACTCATAACACAACTCAAACTAAGAGCCAGTTAACTTATGTTTGTCTGTTTGTAAGAATATGTATCTATTTTACTTCATGAGTTTTTATTTTTGCTCTTTTTTTAATGAATGAAAGTATTTGTGAGTATTTCAGACTGAATGATAGTGACAAAGCTGAAATAAAAACAGCGTGTGTGTCCTTTAAAATGAGCAGACTGTAAGTGTATTTCTATGTCACGGTCACAGCACTTTACTCTTTTTCTCTGCTCGCTGAGCTGTCCGACAACTTTGTGAGTCACTGCGTGTGTGTGTGTGTTACATGTTTCTGTGGTAACTAACAGTTGACCGAGTGTGTGTCGATACTTTGCAGCTCACACGCCTGGATCACTACTACAGGATACGCTCACACACACTCACACCTGAGGTTGACCTTCACACACACAGGCACACGCACACACACTCGGTCTCTGGCTGTGTGTAAAGGTCAGGTTGTTTCTCAGCAGGTGAATCTTTTCTGCTCCTTTGATTAAAACCTGAAACCTCAGACACTTCTTGTTTAAATCTGGTCGTTTTATGTTTTTTATTTTAATTATCTTCAAATCTGGAGTTAAATTTGCTCATATTTAAAAAAAAATGCACAAATAAATCAGCTCAATCGATCAGATTTATAACATTTTTCTCACTTAAAATAATCTCAGATAGACTCAATCAGATATTCAGTCAAAAGGAGTTGTTATTGTCCCTTTATTCTTTCGTTTTATCATGATTTTAAGCGCATGCATATGAGGACAAATACTGTAAATGTTCTGATGGTATAAAAATAAATAACACTGTTACTGTCTGAGTGCTGCAGCTTTAATGTGTCTGCGTGCACAAGATGTTTTCTAATATTCATGAACTCAGGAACACTTTATTTTTCTCTCTCTCTCACACACACACACTCAGAGTTTTAAGGAAGTGCTGTTTGTCTTCCTCTCCTGTTAGTCTGCAGTTATTTTTAGACTCAGAGTCAGACAGTCATCGTCACGCAGCCGACAGATGTTTTATTTCTCTGTTAAAACAGATTCATTAGTAACAGTTGAACAAAAGTGACCCAGACAGAGCAGAGATCATATCTGAACGCTCTTTTTCTCGGTGCAGAGTCAATCAGCTGTTTCTGTAGATCTAAAGTGCTCCCTGTGTGCGAACAGCTGGATAAACTCATTTTAAACACTTCCTGAAGGTTATTTTCAGAGCTGACTCAGACTAGCTCGGACACTCTGTGCTCACTGTGTGTGTGTTTATGTGTGTTTAATATGTGAGTTTTGGTCAGAGGTTAAAGACTCATTTTGCAGATTTATTCATCCGGGACGCCAAAACAGCTGAAAAACAGAAAGTACAGGGAGTTTTGATTCCAGACAGGAATCTGTGGTCTCTAGAGGAAGTTAAAGTAAAAATGATGACTTAAGAAATGACTGAAAGCTTAGAACTGATCGTACACCTGCTTTAAAGTTTCTTCATGTGCTTTCACACCTGGATTGTGATTTCTATGAAACCGAACAAAACAAGCGAGCAGAGAGGAGGTGGTTTCACTTCCAGTCAAACTCTGAAGTGGTTTAATTCAGAGAGAACAAAAACAACCAGAAACCAGAACACACAGCTGATCGACTCATCAGGCTTTCTGATATAATAGCAGTAGGATAGTATAGGGCTGCACGATGTATCGTTTGAGTACCGTCATTGCGATGTACGTGTGTGCGATAGTCACATCGCAGAGCCCGCGATGTCAGAGGCGAATTAACTCTAGTTTCAAGGGTAGCTGACTGAGATACACTGTATGTGACTCTGCATGTGCTTTGCAACGATCCACCAATCACATTCATTCTTTACTCAGTTGCCAATCAGACTACCCTGCCAGCCGTCAATCAAAATCAGAGAGGAGGAAACCACACCCCTGCACATGGAGTGAGTTGCTGGCGCTGCCGGTGTTGTGCCAAGAAATGCATACCTGCCGAGAATTACTTTCAGAACGTTACTCATCACTGTTTCGCCCAACAACAAAAAAATTGTATGGGTTTTAAATTGTACATTTCTGTGGACCTTTCTACTTGAAGCGGTGTGCATTTCGCAAGGTACATGCAATTCTCGGCAGGCATGCGTTTCTCGGCAGAACACCGGTAACAACAACGATTGCAAAATGAGCAACGAACAAGAGAAAACCACCAAAAATGAAGATTTTTTGCCAAAAAGAAAAGGAAAGTCGGTTATCTGGAATTATTTTGGTTACAAAAAGGATGATGTCGACCAAACAAACATGTGTTTGGTGTTTATCTGTTGCCACAATAACTTCCCAGCATAATAAAAGCTAAAAAATATCTCTGGGACAGACAGAAACCATTCTACTAACATTCACAAAAAGAGGAAAGATCAGTGCAGGTTAACTGTCCTCAAGATTCCAGCAGAAAGTGCTATTCAGATCATCATTTCCTGTATTTTTTAACATCGCAGGGTTGAAAAAATTGCAATGTTAGTCTTTTCCAATATCGTGCAGCCCTAGTATAGTATATGAAAGTATGTACACTTAAACTGAGATGAGTGTTTGAGTCAGAGTCTCTAAATCATGTGGCAGAAAACTGTAGCCTAGCCTAGCATGCATGGAGGTTCTTTCTGCAACTCTACTTAAGAAACACTAAGATTTCCATGTCTCAGTTCAGTCCTGCTTTAGATGATTTAGTAAAAATAATTCAGTAAATTTAGCTTTTGCACAACACAAGATTGACCTTTGCTAAACCCGATTCACTTTAGACCATGTTCTGTAGTTTCATGTATTAAACCGCTTTAACAGGGATCCCAAAGTCCGTCACAGTTATTCTGAGTGAAGTCTGAGTTCATCTTTAACTCTGTTTCCTGTTGACTCATCGTCTCTGCTGCATGTGAAGACTTTATTCACGCTGTCGGTCAGCTTTTAGATTTAACTCAGAGAAAAGAGAAATACCGAGAAATCTTGATTCCAGAGAGCCGTGATGATCAGACCGTCTCACTGTGACCGCTGACTGTTATGAAACAAGTCATGTCACAACAATATACAGTCGTGTTAATGTGTGTGTGTGTGTGTGTGTGTGTGTGTGTGTGTGTGTGTGTGTGTGTGTGTGTGTGTGTGTGTGTGTGTGTGTGTGTGTGTGTGTGTGTGTGTGTGTGTGTGTGTGTGTGTGTTTGCATGTTCACCTTCATGCTCTGACAGCCTGTGGTGACCTCAGTGTGTCAGGTACATGATTGTCCCTGCAGTATTACACAGAGAGGATACAGGACATGTATCAGAAAGCTCTATACTCCCCTTGTATCTGTGCATTGTGTGTCTGTGTTGTGTATCTGGGTTGTATAACAGCAGTACAAACAGTGTGTGTATGTGTGTGAATATGAATTCTTGTTGTGAAACACTTTCATTCTGTCGTGTTTTCACTCCTGGTCGTTGAATTTTAATGTTCAGAGGACGTTTAAATATTTATCTCTCCTGACAGTTTCTGTTCATCCTGACTCTGCTCTCGGAAACAGTCCATCAGAAGTATCACATTTTATTTTATCAGCATCATAACACAGAAACACACTCATTAATGAAGGGTTTTGAGGCTGTCAGTCCCAGATACCTGACATTATTATCTATCTGATCCAACAGTATAACTCCAGTCACATGGGCCTGCTGTATTTCTCATGCTTTTCCTCCTCCTCATGTGTTTCAGTCGTAACCAGCTGTGCGCTCTGCCTGCCTGTCTGTGCGGTTTACCTCTGCGAGTCCTCAACGCCAGCAACAACAAGCTGGTGAGCCTGCCGGAGAGCATCGGGCAGCTGCGGGGCCTCATGGAGCTGGTGAGTGTGTTTAAAGTCCGACAAACAGAGAACGCTCATAATTTGGGGTTCGGTTGCTTTTCTACACGAGTGTATGATTTTTGTGTGTGTGCATAGAAGTTCAGTCATCAAATTGTTCACTCTGAAGTTTGTTTTTGTAAACAAAACATGCCCTAACAAATCTTATCCCAAATTATTCTGAATTTTAGAGAAACAGACCAGATTTAATAAACATGCAGGGTTGGAAAAAGTATCAGTGTCTCTCAAATTAAAGGGATATTTCAGTGTTTTTGAATGAGGATGTATGAGTCACTTACATATCTCAGCCCCTTTAATTAGAAACTACACACAAGCAAGGCTACGGTTTCCTGCAGACAGGACCAACTTTAACACGTACTTTAGCTAATTTAGAGATGAGTACGTGTTTGGACTCTTTGCAAACACTGACACTTGAAATGTAACTCTCCTAACCTCGTGTCAAAATCCTGAAATTGCCAAATTTTATTTGTATTATCCTGCTTGTGCACTTTTTAGATCATTAATGTGATTTTAGTGCATTTATAATAATGAACACCTGAAGAGTGTAGCAGGTTTATATACCTTAGATGCATTATAACCAAACTTTACATGTATTATATTTGTTAAATGTTACATTTATTTATTCTACAAAATTAGATTAGTCTTTAGCTTCATATTTGATTTTATTAAAATTATCTTTACGGGAAAAAAATTAAAACAATTCATTGATATTGTGTCGTTGCTCTACTCTCTGAGATTTTAGCCAAAGAAGAGACATTGATCCAGCTGCAAAAATTTGCTGACACAGGTGTTAAAAAAACACTGACCTGCTTTAGATTGTAGAGAGAAAAAATGCTGCACAAGGACAAACAAAAACAACATCAGTTAACAGAAACCTGAACTCAGTAAATTCAATACGACACACTGCCGTAAACATTTCTACCAAATGAACTAATAGAATAAAAGTGTAAAAGGATTAAAGGCACAAAAACCGCCGAGTTTAGATTCAGGTTGAAGGACTTCATCCATTTCTCTCCTCCTCAGCACCAGATCAGATTCATGCGGTCAGCCAAAGAGCTGAAAGCTGCTAAAGTGTCAGTAATTCAACCCTCAGACTCTTTGTGTCGTCAGCAATGAGAGCTAAAGCTGCTGATTTACTTTAAATATAAATAAATTTAATCATGTGTTATTGAATCAGACTCTCTGAACTTCATCAGAATAGTTTTATTAATAAATGTTTGGTCTTTTTGTGTCTGCAGGACATCAGCTGTAACGAGATCACCGCTCTTCCTCGACACATCGGTCGACTCAAAGCTCTGAGGGAACTGAACGTTCGACGAAACCTACTCTGTGTTCTGCCAGAAGGTACGTTTGTGTTAAAATCCTGTCTTTAAAGAAGGTGAAACTCTAAGGATCATACTCTCTGTGAAGGCAGTAACACAAACTTCATCACTTTTATGTGTCGGTCTTCTCAATGTGGTTAGACTCTGAAGTGCAATCCGATACAGAAATGGTCCAATCCCTCCCAGAAATGATCCTGGGGGGTGTGTCTGAGACCACAGAGCTCTCTGTTTGAACTGTCACACCCGTCTCAGTCCACTAAAATAAACTCAGCCCTCAGTTTGACCGGAGATCGACCTCTAGACTCTGAACAAGACTCAGAGACAGAACAGAGACCACAAACGCTCTGAAGAGACTCCCAGAGTGAACTCTTAGCAGAGTTTAGACGACTGTATTTACCGCGGTGTCCGTCCCCTCAAACAACCGAGCTGCACACTTTAATTCACATTTAAGACGCTGTGCAATGAAAGCCAGTTAGAATCAGATTCTCCTGACGCCCTGAGGCGACATCAGTAACTGTCAAACCAAACCCCATTCAGAAAAGTAGCATTTTAAGAGCTGTTTTCTTCTCCTCTGGCAGTCAGTCCTGATAGATCCTGAATTCAGACTCAAAATCCTCACCTTGACTCGCTGTTGAATCAGATAACTAACCAGATAATTAACCTGGTTTGTCTTCATTCCTGTCCAGATTTAGAGTTTGAAAATAGACTGATAAGAAGTGCTGATGTTGTGTTAGTCTGCAGACCATCAGCTCTTTGGATGTTTGATGTGACTGATCAGACCCTGCAGACTCATCCTGTCCGTTTGGATTTATCGCTGCATTATGCTGACGTGACACACGCCTGTCCCTCACATTATCATCCTCCCCTCGATTGATTGATCAGGTCTGATTGAGCTCAGTGGCTGCAGACTGGACGGCACCCCGAAAGGAGGGGGGTGTTGTTTTTAAATGAATGTCTGCTGGACTCAGTTTCTCCCCCACAGAGACCACCATGTCTGAAGGTTTGGGAAGGTTAAAGAGCTCGAAGTTTGTTAGGGAGAAATACTCCTCTGAGGAGGAACTGAATACATGATAATACAGAAAAAAAACAGCCCAGATAGAGAGAAATGAGTCATCTTTAATTTATAAACAATGGGTTGTTAAAAAAATCCAAATTCAGACATTCCTCTCCATCGAACAGCTTCTCTTTCTTCTTCTAACAGCTGAGTCTGAGCTCAGAGTTCAGGGTGTCAGCGTTTATTTGCAGATATTTGGTTCCTAATAAAAGTTCACATGTAGAGAAAGTGTGAGTCTGCTAACAATTACATCCCTCCTCTGAAAGCAACAACAGTCCCCGCATTGTTCTCTCTGCTGGGAAACATGTTGGCGGCTTCAACCATGTGGATGCTGCTGCTGCTGTGTGACCCTGTGTGGGAATATCTGTGCATGTGTGTGTTTGTGTCAGAGTGAGTGTGGTGAAATAGTCCAGACTAGTAAAGTGATGGGAAAAACTTCAAATCAGAATAAAACTTTGTCTCATAAACTCAAACCCTGATTTTTATGTTTCTTTGTGTTTCCTCTCCGGTCAGATCTGGCAGATCTTCCTCTGGTGAAGTTCGATTTCTCCTGTAACAAAGTGTCGACCATCCCCGTCTGCTACAGGAAGATGAAACACCTGCAGTCCCTCCAGTTAGAGAACAACCCTCTGCAGAGCCCACCCGCACAGGTAACAGCAGCACACCCACCTCACACACATGTCACAGCTCTTTTATGAGTCCAGGTCCTGCTCAGGGTTTTCTGGAGACTCTTTCTGCCTTAAATAAAAAGTTCCTGTTTGTCTCTCACTCTGCGAAAGATTGAATCAGAGGTCTTGAAGAACTTGATCTGTGTGTGAACATTTTTACTCAAACATGAACCATGAACTGCTGCTGACCCTGAAAAAGAGGGTTTAATGAAACATGAACAATGGATGGGGGGAAAGAGGAACTGAGCATGTGCAAGATTTTCATCTTATCGAAGGTTACCATCTCGACACGACTGCAGAAATCAGATTAAAACACAGAGAGAGTCACAGTGAGATCTTTGTGTTTGTCAATGTGTGATTCTGTTTAAAAACCGCAAGGAGGTCTGAGAGTTTACGGCTTCTGTTAAACATACAGGTTATCTTTTTTAGATTTCATTTGGAATCACATGAATTCACAGCCAGTAATACAGACTTTGTTAGTTAAATGTCATCTGTTACAGTCAGCCTTTTCAGGTTTTAATACTTTACGTTATAAAACAAATTAAAACCAACCAAAAACCCAGCATAAAATGTAAATTTCCTAGTGGAAGGGAGACATTACTTTAATTGAAAAATAAATAAAAATCATAAGTAGGAGATATCAGGATAATGACAAAAAGAGTCAACATATTGAGAGAAAAGGCCATAAATTTGATGTAAAAGACAGAATTTTAAAATAAAAACTTTAATTAATGGACTAAAGGTCAATGTGAAAAAATAAAAAGTCAGAGTTATAATGAAGTGAGAAATAATTTTAAGAAAAAAATGTAAAATTTGGGGATTGTATGTTGTAATGATGAGATAAAAAGCCGACTTTATGGTAGAAAAGTCTGAGTTATACTAAGTAAGTAGTAAGTAAATATAGTGGGCAGTGATAACAAGATAGTAAGTCAAAATCATGAGATAATCACAAGTTACCTGATACGAATATTTATGATGAATACATACATTTTTAATTTTTATAATGCCGACTCTTTTTGTCAGTCATTACATAATATTTAAGTCTGCTTTTGTTTTATTTCTTAACTGGTGAAAATGGACTTCCAAAATGTCTTTAAATCTAGGAAATACAAATATGTAGATATATTAAATAAATAATATGTAAATAAATGCATGTCTGAGTAAAAAAGGCTGTAATGAGGAAATTCAGGATTTTTACTTGTCCCATAATTCTCTAAACTTGACATCTTCTCGATAAAGACGCACAACAGATTGTTCCCAAACACCTTCTAACGCTCTAATATTGAGCTGTTTATTCTCTATGAGTGTTGTTTTAAGAAATAAGATTTTAAAATCATCACTATATTTTCGTCCAAACACTCCTTGCCCGGTATTTCTGAGCCAAATGAGCTTCAAACGACTCCATTAACTTTTCTTCTTGCTCTCGCAACAATCGGCCTGCAGCAGAGTTACAGATGGATGTCACAGAGATGTTGTTACTGCAGATATTCGACAAACAAACTCTCTCTCCTCTGTGTCTGTCAGATCTGTATAAAGGGTAAAGTTCACATCTTCAAGTACCTGAGTATCGAGGCGTGCCGCAGCGATAAGATGCCCGACTCGCTCTACCTGCCCGTCATCGAGAGACTCAGCCTGCACAGACCCACCACCGGCAGGTCAGTAACCATGGCAACCTCACCTGTGTCAGAGGGTTAATCCGTCCTCAAACATCTGCATGTTCATTGTGATATAAATAAGGTCTAATATACCCCCATCTGCCTCAGACGAGTTCTGTTTGGTGCTCTGGTGTCTACAGGCTGAAACAGAAAGTTTTAAGAGTTTCACTAAAAGTTCTCAGGGATGACTTTTTTAGGAACCAAGAGGGCGGGTTGTTTTGTTTTGTTATCGTCTGCTTCCTCCTGCAGATTGAAGACTCTACAGATAGGTTAAAACATGGAGGAGAAAGGGGGAGTGAATCAGTGAGAGAAAGGCGGGTTAAAATATGAGGAGAAAATAAAGAAATAGAAATAAAGAGGATTAGAAGAGTGAGTGAAAAAGAAAGATTAGAGCTCAGACTGAAAGACTTGGTCTGCTTCTGTCAGTCCAGCTCTGAGATCTCAGAGGAAGAACAGCACAAAAATGTCCACCCACAGAAAACGCTCCCAACACGTGGGCAGAAGAATGGTTCCTAGAGCACAAACTCACACATGCTTTATCCTTTCTCAGCTTTGAGTGTCTTTTTTATGCTCCATTATGGTCTCTCTATTACCCCGTCTTTCTCTCTCTATCATCTATCTATCTGTCTATCCTTTTATCTCTCTTTCTTTTGGTCGCCCTAAAGGAAGCTGAAAACAGATTGATGCTATTTTTAAAAGTGTTATTAAAACAAACTAAAAGTAAAAGGGGGAAGAGTGGGAGTGTTCTTTCCTTCAGACAATAAAGGAAACATGTTTCTCTGCAGATGCCCCGCCAAAATAAAACACCACAAGAGGCTTTAATATGTATATAGACTGGAGATGATGAATTTTAGGATGAATTTGGAGATTAAAATCAGATTTTATGTGACTTTAAAGTTTCCCCAGATCAACATGAAGTATCATCATGCTATGATTTCAATATCAGGATCAGGGCATAAGGGAGGAAGAGTGTTTTCCTGCAAATGCTCCACCAGAATAAAACACAACAACAGGCTAACATGTATCTTCACTATAGAAAAGACAAATAGGTTTAATTTTGTGGTTGCGATTAGAGACTTAAATCAGAGTTTAAGTGACCTACAAGGTCGTTCAGAGTCAAATTTAAGCCTTATCATCCTGTGATTTTGACAATATGAGAAGAGTATTAAGAAGAAAAGGGGAGGTAGTGTTTCTTTACAGATGCCCCGCCAAAATAAAACAAGGTGGTTAATACTTCAGATTGTAGATGAGACTTAAGGTGATGGTTTGACATGAAATTTGGTGCTTAATGTGACCATTAGGTTGCTCCAGATCAATTCAAGTCCCTCCATCCTGTAAAAGCGTCAGAAAAAGGAAGAGGAGGAGGGTCACTCTCTTTGTTTCTCTCTCTCTCTCTCTCTCTCTCTCTCTCTCTCTCTCTCTCTCTCTCTCTCTCTCTCACTTGGTCGCCCTGGAGGAAGCTGAGAACAGATTGATGCTATTTTTAAAAGTCTATTAAAACAAAGCGCTTTAAAAAAGGGAGGGCAGAGTGAAACAGAGAGAGAGGGACAGTTTTTCTTTAAGATCATGGAGGAAGTAGGTTTCTCTTCTGGCACCCGCCAAAATAAAACTAGACAAAAGACAAACGCTAATCAGACTAAACATAAAGATTTGATTTTTGGATGCGTTAAAGACTTTTAAGTTGCTCTGGATCAACTTCATTATCCTGTGAATTTTTGACGTGATTATGAAGAGGACGTGATTCAGGGAGGAGGGAGACTCTCTCTCTCCACTCTCTCTGTAGCTCACCCACACACACCCCTCCTGTGTGTGTGTGTTAGGTGTGTAACCTTACCTGTGTGTGTGTGCAGTGTGGAGGACATGGAGCAGCAGAAGAAGCAGGACAGCGACTCAGGAGTCGGCAGCGACAACGGAGACAAGAGACTGTCAGCGACTGAGGTACAGAGAGTGTGTGTGAGAGTGTGTGTGTGAGAGAGAGAGAGAGAGAGAGATATTAATTTGGCTGTTTTCTCACCTGTAGAAACTTTTCTTACCTGGATGTTTTCCTTTGTTGATTATTACTGATGAGTTCCCATGAAGAGTTACCGTGATGTCTTCTTCATGTTAGTCTCAGGACTGATGATGTGGATAAATGATGAATTTGAACATCATTAATAACGGATGATGACTCTAAGTTAATTTATGAAGTAGTTTATTAATCCATGATTGTCTTGGCTTTCCTTAGTTTGATTAATTGTGTTTTAAAGCTTTTCTTAAGTAAATATCATTATCGTTATTGTGATATTTTATAGTCACGAAAGGTGAAAACCTGATTTTCTGACAGGCCTGCTACCCTGTAGCTTTGTTTATCCTTTAGAGCCATACTGATTACATTTGCATGTGTGTATTTTCTGTGTTTAATGTGTGTTTTCTGTTTGTGTGTCGTAGCCGTCAGATGAGGACAGTCTGAGTCTGAACGTGCCGATGAGCCACATCACAGAGGAGGAGGGGATCAGCAAAGACGACTCCAGCGAACACATCAGCTCTCTTACAGGTACACACATGCACACACATGCACACACACATACATGTTAACATGTGTCAGAATAAGGGCAGCAGTAATAAGGTGTTCAGGTTGTTCCAGGAGAGTCAGAGTCAGAATACACAGGCTAATAAAAAAAAGAAACTTCAAAAGACTAATGTGTGCATACAACCAAAGCAAAGATCAATAAAACATCCAAAGATTAATAAATCAAACTTTATTCCCTCCCCGGTGAGTGCAGGTAAACAGGAACATCAGGTTGACACAGATACCTCAGATTATCAGATGTACTAAACCCTGAAGAATCAATCAGTCACAGCAGGTATGGAAAATATGTCAGCCCACACCTGCAGTTGTGAGGTGATAAAAAGAGTCATCTGTGAGTCGTTATTAAAAAAAACTAAATATTGTGAAACTGAAACTGTTTGATAAATTAACTCTAATGAGATGTACTGATTCACATTAACACTGAGAACAGGAACGGCTGATTACTACAGACTGTTTCTGATCTTCTCTCCTCTGACAGATACACCCTGTCTGCTTCATATGTGTGTGTTTCTGTGAGAGTGTGTGAGAGCGGCGCAGCAGCTCCCCAGACTCTGGGTTTAAATAGACTTCAATCAGCCTGAATCAGGTCACAGCTGATAGAGAGACTCAGAGAAACAGGAGAAACAGGACGCCTGATTTATTTGGTCTCATTATCTCTCCGTGTCTCACTGTACGAACAGCTTATTAGCTTTTACCAAGTATTTACAAAATACAAACAACATTTTTCGAGTTTTATCAGCCTGTGTGGTAAGTGTGACGGGGATTTCGCTTTCGCTTTCAATCAGAATGATATACAGGAACTTAAGAAATACGATCTATTTCCTTCAAAACCCGGCATGTAGAGCTGCAAATCATCAGCGTAGCAATGGAGATTAATCCCAGTGTATCCAAATCTGACTAATAACAACAACGGTGGACCCAAGACAGACCCCTGAGGGACCCCAGACAGAACAGGACAGGGCTCAGAGAGAATACATTCATGTTACAGGTAAATGTTTGTACCAAAGTAGGAATAACTGAGTTTTCAGAGTATTTAACTGCCGCTTCCTCTTTCGCTTCTGCTCCTCTGCATGTCAAAGCTGTTTAGGGACGGACCAACACACATATAAAGACACAAACAAATACAAACAGGAACACAATACGTCATCGTTACCACACTAAACATCTGATACTCCACTTAAACCAGGTTTTTAAGATCAAGACACAGAGTCGCAGGACCCAGTCTTTGTTGTTTTGAGAGGACACATTTATTTTGTTGTGAGTTTGTCACTTTGTCACATAGAGACCAAATCCAGAAACTGGAATAAACAGCAGATAGTTTTCAGAGAGTGTTCAGTAAATACAGGAGCTGACCTCAGACCTTCACCTTCCTCCTCCTCTTCTTCATCTTTCAGCGGACACAAACTCCGACTCTGTGAGGCTGATAGAGGAGAGTCCTACGGAAGCCCTGAGGGACCAGTTCAGCTACAGAGACTCCGCTCTCAGCACACGATTTGTCAACTACATCAAGGTAGCAACTCCTCTTTACTCTTCCTCCTATCCCCTCTCCTGGTTCTCCTCCTCTTCATCATCATCCTCCTCCTCCTCGTTGTGTTCCAGTCGTTAATCTTTGATGCAGTAATGGCCGTCTTCATGAATAATTCCTCCTCTCACTGAGTTGTAGTTATATAAACTCTTCTTCCTCCTCCTCTTCCTCTTCCTCGGTGGCTCTAATGGAGTCTAAACTGTCTCCTTCTGTCTCTTTATGACACTTTGACTCAGTTTCAACAACGTTCTCAGAGTTTCTGCTGGATGATTTGTCCTTAAAGGCCGAGCGGTTAGAGAGCCAGTTCAGTTTTAGAGTCTGACGTCAGACAGTCTGCGAGTCACTGACAGACTCAACTGTGACCAAATAAGGACTGAAGACAAAACACACACACACACAGAAAACACACTCTGGATGTTGAGTCAGTTTGTGTTCAGATCACAGTGAAACTCTGGACTGTAATCTGTCATATCCAAAGTGTTTGAAACTCATCCTTAGAGGAATAGAAACCCCAAACTTAGACTGAATATGATCAGAGATACTAAAAACCAGAACAGATGAAGACGCTGTTGTTAAAACAGAACTATATTTGATTCATAGTATCATACCTCCCTCTGCTCTCTGGTCTGTTTGACTCTAAATGGACCATAATTCACTAAATGAATATCATGTTGTATTGTAGGAGACTGTAAACTAGAGACAGAGACCATAAACTCATCAGGAAGATGTTATAGAGGGAGTAAGTAAATCAGCTGAGAGGGGGGACCTGCTGATTGAATGTGTTAGCTGTACCGTTGAATCCAAGAGGCAAAGTTTGACCACTGTTCAAGAGTAATCTATAATTTGCTGCAGAGTTGAATTGAGAACAGAATAGATTTTTTCTTTTTTTAAATCTCTCAATTGCAAGGATAGGTCAGGACTAGATAAGCTTTTTGCTTCATTCTGTTCCTTCTCAAACTGTTTTTTTTTTTACATACATATGTTGTGTTAATTTATCTTTGACATGTACAGTTGTTTGGTGTTTTTGTTTCTAGTTGTTTATTTGTTGTTCTTAAAGTTTGAGACAAATAAAGAAAAGAAAAAGAAATAAAGAATAAGTGAAACAGAGCACTGCAAGTTTAAGGTATGTGCAGACAAAGATGAACAGACAAATTGTGACCCAAACTGCAAGTCATCAGCATTTTGCAAATTGCAGTACATGAACAAAGTTGGGCCATCACTGCACCTTTGTTCTCTTCTGTTGCACCCCAAAAAATGTAACATGGGTGACCAGGTTATATGATTTCACCTCAAATTACGAGCACGAGAAGAAAATAAAGCCATGTGATCGGCAGCAAAGATAAGACGAAACAGTCTTTCCTTGATGTAAAGTGCGTGGGATGTTAGATAACATTAGATTTGGTCTGATACTGTTAGCATGTCCTGAGTTTTGACTAATGAAGGTATGCTGCTGTGTCTTGTTTGTAAATGTAGCACATCAGACTGTGCATTTGAGATGATATAAATAGGCCCTTTACGTGTTAGAGGGTGTTTACATCTCACCTTGAATTGGCAACATAAGAACCAACAGTTTACTGACTCGTCTTGTTACTTCACACCGTAGTTTCCTCTCTGCTTTTATCAGAAAAAAGACTGTGACATACAGCATATTATAGGTATGGTCTCATTTTTGTCCTCCAGTGAAGGTTCCAGATAAACTCTGGATACCAACTGTGCTCACAGATCTGAGCACTGATCTTTCTGAGAGCAGATTTAACATCACTCATCTAGAGGATCTGCAGAGATACAGACATAAATAACTCATTTGATAAACTCTGTGCAAATATGATCTCTAAGATACATCTGACGACAAGCTGAAGTTAAAAAAAGATGCTGCAAAACTTAAGTCAGAGTCAGTTAACCCTTAAACCCAGTCTGACAGAGGAGACAGTTGTTTATTGTTGTGTTTGTGTATCAGAGGAAAGCTGTAATGTCTCTGAATTTAGCCAATAGCTTTGTGAGTTATAGGGTCACGTGACTGCTGCAGCTGCTGCTGATGTGTGTGTGTGTGTGTGTTAATGTTTGTTAATGTGTGTGTATTTTTGTGTGCAGGGTCGGACAGCAGCGGACTTCGACGAGCCCCTCAGGATAGAAGAAGACTCACACTGGCCGTCAGAGCAGATGTAAGATCATTAATCTGTTTGTTTTTTATGTTTCTGATTTTTCTGAACCTTTAATAATTTTATTTATGATTTATGATTCAGAGATTTGAACAAAAATAACATTAACAAACAGAGAACAGGAACAGAAAGGTACAGAAACAGTGTATTTCCATTGACCTGAGTTTACATCAGCTAATTATCAAGCATGATTTCTATTAATTTAGATTTTTATTGATTAATTTCACCAACACTCCTGGTTTAAAACCCTCATGATGACTGAGCAGTACTGCAATGGCCGCTGTAATTGTGAGATATTAATTTAAAGTCATGCTTTGTGTCTCTGGGCTCACAGGTCAAAGGTCACAGGGGGCACAGAGCTCCACATCGACATGATCAACCAGCTGAAGGAGGCCGTGGAGCTGCTGCAGGACCCCAGCAGGTAAATCCGCCTGAGATCAGAGCAGACTGAACTTTGAACCCTTTCTCTTTTAGATGTTAAAAAGTCTAAAATCAGATACAACCATTCATGACCACACTATGCATTTTTAAACACAGTCTGTCTGCAAACAAACTGAGAAACACTTGAAAACATCAGTAGTGTGAGTTTGAACCCTCATGTTTTATGTGTTTGCATAGCAACTAACAAAGTGCTCCTACAACCGTGACCTGAGGAGGTGAAACTTTCCGTTTTTTAGAGCTAATGGTTACACGGTTCAGCTGCCAGATGCTCAAATTATGAAATTCATCTCTGCAGTCTAGAGTATCACCATGGAAACAAGTGGATTTTTTAGGGTTTAGATGAAAGTTGAGTCATCAGAAAAGATGATATAATAGTGCTGTAGAGGAAAAGACAAGGATGTAATGCTAACGGGTCTGAACCAAGATGGATTTTATAACAAAGTGGACATGAGAACCATCCCTGCAGGAGGCGTTTAATGATGAAGTAAAAACAGAAGCACCGAGACAGTGATTTAGTCCTTCCTCCAGAGCACTGACTCAGAGTATAGTATCACTGAATAAGCATCCCTGCATGCAGTAAACTCTTGCTGCATCAGATTCTGTCTGTTTTTACTGTTTGATTCAAGGTTATTGCAGGACATTGAAAAAGACTCAAGTTGATACAAGACGCCCTGACCTCTGTCAACCCACTGGGTCAGAACCTTTCATATAACTCAGGCTTCAGTTAGTCTTTCCAACATTTAATCCGGCAGTTGATTAAATCATACTTCTGAGAGTTTGTGTTGACTTTGGTGCTCCCTGTGAGCAAAAATGTGCCTCTCATCCCTTTGCAGACCTTGTCTTTAGCACGCCATGGTGGCATTTTTTGGCAAAAAGTCTTATTTTGCTTTACTTTGGTAATGAAATGTGTCACACTGCTGTTGTTTCAGTTTGCTGCCAATTCAGAGTTCTGATTGCCGCCCCCCACAGAGATATTAGGCATTAAAAAAGACCATGGAAATTTCTGTCTTGTTTCTGAACATCTTATTTGCTTTTTGTAACCCATAAAGAGGCATCAAGATCAGCTTCAGCCTTTTTATTTTACACAATAACTGTTTAAAAGGAGTTAACTAGTATCATAATACATTTTTATGTGTGTTTCAGAGTCAACACAGAGCAGGACGATCTGTCTGGAGTTCAGCTCTATCCTGTGGAGATGGTCAATGTGGATGAGTCACTCAAGTAAGACTTTCCTTAATCTTAAAATCAGTCATCATTCACTCCTGTTTTAGTTTAAAATATCATATATAGTTGAAACTACTCATTGCTCCCCTGAGTGCTAACATCTGCATGTAGAATAATTGTCAGTCACTATCTTAACGCTGCCATCCTGAATCATTAGACTGTTGCTGTTTGCTGTCCTTGCACTTATGTCTTTCTTTCTTTCTTTCTTTCTTTCTGATTCCAGTGGGCAGGACAGTGACGACGGCATCACCACACCAAAGGTAAAGTGTGCACAAAGAGTAGACAGTCATCAGCATACAGGTTGATATTTGACACAGGTGTTTAGTGATGTCTGAGTTGTAAGGATGGGAATTGATAAGTGGTTCCAGCTAGTCCGTACCAACAACATCATTGACATCATGGGCTCTATTTTCGTTCGCGCCGGTGAGGCGGCGGAGGGCGGCGAGCCCGGCGTAAGGCGAGTTTGGTATTTTCGTGGACTGAGTCGCACGGAGGCGAGCCGAGATCCGCCAAGCTGGGCGTGGTGGCGTGGCAGGGGGAGGTGTTGACAGAATCAGCTGGCGCAGTGACATTTTCGTGCTTGCCACCGGCGTGTAACGTGCGCTGAAAGCTCGCCGATTCAAACCTGGTCAGCTTTCAGCGCAAGGCGGAACGCAGCTGGTCTAGTAGTATTTTGGTAGACCGGCGGCGTATCGACATACGTCACTGATGCCTCACCGGCAGTTTTCCACAGTGTCAGGCACATTTCAGTGCAATAAATAATCATCAACAACTATTAATCTGAGTCAGCACATACATTTAGATCTATATCGATATATTCTGATCTATATCTGATCTGATGAGCGCGTTTGGCACGCGTTTGGGCACACAACCTGACCGAATCAATACAGCTGAAACTGCATCAAATTAAATTAAATATCTAGTAAATAAACACACATGATGAAGTTAACAAGATATGTAATGTGTCTCCCTCCTTTTCTTTCTTCCTCTTATTTCTCGCACAGCTCGACCTGGACACGTCTCCGTGTCCTCTGTCCATCTTGCTTGCTGCTGCGGCTGAACAGCTGATTTGTTTCAGTGCTCAGATGCGTTATCTACTTTAAGCCGACATACGGATATTATAATATTCAGTTTTGTGGGCCAAATTTATTTTATATGCCAACATCTATGAAAGAAAGAGCCAGGCCACGGAGCGCGATGCGTCATTTACGCACAGATGGTTCCAATTTTAATGCCATTTTTGGAGTTTATGTTGTGATCTGTGCGCTAAACCCACCTTTGTCACGTGAGGTTTGAATATATGCAACTTTATGTGAGTGTCTTTTTTGTGGAAAAGGGTGTTTGTCTTACCAGTGGGTCCAACATTATGCACACCAAATCTATCTGTGCTCAGATGAGAGAGTGTGGAGGACACTTGTTGAGCAGCTGCCCTCTGTCGCCATCATGTGCCATAACTGTCTTCAGACATCTCTTGATCTCTTTGACTACTTCATGAAAATAGTAATACGCCTCGCCGGTGGCGGATTTAAAGGCAAGGAGAGGAGCTTATGTGATTGGTGAAAACAGGTCTCGGCTGTGTTAAACACACTATACGCCCTCTCTCCTCCCCGTCTATGACTTATGCTGCCGGGAGGAGCTGAGTTAGGGAGGGGGGATACTTACGCCGGGCTGCGCGGCTCACCAAAATACCAAAATGTGCTTGGGAACGCCTTGTCAGCGCGGCGGATCTGATTGACACTGCGCTTGCGGCACGTCTTCGGCGAGGCACCAAAATAGAGCCCCATGTGTTTTTAAGCTCAACGGTTCCCTTATCAATGCCTCCAAGTTAGTTCAATGTGACTTGCAAAATAATGACGTGATGAATCGTGAAGGACAGTCAGCTTACATGACAAACAGACATAATGATAGTGGACTGACGACGGTCCTAAAATCCACTCGCTTCGTGAGACCGGCAGATTTATTTTAGAAAGTGACCAGATCAAATCTGTGATGATTTATAGATTAAATTTAGTAAAACTGTTTGATTTCTGTTGTTAACTGACTTTGCTAGATGGAAGCTGCTATCTTTGTTATAGTCTATTGACCAATCAGATGCTGTATCTGCAATCAGATGACCTGTCAGAAGACAAGTCTTTTCTGTCTCAGCAGACCAGTGAAGGTAATAAAATATATGTTCCTAACAGCCTGTTTCAGCCGACTTTGTTGCACTTAAAAAATCCTTAAGGATTGATAAGGGACTCAGTAAAGAATTGAGTTGATAATGGCATTAGTACTGATATAATCTTATCAATTCCCATCCCCAGTGTGCTGTTCATGTCACCAAAAACATTTTAAAACCAGGTGAAAACAGGATGTAAGAAAGTCTTTCTTTACCAGTAACACTTGGACTATAGAAATCAAACAATCCTACATTATATCATGTCCATGTCCCTCTGAAATATAGAGTCTATAAGTTTGCAAGCATATAGAAGCATCTTCAAGTTCACTAAGACTGTAAACGTTTGATGGGCTCTGTAGCAGCAAACGGAGGAAGGTGGCTATGAGTTCCAGAAGAAGAGACAGATGATTCTAGAGAAGGCCAGGTTTGAGGCCCAGCTTGCATGTCGGGAGTATGAGTGGCATATGTCCATCAAGGTAAATCCGGCGGGAAGTAGGCTTTGTCCCGCCCCTCAGGGTGTCCTGTCCTCAGTGTGTCTCACAGTGAGCTGGCACACATTCAGTCCTGCGTCTGTTTGCTGGGAGGTTTGTTTGAAACCACGCTGAGCTTTCACATGTGGCGCAACTCACCTGGCTGCAGGTGTCACACATGAACAGAAAGTCTTAATCCATGGCTCTGCATCACGTGTCATATGTCAGTAGATTTAGACTAACTTTAAGCTGGAAAACTGACAGTCATAATGTTTAAAATTGAGCTTCATGTGTAAGTGATGTGTGATCAGTTATTTCACTGTTTGTTCATAAATAACCGTCAATGTTCCTCGGCATCATACATGTGCTTTTCGCCAGTTTTGAGTTTTTGTTTGGATGTGTTTCACTGTTTGATGTGAACCTAGTATTATCTCTGCCACTTGCCATGATAGCACTCATAGCATTTATATCATTTTACAAAATGACTAATTTTATTACTTATCAAACAGACTTGTCCAAAGGTAAGACTTCTGTCAGTTAACGGTCAAAATAAGTATAGCAAACACATCGGTTTCCAGGGTGTAGCTAACACTTGCAGAGCTAGCACCACCAGCCTGTATTCCAGTTTATTACACACAGCCGTTAGCTGGAGCTGGTGAAGACTTGGTTAGATACAATATATCACTTTCTGTTTAGGCTTACAATGATACAAATACTATCAACTCATTCTGTAATTCTGATGCTATCCAGTGGCGGTGACAGCATATTATTTATCAAGTAATCTAAGTGCGTACACCTCTTAATTTAGAGAGAATAGAAATTAACATGCTGTAATTTTTTGCAGATTACATGTGAAGCCTTTTTGGTGTGATGTGGAAACTACCACACAATATATCAGCTTCCTGTGTGATGTTTCACAAGCAAAAAAATAAAAGATAAACGAGATAAGATGACCGACTCAAACTGCAATCTTGTAGCTCACAGAAACAGACTGAAAAGAGATTGTAGATTTCAAAAAGAGAAGAACAAGATTGCTTTCCTTCCCTAGATACATCATGACATTTCTGTGAAAGATAAGAATGATCGTGTTAACAAACTTGCTGTTGAGGATCTGAATTACTGACCTCTGTTCACATCAATAAGAATTCAGTCAGAAACAGTTATTGATTTCATGCAAAGAGTTAAATTTAGAGATATGGCTCTGTTCTTGACTTTCTGCCCTGCCTGAACTAACTCTATGCTCATTATTTGAGGGATCAACAGCATGAAAACAATAAAGAGCATCAGCATGGCTGTTGTTGTCTAGTTTTGAGTGAGGTGATAGACAAACAGATTCTTCATTGGGGTGTTGAGCCTGTGCGTGACTTTAGTACACCCAGCTGGTGCATCATAAAAGACAAAAATACCAGTGTAGACACTGACAGACAGTAAGAATTGCAGAGCTTTCTGGGTAATAACCAGTTACCTGAGACTTTAAAAGACAGCCACAGAGCAGACTGCAGACTGGTTGTTTGTATTCATTTAGATGGAAGTCCCTTTTGAACAGAGACTGGACTTGAGAGGATGTCATGGTTGTCTCCAAATAGACTTGACCACTCTGTCCCTATAGAAATCTATACTATTCAGACTGTCTGCAGTTAAAGTGATATAGAGTCTCTCAAATACACTGGCTCTTTCTGTCTCTGCTGGTTTTATACGATAGTAAAAGACTGAGATGAAAGAGATAGAGCAAAGTGACCTCAGCACAGGAGCATTAAGTGTTCAATGTTGTTCCTTGTCAAATCTTTATATCTGTGTGTCTTTATGGGACATAGTTTATTTTTAATCGTCAAACTGAACAACTTTATCGCCATTTCTGTCACCTCAGAGAGATGATCGGTCTCCAGTCAGCGGGCATCCATCCTTCCACAGCCCTGTGTTTGGACTGAAGCCACGATCAGGTGAGTTAAACCTGGACTACAGCGAGGGAGGGGCGAATAACTGAACTGGTAGACCCACAGGTTGACTAAAAGTTACTTTACACTATTGTATGTGATCCTTGCTCATAGAAAATCTGTGACAGTTGTTATTCCCTTTAATATTTAGTATTCATTCAAACTTGATTTTATTGAGGTTACAGCACTGTTACTAATTAACCAATAGGCAGGCGGCTCTATTATCCAGGCAAGTAATCAGATAAGGATTTAGCAGATACTCAATAATCAAAATCTGATGAGGATTAGGGCAAAAAAAGCAAATCGGACATCTCATTTTATCATCCTTAACCATGAAACCGGGTTCAACCGTCTTGTCTTATATATCACTTTGTTATTTATATTTCTGGAGGTAAAATCTTGATTAATATATGAACTTCAGTTATAAAAATGTGGCACAATGAAATAAAAATATTTTAGATGAAATCAAGAGTCAAATTCAGCTCCATGGTCACTGCTTGTTGGCTTTATTTATCAGACTTTGTCCCATGCTTTGTTTTGTTTTAGAGCTAGCAGCCATCCAGCTTTCGTTTGCTAACTGTTATCAGTCTGTGAAATGTTGCTAACTGCTAATCGAGCTAACATGACGCTAACAGCATGTGGAGGTGATGTGTTCTGTGAACTGCCACTAACCTTTATTTTGTTTTTGCTGTTTTGTGTCGTCTCTTTGTTTCCCCCATTTCTCACATTTCCTCCCTTGATGCTCGTGTTTTTTTTACTCCTCTGTCTCTTTACTCCTCTCTCTGACCTGCTGCATGATTTTTGGTGTTAAAATCACGTATTCGTCCTTTAAAATCTGCACGTGTGTCTCTGGTGATGAAACCTGCGTCTCTCTGCGTCCTCCTGTTCTTAAACCGACCAATCCCTCGGGGTCTCTCTCCCGGTGATATTGGTGTGTTTCCGGGTGTTTCTCGTAAATGACCTCTGTCTTGCTGTACTTACTTCACCGTGGTGCCTCACCTTCCTGCACTACACACACGCCACGCCCACTTCCCCTGTCTCTGACCGCACCCACCACCTCCCGGTTGTAGCCCCGCCCTCGCTGCCCTGCTCGCCCCCTTCTTCCTGTCTCGCCCCCTCCCTCCTCTCACAGGCCTCGCTCTTCCATAGAGATACTGCTCGTAGCCATGACGACGGAGGCATGCACAGTGGCGGTAGGTTCTGCCTGTTTGAACTAACCAGGAAGCTGCAGGGTCAGATTGAACACCTGGGCTCAGGTGTTTGCTGACTTCATCACTGTCAAAGTTTTCTACCAGCTGCTTTTGTTGTGTTCTGGGAAAATTTCTGCATCGCCTTGACTCTTGACTGTTTTTTTTATGATCACTTTTGTTTTTTACGACAGGTGAGTATTAGGGCCACATTAAGAAAAAAAAGGAGATACTAAATCCTTTGGCGTTTCAGCATCATATTGTCATTAGTATCAGGACATATGCAAGAAATGCATCTTTTCCGCAGAAAGAACCAGGCGGACTTGTAGGGAATCGCTGTTTTTGAGGAGGGGGAAATGGCTGGAAATGGCTGTGCAGAGGCTAAATCCCTCAATGCAGCCATTTATAGCAACAGTATATAGCTTTAGCTTATCGTATGAATCTATATGCGATAAGGTGTTGGTGCTTCTGCAGGTGTAGGTTGCTGCCAGTGTTGTGCCGGCATCAGAGACAGACGCGGTGCTCGCCGGAGCTCGACTCTCTCTGAATCACAAATGTTGATCATCTGTTGGATTGTTTCTTAAGAAACCACAAAAGCCCTCTGAATGGCCCACTGATACACTCACTGATAACTCTGCAGTTGACCAGTTCAGCCATTTCCTCCTCCACAAAAGCAGCTTTAAGACTTCATTTACTTTACAACTTTATTCTCGTAAGTAATTACGAAACTCTTAATTTTTTTTCTTCTCAATGTGGCCCTTATACTCGGTTGTAGTTTTTTCACAAGTCTGCAAAGAAATATTTTTGTTTTGCGAGGGTTATTCTTGTTTGCCTTCTTGGAGAAAGTCTGGCCAGTGCAGCGTAGCTTTAGGACTAACTATCCTGCAGTAGTTTTCCTGTTGTGACTCATCAGCACCCCCTTCTGTTATAGACTGAAAGCGTTCCAAGATTAATTTCTGTTGTGCTTTCTTGCTCCTAGCGTTTGCTAAAATATTAGGACTGTCACTTGATCTGTGTGCGTGTGTTATATCTCATATTCGTATCTTCATTTGGACCAAGTGTAGTTTGCACATTATAAGAACAGAAATTAATCATGAGGATATCTTTGCATTATGAAGACACTTTTATATTCAACTCTAGCTTTTTAAAAATAAGAGTTTTGATTTAGGTCTTGCACAGTATGATGGGGGATTAAAATCACTTTATGTCACGGTGAGTCCTGAGTCCTCATATAGGCTTAAAAACAAACTTGAGTGTGTAGTAGTAGTAATAGCAGACACTCATCAAAGAGGAGCTTCATCACCACACTCTGCTTTCATCTCCAGCTGCTCATGTGTGTGCGTGTGGTAACTGTGGTATGTGGTAAGGGCTAGAGTATCTCTCCCTCTCTTTCTGTGTGAGTGTGTGTGTCTGTGTGTGTGTGTATTAATTGCCACAGCGCTCACCAGAATCTGTAAGTTGAACATCCTTGAAAGGATCAAGTACAGGGTGTGTGAACGTCCTCTTACTCTTTAATCATCTTAAATCAACACAGTAAGAAAATCTTATTATTAGACTCACAGTTGTACCCATTTTTAGCTATTTGGCGTTTCACTCTATGGGTTTGATTGTAGGATTTTAACATAGCTGAGAAAGTGTCCAATGGACAACTTCAGAGATGCAGACTGATGGAAGTGTGGGTGCAGTTAGCTGTGGAATCACAAGCAAGATCGAGGTTCACCAAACCAAAGACGGAGAGATAGAAAACCACCATGAAAAACATAGTGAGGACTCCAGAAGAATGCATGATTACATAATGACCACTCCCTCTGATCAACCTGTGCTGTGTAGGTGATCTACTAACTATCAGATAATCTAAAACAGCAGAGGCCATATCAGGACTGTACAGCTGTGTGTGTATGTGTGTGTGCTGCACCTGTAATATGAATGAGCGTGTGCACAGTGGTATGTATTTTTAGCTCTTATATTTTAAGTGTTAGATAATGGTCCCTGAAGGAGTATCCCACTTCCACTAGAACAGGGTCCAACATTTTAGATGGATCACATCCGCCTGTGTGTGTGCGTGTGTTTGTGTGTGTGTGTGCGCCCTGAGGCCAGCTGTGTTTCGGTGCATTTGTCTATAAAGGCCCTGATGTGTTGCAGTGACGTTGAACCATTTGAAGTGTTCACAGATCTCTGCAGAGACTCTTAAGGTTCATTTCGTAACCTAAAACAGTAAAATCATTGTAACATACAGTGAATGATGGGGACTGTAGGGAGTTTATGTGTTAATGACACACACACGCACTGTCACACACACACCCAGAGGGCGATGATTGGCTGTTAATGAGGTCGGGAGTCGTGCTGATGATGTGTGTGTGTGTGTATCAGCTCCTGGTGATGTCATTCTCCCTGAGGCCTGTAAACCATTAGTCATAATGTTATCACACACACACAGACACACACAGAGGCAGTAGACGCGTCTGTCAAACACTCACACGAACTAACTCTGTTTTGAACACACAGTAAACATCTCGAACTGTTTACTGATTCATAGAGAGGATTTATTTTTTAAAGCTGTGACCCTCAGGCAAAGTTTAAATTAACCAATCCAAACATGATGGAGCTGTTGTTCTCTTTAACCACGCTAAAACGAAATAGTTTGAGACGTGATGAAAACTTACATTTAGTTCTGAGTAAGCGAAGATCAGTCCTGAAGGTGGCGCCGGTGGGGATGTCTGAGTTGTGTTCCATTAGGGGTCTCCTCAGGATAAATGAGTGTCTCCACTAATCACCGCTAAAGTTATTTTCTGTTCTGTTTTAAACTTTGCTCTGAGGCTTGTACTCACATCAGCTCTCAAATATGGTTAAAAAACTCTCTAAAATAACTGGGAGGTCAAAGGTGGGTACAAAATACACATTCAGAAATAATGAGTGATTTTTAAAAGACAAAAATTAATTATTTATTTCAATTGATTATATTAAAGAAAAGATTTTTTCTCCTAACACCATGACCTTTATCATTATTTATTTGTATTTATTTATCTATTTATTAATACATTACATAGAATACTTTTCTTTATTATTTGTATTTATACAAATTAATACACACATATATTACATTCTATACATTTTATCAATTTGTATTTATTCATTTTAAAATGTTTTTATTTAAATTTATTTATGTAACAAGTCTTCTTAGCCTTTTATTGCCTTTTGGATTATTTTTAATACATACTTTTATAATACCTTTATCAATCAATATGATCAACAAATTACTAAAAAAAACACCTTAGCACAGTCCGATAAATGATAAAAATATCCTCTTGTGGTTTATCAGTTTCCAAAAACATCCGATGTATCAAACAATATTAATAAATGTATTTGTAAAATTTTAAGGACATTTTGATTTTTTTGGTTTTCAGTAGTAAGTTAAATAAACATTTCAGCTCCAAAAAAATTTGAATTTTTTGGCCAAAATTTGTGGTTTCAGGCATTATAAGGTTAATTATTTTTTTATCAATTTTTTTAATCAGTTTTTTTTTTTTCTCAACTCAAATAATGAACACAAAGACTGCAGGCAGATTAAATGGTGTAAAGAAGATAAAAGTTAGAGAGCGATTTGGACTCTGATTATCCTGCACCCTTCTGAACAAACTTTCATCTGTCAACATCACTGAATGAAAAACACGCTTGACTTGCAGTCAGGGGTCATGAGGCGTCCTACATGTGACCTTGATTGGCGTTCACTCTGACACACAACACAGGATAAAACGATTGATTTTTGTTTTGGACCACACTGTATTTGCATTCCAACCAAGTGGTCTGGTTTGATACATATTTATTTTGTGTTCTCATCCTCAGAAGCTGAGAAAGGTACCCAAATAACAGACCTGTAGTGTCCTGTTTTTTGGTGCCCTTCTGTTGGGAGTGAAACTGAAACTAAACCAAAGTGGAATTGCATCATATGACGGTCCTTACAACGTGCAATCTGACCTCAGTGTTACTCTGAGTGTTTAGTATGAAGGTGTGCTAACATTGAACTTGTAAACAGATCAGAGAAAAGAGAGCACAACAGAAAAATGGAAATGAAGAGAGAGAGAGATAAAGAAAAGGAGGGGGGTGTTCAGCCGCTCGTGAAATGACTCGACCCAGATGATAAAACTAAAGAGATAAAACTGTTCGTCCTTCATTTCCTCTTCCTCTCAACCCCCACAGAGACGACTCGGGATTATCAGAGACAAACAAACAAAGAAAGAAAGTCATCACTCAAAAACTCAATCTGCGCTCTGCTCCAAGTCTGAGAGCTGCTGCTGTAAACTGGGACATGACCCCAAAAACACTCACCGACACCTCAACCTGGGTCTGAGTCTGATTAGACATACCTGCAGGTGCTTCTTACCTGTCTCATCCTGTACGGTCAGAGCTGAACGTCACACCAAGTTGAACTCAGATATCTGAAATCAGTAAAACACTCAAAATACCGTAAAATTAGCTGAACATAAACGAGACAAAGTGGCTCTGAGAGATCATATCCTCTGAAACATCTGTGCTGTTCTTTTTTCCAAATGTTCTCATTAAAATTTTATTATTCTGAGAACATAAAACAAAGATGTTTGAGTAATAATGAAAATATCTTCATTTTATCTCTAATAATGTCTAACAGACTCTGCTCTGTCTCTGATTAGGCTCCTTGTTTACTCTAAAGGTAGATTATCATTTATTTCACAGATTAAAATACTCTGCCTGCACTGGAAATAAAAACAGACATTTTCCCTCTGCAGAGGACTGCAGCTCCCCCCTGTGGTCACTCATAGAACTACACTCTCTGTTAGTGTTCAGCTTCATTTAGCTTTAAAGGCTGATTTATGTGTGCAGGAAAATAGGACACTGAGGCGGTGAGTGATTCACCCCTCGGTTCAGTGTGTGTGTGTGTGTGTGTGTGTGCGTGTGTGTGTCCTCCTACACACTGAGAGCTTCTCTGTGAGTCTGTTAACATTCACATTCACTGAATTCTTATTTTTATGGTTAAAAAGCTTCATGTGGAGATAATCTTCACAGTGGGCGTTGGCTGTTCAGATTGATTCTGCTCTTATATTTGTCTGCTTAAGATGAATCTACAGCCTGTTGTTGGTAGGTTTAACATAAACTTGCATCTTCGTTTAAGAGCAACCACGTTTTTTTTTTTCCAGGTTTGCAGTACATGATACCTCTGCCCTTAATAAGTATCTACAGTGATACCTCTTTATATCCAAGAGCAAACAAAACTGTTGCTAAAAAAAAAAAAAAACAGTAAATTCCAAATTGTAAATGTTTGATGCCTGTAATCTCTGTATAATTGACAGCTCACTGTCCGTGATTTACTTTTTCCACCTCGGATATTCTCAATGAGTGATTCATTTGACTGTCAAAACAGCAGGGCAGAGTTTTATGATAGAAAACAAGCTATTCTCACATAAGAAAACACCTACAAATAACAAATAAAGTAAACAAATGAAGTATCACTTTGTCCACAGGGGGCGCCAAATTTTACACCAATGGAAAGTTCCTTACTGGAGCTTTAGAGATGAAAACTAACCCTAACTCCATGAGCACAAGTTTAGTGATTTTAAGCAGCCGTGTAATGATCTTTGGATGTGAGTGAAAAGCAAAAACAACAACCTTATATGAACGAGTTGCATGTGTTCTCAGTGGGCACACTCAGAAGTTTCATGTACTATGTTTGATCATTTTGGTGCCTTTTGATTGGTTTTTGCAAAATGAGAAACACTTATTGTCGTCGTTTCCCACTCACTGTAACAGATACTTCGTCTTTGTCATCCTGAGTTAGACAGAAAAAACAGACTGACTTTATTTAAGGGGTAATCTCAGTTTTCAGAAGGTTTCTGTAATTGGCATTTAGTCTTAAACCCTCAGCTACTGTCTCACAACACAGCACTGAGTTAAACAAACACACAAATAAGGAAGCACAAAACCTTTTATTTTGAAAGTTTCATTTTGATGTCAGTTAGTGTAACACAGTTTAAAATTAGCAACAGAGTCTTTCCCAGCCAGATGAGTTAGTGATAGTTCAATTATACAAACTGCATTAAAGGTCATTTCAGCAGCTGAAAGCAAAACTTCAAGGAGCTCAAACAAGATTTTTTTAATGACTCGTCTGTTTCTTCCGTGGAGCTGACCTCAATGTGCGTCTGAGATCAAGCATGTCTGTGCTGTTTCTGCTCCATCTAATCCTGCCTCTCTCCTCCTCCTCCTCCTCCTTTTTTAACCCCTGTGTTTGCTGCAGTGTTCCTGCGGAGCCACAAGAGCCTCGAGTCGGTGGATCCTCAGTTCACCATGAGGAGGAAGATGGAGCAGCTGAGGGAGGAGCTGGAGCTGATGGAGCAGCTGAGAGATGTGAGACTCTTACAGAAACCATCACTGCTTTTTTCTACGACAGGGGTCCTATTTTAAAACATCTTCCTTCTGGTTCAGTCAGCTTTCAAAACTTTGTTCTCCTCTTTCTCAGTGACACTTGAGGACAACAGAAACCAGCATGTTGTGTCCCAGTTCTGAGCTGATCACTAATTTAGAGTCAGTCTGTCCTCTTAGTTCACTTCATGTCAGGAATCAAACCAGAACACAGCTCAGGGAGATAAAAATAGACACCTCTGTCCCTCTATAAAAAACACAAAGCAGCTCTTTTCTCTGTTCAGAGGAATCGTACCTGATTCATCAGTATTGTACAAATATGACAGAATTTTGTGTTTGTAAAATGACAACGGAAATGGGATTTTGTTGTGCACTATTAGGGCAAAAGGAGAGACTACAAAATAACTACAAAAATATTTTCCTTTTATTCAATTTTTTAATTGATTTTCATAAAAAAAAAGTAAAAAAAATAAAAATTATGGATATGATAGAAATGAACAGTAAATATGCAGTGATGCATTTTTGAAAAAAAGGGGAAAATTTAGAGAGGAGACAAAGGGAGATGGACAGAGAGAGAGATGGAGAGAGATTAGACTGAATGACACGTTCAAACTCCAAATTTAAACAGATTCTTATTTTTACTGTAAATACAAATCTCCGTCATCAGTCTCCTGAATTTTTGATAATTATTATCAGCCTTGAAAAACAAATACCAGTCGACCTCTATTTTTTACCATAACAATGTTGATACAGATGGAACATCTACACTGGAATGATAAAACAATGCCCACTCAGTCCACTAGATGGTGCTGCTGAGGCAGTCTCTGTTGGGGTCCGAAGTTGGCTTCAGTTTAATTGAAATATTTTCGTTACTAAGAGGCTTTAACATTGAAAAACTTTGGAAAAATTACACTCATTTAATTTTGTTTTCACTTAAAAAGTCTAATAAAAATCTAGTGTCAAAATAATAAAATAAAATACAGAACATAAAAAATCATATTTTCTGTTTCTGTCCTCAGAGCATCGAGAGCCGGCTGAAGGTCGCCCTCCCTGAAGACCTCGGCTCGTCTCTGATGGACGGCGTCGTGCTCTGCCATCTGGCCAATCACATTCGCCCTCGCTCTGTGGGCAGCATCCACGTCCCCTCACCTGCAGTGGTACGTCTTTAAAACTGTTTTTCACTAAATATTCAAGTTTCTTATTCCCGTCAAACAGAGTCTGAAGAGCTTTAGGTGACCTTTTGCGTTAACGTGTCTGTGTGATATTTCAGCCCAAACTCAGCATGGCCAAGTGTCGGAGGAACGTGGAGAACTTCCTGGACGCCTGCAGGAAGATCGGTGTACCAGAGGTAAGGCAGGAAACTCATCTCGTCTTTCCTGTTAGCACGCTGCTAACAGACAGTTTCCTCTATGAACACAGGGTGTTTTCAGCTCTCTGCCCAAAAACCTGCAAAACTTTTCCATTTGGAGATCTGTGCATGTCAGACTGAGAGGTTGAGCAGAGGTTGCTGGCGTTAGAAGCAGAAAGAGCTCCATCCGTAACAGTTTAATATGCATCTTTTTAGTGCAGCAGGTACAACTACACACAGAGGTCTCAAACAGGGGTATGTTGATCAGCCTTTATCCCTTCAATTACAGCAAAAACATCCTTTACATAGCAAATCATAAGTGATGGATCTGAGAGATTATGAGGCGTGAAGTCTGTTTGTTTGACTTAATAAATGCTGCGTTTGAGTTACCTCGGAAGTCAGATGTCCGAGCTGGGAATGTCATCACACCCGAATTCCCATCGTTTCAGTCACCAAGTCGGAAAAAGCAAAATCGAGGCGGAAACAAGATGGCTACATCTATGAAAGTTATTTTAGTGCGTCCCTTATCCTTGCTTATATTCGGACAAGGCACGCACTAAAATAACTTTCGTAGATGGAGCCATCTTGTTTCCGCCTCCGATTTTGCTTTCTTCCATCTTAGGCTGGTAACTCGGGTGTGATGTCATTCCCAGCTCCGACGTCTGACTTCCGAGGTAACTCGAACGCAGCATAAGACTCCATTGCTGTGTTTCCACAAAGTGCTTCATTATCAGTTCAGAAATTATTCACATTTCCTCAATCAAAAGTTAGGAAAGCTGCTAAATGACCAACCTGTCCTGTCCCACTGTTTGGCACTATCTTTTTGGCTGACTGACTTCTTACCAAACTGTGGACTCACAAACAACTTTTAAAGAAACCAGGAAACTGAACCAGCAACCTCCAGTCTGAAAACACCCTCAGTTCATCAGAGGAACTTCCCCAGAATCCTGCTGCTGAAATCAGACACCACTTTGGTTTTTGTTTCAGTTTATAAAGTTTAATAAACTGTGAAGGTGTCCTGCAAAAAGACATTTTCAGTTTGTTGAATATTGATCTAAAGAAAAATGAAGGTCGTCTCTCATTAGCAGAGAGTAAGTAGTTACTCATCTGTCAGTAAAGTCAAAATGAAAAAAAACATTTTTTGCAGAACACTGATAAAGATACTAAACTATAAACCAGATCTGGGAAAACTCTGAATATTGATTCAAAGTCTTCACCTTAAATAGTCCCATTTTTAATCTGGTTTAATTACAAAACTTGATCTATCAGGTGTCTCCCAGGTGTGGTTTAATGTTCTTACCTGCTTCTTTTTGTTCTCATCGCTTTAAACGGGTTTATTAATGTCAACGTTTAACGCTGAGTCATCATCATGGCTGCCTGCAGCTTCCTGCTTCCTCCATCCTGACAGGAGTCCATCAAACAGAGCTGATCTGTGTATATGTGTGTGCGTGCGTGTGTGTGTATGTGTGTAGACTTTGCTTCTCTTGAGAACATTTCAGAGTTTCAGTCTTGATGGGTAAAAGGAGAGTAAAGTGACTCAGTCTGTGACTGTTCAGGTCATGACTGATGCGTCCAGTGAAATAGAGCTCAAGGAGATAGAGACCCAAAATTAATCTTGTGAAAATCTTTGGTCATTTTGAAATTGTTATCAGCTATATGTCTCTAAAAAGTAGTTCCAGGGTTGTGTTTCTTGTCATATGGAGGATGTGGTTTGTCATTGTCTTTCTGAAATATGAAGGTCTTCCCTGAAAAAGTCATTGTCTGGATGTCAGCAGATGTTCCTCCTAAACCTGTATATTTATAGTTCAGTATTAATGGAGAAAAATCACGAAAATACTGAGAGCTTTTCGGCTTCAAATCTGTATACTGGTGGCAGGTGGAACCAAGTTGTCCATAGTATATACAGTCTATGATTTTGGTTCTCGACCTTTTTGTCTCTGTTTGTGTTTCTTGAACAGCTTCTTTCAAACATGTTGGTGGCATCAAATTTCAAATGAGCAAATATTGTTTTCTTAAAACAGTCAAACTTTGCAGCTGGAGTGGCTGATATGTTGTCTTTGCTCTTTTTACAGTTACATTTAGGTTTTACATGATTTGCGAAACCTAAAATTCTTGTTTCGTACAGCGTCCCTGCTTTCATGGACTTGATTGTGTTTGTTTCTGTTAATCTGAACTGTCTGGTTGACCTTTGACCTCCATCTCTGCTGCTGCTTGCTGACTGTCTCCGTCCTCTATCTGTGAGAGATGCTAACTCTCTGCAGCCTGAATGCTTCACTGATAAGGCCTCTGTATGCTAATAACAGGATCTCTAAACTAACACACTAATAGCTTCTCTAAGCTAACATGCTAATAGCTTCTGCGCTAACACTGCTAGCGCTGCTAGCATTGCTGTGCTGTTGGCTGACTGCACCGGCACCTCGCTCCTCATGCTCTGCTCACTGAGAGGGGGCGGGCTCACCTGTGACTCCACCCTCTTAGTAAGCAGATCTGCTGCCATGGCGACCAACCCTTGCCTGCTTCACCTGATGTCAACTCACCTGCTCACGCACTCTCCTCTGTGACCTTTGACCTCTGTGTCCATGTTTAACCTCCTTTCTTTCTCTCTTTTTTACTTTCCGGCTGGATCGCACCTCCTCCTCTTTTCCTCCTATCTTTATCTTTTAAAATTTGCTTCATCCATTTACCATCTTCTCTTTCATTTCATCTCTTTCCCTCTCTCCCTCTCTCTCTCTCTCTCGTTCTTTTTTTTCTTATTTTTCTTTCTTTCTTGGAGAACTTTGAAACATCTCTCCTCCATTTTTCATTCCCTTATTTTCATGATTGTTTACTCTTTCTTTGGCACTTCTATACCTTCACTTTTATTCCCTACCTCCTTCACTCATACACTTGTTTCCTCCTCTCTTTAATTTCCCAACACATTCCTTTATTTTTTTCCCTTCCTTTCCTTGGTTTCCTTCCTTCCTTCCCTACCTGTTCCATGTATCCCCCCTCTATTCCTCATGGGGGCACCAGTCCTTCCTCTGTTCGCCCTATGACATCATCCAGTGCCGCCTGCAGCCGGTCCGCGTCACAGTTCGGGCGCTGGTTGCCCGGGATACAGCCTCCCAGCACAGGAAACAAGACGAGGCGGTCTCGCCCTCAAACCCCGCCCCCTCTGCGGTGTCAAAGACTCCCTTACTGGTTTCTGTCACCACTCAAACCCCGCCCCCCGCATGGCAAATCTGGGACCTTATTGGCTCGAGCCTGCTGCACATCCTCTGCCTCCTTCTGCTCTTCTTGGCCTATACTTGGAGCGAGTTAACGTAACCATGACAACAGCCTCCTATCAGTCGCCTCTAAGACCCTCCCTCTTTCTGCACAAGCCACTCCCCCTCTTACTTTTTCCTCGCTGCATTCAGGTCACATGAGAAAAATCAGGTTTGAATTTAACATTTAACTGAAACTGGAAAACGAATAACTCGAATTACGTAGACCTTGAACATCATTGACGACAACTACAGATATATATAATCCTCAAACTTCTGATGATCCTGTGTGATTTGAATGCAGCGTAAGCCTGAGCCTCTGCCCCCTTACCGCCGTCTTTGACTCTCTCTTTTCGTCGCCAGTTTGGAGAAAAATCAGCTGACAAATATTTTGGTGTTTTATAATAAACTGGACGGTAACAGGAGCAGGATTTCAAAGTCACTGATGTCTTATTAACAGGATGAGCAGCAGAGATAATCTGAGTTTAAGACGTTTCACATCAAACTCGGATTCTGTTCAATACAGTAAAACCTTCTCCGTGGTCTGTATGAATGAAAAACAGACCAGGGTAAACAGAGTAGTGATCCACTCCCCCCTAAAATAACAAAGTCAGTGTTTGTGTTCATGTTTTTATGGTTTATAGATTATAACATGAAGCACAGCGCAGCTTTGTTGGTACTAAAGTGACTTTATTACATGATCTGTTTAACTCAAAAATCTCCCAGCAGCCATTTGGCCCCGTCTTGGAAGTCTGGTGGAAAATTTGGTCGTCTGCATTTGGAGTGAATATTTTTAGTTAATATCATGAGATAATTTTTGGGACGCCAACAAACATTTTTCTTGACTATATTTGAGAAATTTCAAATCTCAAATCTTGACATCCCCAAACCCAGAGGACCATGAATCAGTTTTAAATGACAGTTTCTTGGCATGTATTATAGTTAGTCAGAAATCCTTCTGTTCTGTTTGAAAGTAACCTTTTCCAAATTTAAACCTAATTTTATACAAACCATATAAAGATGTCCAACATGGCCGCCAAATGACACTGCTGCAGCCTGTCTGTTTTATTAATGATGCTAATTTATCAGTGAGGCTAACCAAATTAACACTACTTTAGGAACCACAAAGTGAATAAAAACAAAAAAAGAGGCTGGTTTCCTGCACATTATCAGATTAACTAAAGCTGATAACTTAAAAGTTTAATTTTTGTGTCTGTATTTATGAGCACATGATTCCTGACGGAAAACTAAACAAAACCATGATACGACAAAGTATTAGGGCCACATTAAACAAAGACATCATGACGGTTTTGAGAATAAAGTCATTAAATTAAGTCTTAATGTATCTGGAATAAAATAGTTATGTTGCCAGAATAAAGTCATAACAGACTAAAAACATCATGTTACTGTAACATTGTAGATATGTTAAAACAATAAAATCATTTTGTTAACAGAAAAAGTCATACAGTAATACAGTCATTATGGAACAACAAGAAAGTCATTATGTGATGAGAATAAAGTTGTTCTGTTACTTAAACAAAATTGTAATGTACTGCGAATTAACCCGATTTATTACAAAAAAAAATTTAAATGTTGTTACAAAATGAAAGTTATGTCACAGGAATATAGTTGATGTTACAAGTCGTAACACAATAAAGTCATTATGTATTATGAGGTCAATGTCGTGACTTTGTGAGTATTAAGTCGTTATGTTACAAAAATAGAGTTGTGATACTGTGACAATTTACCTTTCACAAAAAAATAACAATTTTATGTTACAAAATTGATCATAAAATTTTCATAAAATGAGGATAAAGTCATTACGTTACAAGAATAGCTATGTTACAACAAATAAGTTGTCACATTCCAAAATGTAAAAAATCCATAGAAAATGATTTTTTACATTATGAGATTAGGTCATTTTGTTAAGTGCTAACTACAACTTAATCTTTGTAACATTACAACTGTATTCTTGTAAGATTCTGACAGTGTATCAACTGTCTTTATTAACATAACAGCTTAATATTTGTAATATTATGATTTAATGATATTTTTCTCATTTTATTAAGACAATACTCCCGTCACATAAAACCTTTATTCTCGTACAACAGACCAACTTGTTCTTGAAATCTAACTTAAACCTGTAATGTGGCCCTTTTGCGCTGTCGTACCATGATAGAGATGCACTAACAATGATAATCAGTTTAAAATGTTTGATTATGAAGTGAAGAAGAACCAGAAGCCATATTTTCAAAGTGATTTTTTGTTTAAATCGGTCAAATTTCAATCCTTGAATTACTATACAATTTAATTTGAGTGGAGTTATTTCAGAAAAAAAATGTAAATTTATTTATTTAAGATACTTTATTTTCCTTCTTTGGTAAAATATCATTGGATAAAGCTGCATGAACCCTGATAATGTGAGTGTTTTGGTTTGATCTGAAGGGCTGTAGAGGACGGAGGAAACAGTAAATAAATTACTCGTCTGGAGGTTTTTATTTTAGAGAGTTTGATACACAGACAACTAAAATGTTCTCTCTTTGTTGATATTAAGATGAACTTTAAACTGAGGAATGTGATTTTCTCTCTGTGCTCTCTCTATCTTTAGAAACAGTATTTTATGGTGCGATGTGAGCAGCTGATTGGCTGCTGGTGAACTCACACAGACTGAATGAGCTTGAACTGGATGAACTCTGACTCTGCCTTTAAACATGATGTGAATTACTCTGAATGTGAATATTTGGATTATTGACCTCTTTGTATTCAGTGAATTATTATTTCTGGCAGTAATTTTTTGCTTTCTGTTGCCTCTTTCTCTGCACAGATTAGTATGATTTTTTTTAACTTTGTGCTGATGTGAATGACTTGATGTGTGAGCGGGTTATTTTTATGACTTGTATGATCTCTGACTGTGTTTCAGACTGAGGTAATAAATCAGATTTAGGGACACCGTCTCCTCTGTGAGGTTCTTGTTAAAGTTTTAGGATGAAGGTTTCATTTCTTGTTTTCCAGGAGGTGAATTTTTTTACAGTTTATTTACTTTCTTGTCTAGATTGAGTATGAACTCTTCTCTCACAAACGCCCGTTAGATATAAAATTACTGTTAGAAGAAAGTTATTGTCATGGTTTGATAGTTTCATGCATGCAAATAGTAAAACTAAAGGGAAAATAAGAAGTTATGCTAAGCAAATTTGGTTCAAGCTTTGCTGCATTTTTAATAGAAATTACATTTTTATTAAGACAAAGGAAAGAAATGTTGAGATCTAAATGTTAATTGAACAAGAATACAGTCATGGTATTTACAAGAATAAAGGGGTAATCGCAAAATAATCACAATTTTAAGAGAAACTTAAAAAAAAAACAACGTTTTAATCGACAAGATTAATGAGTATAATAATTTCAATTTATAACCTAACTTTTAAATGAATCAGTTTAGAGAACATTGAGAGAATAAACAGAAAAAAATATATACATTTGTGAGTAAAAGTTTTACATTTAAGACTAAATTTATTCATTTATGACAGTAAACTAAATAAATGATTGTAAAGTTATGATATTTTAAGAAGAGAAGCTTCAACGAGAAGACATATATTCACAGGAAGTCATGATTTTATATATTTTTGTAGAACTTACAAGATTAAAATCAAAAACTGAATAATTAACTTAAAGATGTAAACAAAAGAATTCTTAAAATATGAATTTTATGAGAGTAATACAAAAAATTATAACAATAAACCTTTAAAATGAGGTTTTAAAAGTATGAGAATAAAGTTAATTCACAATAATAATTTGTAAATAAATGCGTTTGAACAAAATATAGTCTTTTAAACTTTTAAATAAGTTACCAAAAACAAACTTCATTCAAAGTAATTAAAGAATTGTGAATTTATGAGACTTAACTCTTAGATTTTGGATTAAATTCGGATTAGACTTTGTATTTTCCTCTGTATTCTTATCAAATTTAAAACTTAGAGGAGGAAAAGCCCCTTCGTTTTAGGGTCTGTAGATACTTTCTGAATCACTTTGAAAGTCCTCTAACGTCCCCACACTCACCTGTTCGTCTGTTTCTGTCTCTCAGGACAAATTGTGTCTCCCTCACCACATCCTGGAGGAGAAAGGTCTGGTGAAGGTCGGGATCACGGTTCAAGCTCTGTTGGACGAGGGATCCCCCCAACATGGCCCGCTGACGTGAGCAGCAGGGACGCACCGACACCAGAAACAAACACGCACCTGGACGGCCTCTGAGCTCTCTCTGCACCTGTCTGAGTCACTCTGTGTTTGATTCAGGATACAGAGGGGACAAGGAACTAAAACAGCCAGAAAAAAAAAGATAAATTTACCCTAAACAGTCAGAAAAACAGTTATTTACCCTAAACAGTCAGAAAAACAGGTTTCTTTACTAATTACTGAGGCAGGATGATGATTTAGCTCCATCAGGGCAGAGATTTCACTTTTTTAAAGCATGTGAGTAAAAATTAAGTCTGACTTCACCTCATTTCTTTAAATCCAACACAAGAGACACAAACTGTGGACTGAAGGGCATCAACACACTCACTGAATCTGTGATTTCTTTTCTTCCTTAGACATTTTTGCACATGTTTGCACCTGAAACTGTAAAGGAATATCAGGACCACTAGAGAGCAAAAAAATGGCTTTAAGTCCAAGTAATTTAGGAGAAAATTTAAGGAATGAAACAAATAAAATACAACTGGATACAATGAGATGAGCAGATTTGACATTTTAGCATGCAATATTACAAGACAAACTAAAATGCACATAAAAATCAGATGCAATACCTCGATAAAAGCTAAAAGAAATTGAAGAAAATTCATAATTTTAACATGTTTTTGACTCAAAATTAGAGCCATAATGCAGTAAGTCTTTTGTATTCAGGCCAATAACTCAAAGCACACTTTTTTAAAAATTATGATTATGACCCTTTTACTGTAAAATACAAAGACTCTTGTGCTCCTGATACTCTGAGAAACAAAAGCAGAAGCAGGAAGGTTTAAAGATCAGATACTGAACTCTAAATTAGTCGTAGAAATGACAGAGTTATTAATGTTGTTATTCTGCTTTAGTAGCACCCAGTTCACATGTTTCTAAACCATCAGTCATTAACCTGCTAGCTGTGGAGTTATCCCACCTGAGGCTTCAGGTGGAGACTTTGTGCACTGTGTGAGAATCTAAAACCAAAATATGCACCATGGAGGGAAATTGAACCCTGATTTCTATTTAAACTTTTAAGATATTTATGATATAAAGAGACGCAGTTTGAGCTGGTGAAACATTCAGAAGATGAATATCCAAAAATATTTTCTCTAATATATTTTAGCTAAAACTATGTCTGTTTTCAAAGTTTGACTCTAAGCTGTCTGTGCGTCTTTAAAGCAGGTCTGAGTCTGTGTTTGTCTCTAAAGGAGTCCAGGTAAACCTGAGTGTGTTCTCCACTCACCTCAGGTCTTTTTACACCTGACTTTTTCAGTGTTTCTACTGCAGCAGTTTCTGTTTTTCACTCTGGATGATGTTTTTTTTAAGAGATTCAGTTTGCTAATGTGCCAAAACACAACAAAGTTAAGGGAGAGTTTTAGTATCGTCAACCTGGGAACTCTTTTTACATATTTATGGATCTTAACAATAAAAAGGATACAGAAAGTTTAAAAATGTCAGCAGCAGATTTCCTCCTCCTGCAGTGGTTAAACAGGCTGTAATGTCTCTAAAACTTCTTGTGTTTTCAGAGTCTGACAGCGTCACAGAAGGGAACTACACAGTATTTTAGTAACACAATAACACATGCATTGATCCAACCATTTTTGTGTTGCTTAGCAGCCTTTCTTTTTAATTGTTTAGACTCCCAGGTTGAAAAATATAAAAATTCTCCCTTGATGAAAAACAGTCACAGAACAAAATCTACGGTGGCCCTGAAGGACAACTGCATGAACATATCATTACTTAAAAAAAAAAAGCATCTCGGTGATTTGGAAAAGTATGAACAGGAAAAAGATCAATTTCACACAATATTGTAAATAATTCTTTGAATGCAAAAAGTTCAAAATTCAATATTAATTTAAAATTAATTTAATCATGAAAATATATATAAACAGATATAAACTCATGAACACAAAAAAATTCAAAAATTCTTCAGAATTATTCGTTTTGTGTTTCATGACATTTTTGCACATCATGAATCAATTTTTGCTTTTAATATTTTGGATAAATTTAATGATTTTTTAGTTTATCTTTTTCCCACTTTTTCAAAAAAAAACTGAAAAATATTTTTTATGTTCTGTGAAATATTTTTGTTTCATTATAATGTTTTTTGTGGTCCTGAAATATTTATCCAGTTGACCTTCAAGGCCACCGTACAAACACACTGATCACTACCTACAGCCCCACACTCCACCTCTCCTGCACAGCTGCTTCCATGTAAATATTGACTCCTGTCAGCTTCCGTACTGTAAGACTCTGGATAAATGTGAGTGTTTCAGATTTGATGAGTGAGGATGAGGAGGGTGAAAATTAGGGAGGAAGAGATCTCACACAGCTGCAGCTCTGACGCTGATGGACAGGTCGGTGTGTGTGTGTGTGTGTGTGTGTGTGTGTGTGTGTGTGTGTGTGTGTGTGTGTGTGTGTGTGTGTGTGTGTGTGTGTGTGTTGGAGCTGCAGCTCTGTGAGGCTGTGTGTGACTCAGGGTGGATTTACTACACTGTTGATGCTTCATTCCACAACCTGCTACATCAGCACTGTGCGTTCGTGTGTGTGTGTGAGTCTGTGATCCTGGTGGCTCTCTCAATCAGGTGGTTTTGCAGATCTGACTCAAATAAAAACTTTAAAGGGACAGTATGTCTTTAATTATCTTTGTCACCCTCTGCTGGTCACTGAAGTCAATCACAGTTTTTAGACACTGACAGGGTTTTTGATGCGCTTCAGAAAATACAAAATCAAGTCATATGAAAAATAAGTAATCATTGATTTTAATTTTTTATGTTCTTCATGAAGAATGGTTGTGTTTTTTTCTCAGTTTGAGAAAGGCTGACTGATCCACTGACATCAACACAAGGGCGCGTTCACACCACCCTTGTTTAGTCCGGTTGAACTGAACCCTGGAGCGTTTACCCCCTTGGTGCGGTTTGTTTGGGTCAGTATGAACGCTGACCTCAAACTCTGGTGTGGACCAAATAAACGAACTCTGGTCCGCCTGAAGAGGTGGTCTCGGATCGCTTTCAAGTGAACTCTGGATGCGCTCCAGATGAGTGGCAAAAGCAAAATCAGCCTACGATGCTTCATGACAGGCAAAGACGGCAGAGCGCGATTTGTATTCCCGCATAAACTAATGACCAATAACCGAACGATATTCGTGGTCACGTGACTTCTGGTTCAGTTTTCTGGAGCGATTGAGTTTGTCCTTTGTGAACGCAAACCGGACCAGTTAAACAATCTAAACAAATGTATCGTCTTGCCTTGGATTCGAATCAGGAAACGGACCTTTTGGTGTGAACATGACCTAAGATTCAGAGTTAGAAATTTAAAGCTCCCGGGAGAAACTTTCTTTTTGTCTTAACTTTGGCGCCCCCTGTGGACAAAATTAGATCTCATGTGTCGCTGTTAACCTGTATGTGTATAATCCTGACTGATAAATAATAAGAGTTTTAATGAACTGAAGATGTCAGATTATTAATGTAGTGTTGTAAAATTGTAGTGGTATTTAAATACAAGAGTCCAGTAGAAGTAAAGCACCTTAAATTTATACAAGAGATTGACAAAAGATCACATACTGTCAGGATCAGGTGAAAACAGACATAATAAGTTAAACTAAAGATTAATTAAGTTTGCTTAATGTGGGCTCATGACAGTTGAGTTTCTGCTTTAGAATTGATCACAAATTTACGGACTGTCCCTTTAAAGCCAAAATAACAGCAGGTCTTGGATTAGACTGAACTCCCTTTAACATCGAACTGAGACCACATGAGGAGGCAGACCCATGTTTGTGTGTGTGTGTGTGGGTGTGTGTGTGTGTGTGTGTGTGTTTAGTGATACAGCTCAGTATCCAAAGTTTGATCTTCTCTCAGATTCAGCAGAAAAATAAGTTTTTACTCGGTCAGTTTGAAAGTTGCCAAAACAAACATTTTATCATGTGATTAAAGTTTGACTTAAATGTTTTTTATTTAGTGTACAGGTTATTGATCACAGCAGATTAATGTGGTTTAATTCATGTTTGAAACACAGTGATGAGTTTTTCTGTTTGTCCATGTACTGTACGTTAAAACACTCACAGCTGCTGCTTAATAAACCCACAATTACAGGATAAAACTCAGAGTTACACACTGTGGATTAAGTTTTAATCTCTAATTAAATGAAGCAGAGAAAAGTTCATTCTGTCATTCCTGATGTTAAATTATTTAGATTTTATTGCTGAAAACAGATTTTGGCACATTTAAAAACATTCTTAGTGAAGCAGCAGGTAAAAAAAAGGGAGTCTGATGTCTTTCTGATCACGTCTTCTCTCCACTCGTCTGTTTTCTCGTCACGTCTTCAGTGTTTTTTGGGAAAAGCAATAAAAACGTGAGTGTCTGCTCCCTTACAATCTGCACTTTAACCTTTCTTATTTATATCTTTGTTTTGGCAACTGACCGAATCTGAGCTGAAGTCTGAGGAAACAGTTTAAAATGTGACGCTGTGTAAATGTGTACATGTGGTGAAAAGAGACTTTCCTGCTGAAGCAGTGTTGTTGTTGTTGTTGTTATTGTCGTTTTTTAATGTCTCTTATTTTGTAAAGAAACTTCCTGTACTCACGTTTTTGTACTTTTCTGATGGTGAGGAGATTTATTTTTTATGTGACTTCTTTCAGGTTTGTTACGAAAACCTTTTTGTAACTCTTTGTGAACCTCTTTGTGTAATTTGTTGTACAGCAGCTCCAATTGAAATGCATGAAATGTCCCTTTAATGTCGCCTTAACTGCTGTGAATACTGTAAATACTGCACTGTATTTCTCATGACTTTATCAGTAAAAAGCAACTTTAAAGAAACAAAATCTGCCTCCCTTTGATTTCATTTACCTTCCTCTCTTTCCTGTTATAATCTTCATCACATGTCTCTCATAAACCTTTTCTTTCGTTCACCTGAAACAGTCGGATATGACTCCTATCCAGAAGATATATAAAGATAACACTTCCTGAACAGAGGACAATATGCTTACTGAGTTCCCATCATAAATACTTCACCTTGCACGCTCTCTGAATCAGTTTTCATGTTACATCAGCTCTTCTTTTACAAACAGGGGACCAGTTTCTGGAGTTTGGAAAGTGAAATGTTATCCCATTCTTCCCTGATTGAGGATTTCAGGGTCTCCTTTGTCCTAGTTTGTCCGATGTTATGTCTCAAACAAGATACAAAGTTTGAATTGTAAGAGTCACTCTAGTTTATTTAATTCACTTGGTTATACTTACAATAATAGTGTTTGGTGGTGCCTTAGTGTGATGGTAACACTGATATCTGATGACACACAGGTCATGGGTTCAAATCCCAGCGTTAACCCACTCATTCAAAGCTAACACAACCTGGCTTCCACCTCAGAAAGTTTGTACTTTTGAATCATTTCAATTCCATGAAAGTGAGATATACGTGAACAAGTAAATGTAAACAGCAACTTATTGTGGCTTTCCAGGCAAGTGCTGATGCTTCGTAGCAAATAGGTTCAGACTTAAATTCTAAGCAAGAAGGACTTTCTTGGTACGGCTATACGGCTTTTCTACAATTGCAGTCAAGACTGTGCTTTTGTAACAACACAACATAATAGAAAAAAGATCAAATTACTCAAGCAAGCCCTGCAAAATAGCACTTAAGAGTTTGGAAGGACATGCTTTCCTCATAGTGTAAGCTGCTTTTGAACAATAAAAGAGTAAAATGAACAGATTAAGAGTTCGGATTATGAACAGGGATTTAAATGTGAGCAAGGAAGAAAACGCTGTCCTCACTTACAGTTAAAATCATGGATTTAAACTTTCACTGTCCAAAAACCATGGGTGTTTGTGTTATTTTAATTGTGTAGCAAGGTGGTGAAAGGTTTTTGAGTTCAAGCCCAGGACAAAGCCACACCTTATAAACTATGAAAGGACACTTAAACCTACATCTATGTTAACCTTTGACTTTAAACTTTATCAATAAGAAAATAAATAGGATCTAATGTGAGAGCAGACAACCCCAAACACTGAAAAGGGTCAGCCTTACTTCAGGTGTAGAGGTACGGTTCCTCGACTTTCAATTAAACATCCTGAATTCAAATCCAAATAAAATATAATTTACTGTTTTTGTCATAATTGTTTCACAGACAGTAATGAACAAACAAACAAATAAATACAGAATTACAAAACATCCAAAACCATGGATTTGAATGGATTGGATATGGATTTCTGCACATTAAAAGGTCACACAGAGAACAGTACAGTGATACCCAGTGGACATATTATAAACAGCATTTCTTTAACTTATCATTACCCTTCCTCACATTTTGTTCTCTTTACATTATCAGCAGACATACTCATGTCTTTATTGTTTCCTGAGTCTGAGTTCTGAGTCTGTCTCTGTTATAAAACCTCATTTTATCAGCAGCTTCAAACTCAGAGCAAAGTTATCTCCTTCAGTCAGCTGTGAGGCCTTCACTGACTATAGGAAATATAATAACTTGCTCCACATGCTCGGTATCTGACGGAGATTTCCAACTTAATTAATGAAAACTTAGTGAGAATGTTGAAGTTTTCATTATTTTTTCAGTCTACGCCAAGAAGAAATGAAGGTATGAGTGTTTTCCATGAAATCAAATTTAGGGGTGCCAATTTGTTCTATGAGTGACTGAAATAAAAATATATTTCTGTTTTGGTCACTCTGAATTAAAGAGGTTAATAATACCTCTTTTTTGCTTTTCTTGTGTTACACTTTGTTAATTTAAAATTGATAAAGACCCATGTCTGAATCAAGTACTTGTGATTGATCTACAAATATCGGAGCTCACGTTAAGTCCCTGAAGGCAGCAGTGGGCGGGGTCTCTTTTACACGTGACGGACAGTCTTCTTGTTAAATAAGTGTTGTTGAGAACACAGGAGGACAAAACATGGCTTTATAACGAGTCAAGTATTCTCATCTTGGACTGAACTCAGAGGAAAAACGGTGAGTTTCATGTTTTTAAGTTATTCTTTAGTGTTTTTGTACCTTTAGAGTATTTTATATCTCATATTTGATGTCTTTTCTGCTCTGAAACGTGACTGTCAAACACACCAAAACAGATCAATACTGACTAATTTTACAGAAATATTAGTTTAACTGGAATTAAAATAACTGCATGGTGTTTTATATACATATATCAGTGCATATCAGTCTTATTTAAGGTGAAACTTTTAGTCGTACATGTCCCACGCTGCTTCATCCTTCAGTATGTGGTGGGTTACAGCGTGTTCAAGGACTATGACATGAACCTGGGGTGACTATGTTCCTATACTTTTAAAAAGGTTAATGCAATCAAAAGGAAAACAATATATAATAGTCATAAGTATCTGTTGGGGAATTGTTTCAGCTGCCATCACAGTCAGTCTCAGTCTGTTATGTCAGTGAACTTTAAGGCTGTTTCTATGAATAAGAAGAAATAATACTTGTGTTGAATCCACTCCAACCTGCATAAAGAAAAAGAATGAAGTATATTTTATTTTTAGTGTTTTCGTCATTCATGGTGTCTCTACACACCTGTACCAGTGTAATAAAACAGGTCCCAATGCCACAGATTAGGATTTCTTCTAGAGAGAATAACAAATATTTCTTTTTTCAATCTGTGTTTATTAATGTAGTTCATAAAAATGGGATATAACCTCCTTAAAAAACAGGACATAAATTGAAAATCAAGTACAAATGAAACAATACAGACAAAGACAGATAAAGATAAGAAAAGTGAAAAAAATTGGTAGCAAAAAACATCTCCTGCAGAACAACATAAAGCATTTCATAACGTGTCCACATTCAGAAATGTTCGATACACCAATACACATCACACATAACCATTCTTCTTTCAGGAATATTTCGAGAGGGAACCAATCCCTCGCAAAAACCTTGGTTGAACCCATAAGTACATGTGATAATCTTTCCAATTGGAAGATAAGCATAAGTTTATCATGCCATGAAGAAATATCTGGGGGCTCTTCTACGAACCATTTTTGTAATAATGCAAGGCATCCAGCGTATAGCGTTTCTCTGGAAATGTACTTATACCGAAGGTAATCCTTAGAGTAGAAGCTTTTAATGGTATTTATTCAAGCACGTTCATACTCAAGCCTCTTCTATGTATTGTTGTGGACAGGATATAACTTCTTAGTTGTAAATATTTGAAGAATTGATTTCAAAGAAGATCAAATTAATTCCTGAGTTGCGCAAAAGATTTTAGAGTTGCACCTGCAATGAGGTCTTGAATTTTTAAAATGCCAACATCTTTCCATGCTTTAAACCCAACATCTGAACAGGACAATAAAAATGTGGATTACTTATAATAGTTGCGAAAACAGAATATTGATTCATAATCCCAAAGGGCATATGTACACCATTCCACGTTTTGAAAGTGTTCATTAGAATAAAGTTATCTTCAGTTTCCTGAGATGAAATAGTATTATTTATAGAAGCCTCACATCCAGTGTTTTCCAGATTTAGGAATGTAGAATTAGGATAATTTTTAATCCATTTTGTAATGTGATTATTGGTGAGGCCCAGTGGTAGTACATTATGTTAGGTAGAGCTAAGCCCCCTTTCTCCACCGGCAGCTGCAGTTTATCCAATTTAGGTCTTGAGTGTTTACCTTTCCTCACAAATTCACATTTCAACTAAGTTGAGATATCATTCGGTAACATCTGGATATAAGAATCTTTGAAGAACATTCATCTTCACTGAGTGATGATATGGGCAAAGGACTCCATCTTTGGAGGTCTTTCCTTATCTCTATCACCACTGGGTCTAAATTCAGTTTATCAAATTATTAAAATTAGGAGGCACGTGAATGCCTTAATACTTAAATCCATTGGCAGACTGCTGGAAAGGATCATAATTTAATAAATCGTCACCTTTTAAATTCCACAGAGGTAAGGCCAGGGAATTTTCATTGTTGATTTTATTTCCAGAGAACTATTAAGTACTGAACAAATATTTCAACCTGCTTTGACAATCCAATTCAGATTCAACAAAAGGGAAGTTAGTCAGCAGAGAGAGCGTGGAAAAATACTGTATAGTGTGAACACCATCTTAACCTCTGTGCCTGCTGTCAACCAGGAAAGAGAAGAAAGAGACAGGAAGAAAGAAATGGGAAGGGAAATAGATATCTGCAAGAGCTGCTAAAAGAACATTTTGTGCTTAACATGGAAGATGATATTGACACTTGAAAGACCTTTTTGTACAAGACAATAAAATAACAATATTAAAAAATGCATGCATCAAAAAGAGAAAAAACTTTAAACTGAAGGCTGGTGCGATATAAAACAGAACAATGACATGATATTACTTAATGAAAACTCACAGCAGGTCTGAAATACATGAAAACCATTAAAGGAGACATCTAACAAACAAGTGACAAACTGCTTTCAATTATCTTTATATTCTGTAAATCTTTATTGTGATGTAAACAGGCGAGTTTAATCCACCTATTATCTCTGCTTGAAGTTTTACATTGGGCTCTATGGGGAGTGACTCCCTGCAGGACACAGACCCTAGTGGACACTGGAAGAACTACAATTTTATTAAATATTAATCCCTTACCCCTGCTCCATAGGCCATGATGCAGAACAACGAGAAGACCCCCCTGCTGTCCCGTCTCTCCCCTAACTCTAACTCTAACTCTGAGGCCCCGCTCCTCTCCTTAAGTGGCCCCGTTGTCACCATCATCGGCTCTGGAGACTTCTCCCGCTCCCTCTCCATCCGCCTGGTGTCCTGTGGGTTCAGGGTGGTGGTAGGCAGCAGGGACCCAAGTCGTGTTGCTGAGGGTCTGTTTCCCGACGGGGTGGTGCTGGGGTCTCAGAGGGAAGCAGTGAAGGCGGCAGACAGGTTGGTGTTTGCGGCGGTCTACCCGGAGCACTACCACACCCTGCTGGACCTGAGGGAGGCGCTGGCGGGAAAGGTGCTGGTGGATGTTAGTAATGCCTCCACAGTGGGGGGCGAGGGCCCGTCAAACGCTGAGAGGCTGGCTGAGATGTTCCCAAGAAGCACCGTGGTGAAGGGGTTCAACACGTTGTCTGCGTGGGCGCTGCAGGTCGGGGCTCACGATGGCAGCCGGCAGGTGAGGAGGAGGAGAAGGAGGGGGCGGGTCAAACAGTTGTGAAGAGTTTAGACGGAACCAAATGGAACTCACCTACTCTCCTCCAGCAGCCGCTTGTTTGTAGCGAGACCTCAGGCCAGTTCTATACAGACTACAGCGGGGTGACGCAGCTCAAGGAAGAACATTTATGATTATCACTTCAAGGACATGATAAAGAAATTATCATACATGTTCTTCCTTGAGCTGCGTCACCCCGCTGTAGTCCGTAATGGACCGGCCCAAGGTCTTAAATAAAAGCCACCTTAAACAGACAGGACTGCTGTGGCTCCTTTTCACTGTTGAGATTTTAACCCATCTTTTTTACATCTCAGGTCCTGATCTGCAGCGACTGCTCCTCCTCTAAGGCCTCCGTGCTCCAACTGGCCCGTAGTCTGGGCTTCACCCCTGTGGATCTTGGAGGTCTGTTTGCAGCCAGGACCATCGAGGAAGCCCCGCTCATCCTCTTCCCTTCATGGGGGAGACCTGTCCTCACCACCTTCCTCCTCTTTCTCTTCTTCTACGGATACAGCTTCCTCAGACAGGTCCTACTGCCTTACCTCGATAAAGGAAGAAATAACTTCTACCAGCTTCCTCTAGTGCTTGTGAACCAGACGCTGCCGTCTGTTGCTCTTGTTACACTCGCACTCGTCTACCTACCAGGTAACAAACACTTCCTAATTAAAGGAGAATCCTCTCAATTTGAATGTATTAAGGAGTAAACATGCTGCTCTGCTGTGTGTCCTCAGGTATCTTAGCTGCGGTGCTCCAGCTCGCCAGAGGAACTAAATATCGGAGGTTTCCCGTCTGGTTGGATCACTGGCTGTGCAGCAGGAAACAACTTGGCCTGCTGAGCTTCCTATGTGTCGTGCTGCATGCTGTCTACAGCATGTGTCTAACTCTAAGGAGAAGTTCGGGAAATGCAGCACAGGTGAGCACAGGGCAGGTGGAGAGCGTGGATCTGCGTTGGTGCATTCAGTGCCTGTCTGATGTTTTTAATGCTTTCTATCATGCGCAGGTAAGAGCTCCTGTGTTCACCCAAGTGGATCAGATGGTGTGGAGGTCTGACCTTTACCTGTCCAGTGGGATTCTGGGATTTGGAGCCCTCACGCTGGTGGCAATCACCTCTCTGCCCTCTGTTGGAAACTCTCTCAATTGGAGAGAGTTCACCTTTGTTCAGGTAAGAGTCAAACAGGTGGCCATGGTCTAATTTTACGGTATGAAAGCATCTCAAACCGGCATTCCCACTAAGGTCCAGCAGGGGGCAACTTCACTGGTTGGAAAAATCAGTCCGATTGAAGTCTCTGAGAAATTGGTACTACTTCTCAGTTGATGTATTCCCTCGTACCGAAGCTGAGGTTGCTTGGATAGCTGTTTCAGCTCATCTGTATTGTTGGCTCGGGTGTCTGTCATCTTCCTCTTGATGATACCCCAGAGAATCTCTATGGGGTTCAGTTTGCTGGACAAGTCAAACACAAGAATACAATAGTCAGCAAACTTTCCAGTTACAGTTTTGGACCTGTGAGCAGGTCCAGCAGATGGAAGCATGAAGTGTTCTGACTCTTGATGCTTTGACTCCAGCCTCAGTCCACTCTTCATGAATCTCCTCTAAATTCTTTAATCCACTTTCCTTGACAATCCTATCAAAGCTGCTGTCATCCCTGTTGCTTGTGCAGCTTTTCCTCCCACACTTTTACCTTTCTTGCATGAGTAGCCATGGGGTTGCCTGAGGTTGTGTTACCTAAACTGATAGATACTTAGTGATTAGGATGAAGCACCTGCCAACAACGCCAAAACAGTTGCCAAATTATTTTTAATTATTTTCTGACCGTCGATGCCCAGAGTCCCCTAAACAGCTGTTAAGTCAGCTTTCACTTCACCATGATTGTGTTTGTGTTTACTGAACTAGACAAAGAGATATGTGGTCTATTCTGTTTGAATAGTGATTGACTTTAACTCAAAATGAAGTATTCAAATTTTTTAATATATGCATTTATGCGCTGTTTGCCACTGAAATCAAAGTTTAAATAAAAGACTCTAAAACTATTAAGTTTCCACATATGATTTCTGTGTTTCTGTCTCCAGTCAGGTCTTGGTTATGCTGCTTTAACTCTCTCTGTTGCACACACCCTATTCTTCGGCTGGGACTTTGCCTTCGACCCCTCATCTTACTCGTACTTCCTCCCACCCGTGTACATGCTGGCCCTGATCCTGCCCTGCGTGGTCCTGGTGGGGCGACTCCTCCTGTTTCTGCCGTGTCTGACATCCAGACTGACGAAGATCCGCAGGGGCTGGGAGAGTCGACAACACAGACCCAAACTGAGTCAGGAGCTAGGGTCAGGGTCAGGGTCGACTCAGGTGGATTCTCCTCGAGCCTTTGGTGACGTTTAAAGATCCAAACAGCAAATCTGGAAAATCCAGATGTTTGTTTTCTCTCTGTGAGAGCTTGAGCACTTTCTTTTCAGTATCAACTCTGTCTTTTCACGGTCAAAGTTTCAACATTTCTACAGTACTGGTGCCTTAAAGACTATGAATGCCATACAGTCATATTACAGAAAGCATGTTTGCACAGTTATCTTGAGATTCAAAGCATTACAGACAGCACACCCGGACAAATACTCCTAACTAGGTGAACTGGGACATCTGTTCTCATGAGGAGTAAAGATTAAAGTAAACATTTCAGTGGATTTATGCCGTAAAAATGTGACAAATGGACAGTGTGAATGTTAGGTGTTAATTTAAAGGAGGCAAAGACAGGGGCATTGTTTTTACCTACAAGACACAAATGTGCAAAAGCAAATTTTAGAATAACAACTTTTAGGTTATAAAATAAATACATGTTGTAAAATCCTGATCGTTGTTCTGGTTGTTTCTGGACTCAAATGCTGTTTTTGCTCAAATTGGTTGGTGTTTTTTTTTTATAATCAACATCGTGAGTCAATGTTTATTTCATGCAAATGCGACCTTTGTTGATGGTGTACAAGGTGGTGGCCTGCATTGAAGGGGACCTGTTTCTATGTAGATATTAAAGGCTTATGGATCTAGAGGATTGGGCTTGTAGTTTTTAAGCCCATAATTAGTTTAATTTTCAGAAGGTGCTTAGGTAAAACAGTAAACAGCTGCTTACTGTAGTTCAAGGAAATAGTTCCCAACACACAAATATGAAATATTTCATCACTACATTCTCTTTACAGAAGAACTCTGGATCATTTTAGCAGCACAGGAAAATTTGATATCATGGATACGCTGTCTGTTATTTTGGCTCAAGGTCCAGCACACACACACAACATCTGTTAGGGGGCACTAATAGGGTAGTTTGCTTTGCATCTGTAACAGGCTTAAAAGCCACAGAACTTCTATTTAAGTGACCCTTCTCTGGCTCCCAGTCCGCTTCCGCATTGATAGATAGATAGACAGACAGACAGACAGACAGACAGATAGATAGATAGATAGATAGATACACTTTATTGATCCCAAACTGGGAAATTCTCTTAAAGGTCTTGAGGTCCTCTGACCAGTTACTGTTAGCTTTTATTCTTTTACTTTCTGTATTTTATTCTACTGTTTTTAATTTTATTTTTATTGTTATCTATCTATTTATTTACTTCTTTTATTTATCCCATGTACAGCACTTTGTTCGACTGCTGTCTTTTAAAGGTGCTTTATAAATTAACATTGACTTGACTTGACTTGAAAGAGTGTGACCAAAATTGTGACTCTGATGAGTATTTTTGTTAGAGTAAGGAATGGTTTCTCCACAAAAAAGAGGTTATTGGAAAAAAATAATAATAATAACCATCAAACATACCAAAGATATCATATACAGCAAAAACTGAGGGTTAAAATAGGAAAAAAAAACATTTTGAACTAGAAATTTAAGTTACAGTACAGTTGTGACTGATAAAATCTGGTATTATAACAGTAAGTAAAATAAAGTAATCATATCAAGCGAGCCGTAAACACGTGAGCTACAAAATCATTGAAACAGAAACATTCTATTCGCCTTATTGACACCAGGAGGCGACATTGAGCTGAATAAACAGAAAAAGATGAGGTGGAGTGCTCGGTGATCTACTGATCGTCCCTGGATCCCTGAAAGTTCTCGGCTGTTCTGGTCTGAGCTGACAGCCTACAGGTCCGGAAGATACCTGTGTGGGGAGCCACACCTCGATACCTACGTTGCTCACTGCAGATACACTTTCGGAGGGTCAGTGGGACACAGACTGACACTACCCGGACACACAGCTCAGTCCAGCGGGCTCAGCGGTCTCATCTGTCCGGTCATGTCCTCCTCCGGAGCGGTGGTCACCGTGCGGCTGGTTCGATCCTTCGAGCACAGGAACTTCAAACCGGTGGTGTTTCAGGGGGTCAGTCTGGACCAGACGGTGCAGGACTTCATACAGATGGTCAAAGACGGTGAGTTTATTTTAAGTATATACACAGGAGGATGTTAGGATTATATTTATGTGACAGTAAACTAACCCTCGTGTTTTCTTCAGACATCACAACAAGACCAGGACTCCCTCCTCCCTTTAGGAAACACGGATACGGTGAGTCTGTTTACTGACTAATACTGGAAAAGTTAGGGAACCTAAGAGATCAGGTTCGAGAGTTTGGAAAGCCTAATATAGGATTTCAGCAGCTCAACAGTGCAGGGTCTCCTTCGTCCTAGTATTTTTGTGTAACGATGCTTCAAATAATGACACCAAGACTGCAGGCAGGACTCTTCTACTACAGAGCCATGCTGTTGTAATACCTGCAGAATGTGGTTTGTCATTGTCTTGCTGAAATATGAAGGTCTTTCCTGAAAAAGTAATTGTCTGGATGGCAGCAGATGTTGCTCCTAAACCTTTTAGATATTGTTCAGCATTAATGGAGTCTTGACAGATGTATAAGCTCCCCATGACACAGACACTTCTGAACCTCATCAGAAGTGGACTCAACAAGTTGCAGCTCTAATCCTGTGGCTGGGACACATAACGCCATCATAATGTTGTTTTAATTGTGTTTACTTAATATATGCTCTGCATCTGATCCTCTTCTCTGATATTTCTTTACATTTTCAGACACAATGAAGATCGTCCACCAGGCTCATGGAGCAAAGGTTTGTCTGTTACCAAGATGATTATTATTATTTTTTATTTTTACTCTCTTTTCTTTGTTTTGGTGTCATTTCTGGTTATTTACTCCTGGGTGTGGTTGCCCATTGTTGTTACCTGTTTGGAGGAGGCAGAAAAAAGACAATTCATTACGGCTTGTTTGATTTAAAAGTTCATTGGGGGAAGATCCCCAGAATTTTCAATGATTTTGCCAGTGAAGTGTCAAATGTAAGATTAAGTGCCCTTTCTCCAGTCATCCTGTCATTAAAACTCTGGCTTTAACTACAACTCTCAGTAAATTTGCATTGTTATTTGAGATGCTGATTATGAAAGACTATGATAAAATGAAAAATAAAAAATCACTAGTATTTAGGCCAGAGTTACAGCTCTGGTTTCAGGCGATCTGTTGGGGAATCCAGGATTTTACTGCTATATAGGAAGAATTGTTCGGCTTTCACGGAACATTAAATTTACTTTGTTTTTCCTCCTTTTTTTCAGACCAATGAGCTTGTGATGAGTTTAGACGGCGATGAAGAGTTGATCCTGAGAGATGCTCTGACTCTGAAAGCTGCTGGTGTTGGTAAGAGTCAACTTTTATTGCAAACTGAAAAAAGATTCACCAGCTTTCCTCTGACATTCCTCACACTTTATCTTTCCTGGTGATACATTCATAAAAACAAAAAAAAATCTATTTACATGAAGATCTTATTGCACAATCCCTACATCAAGTCAGGCACAGGAGTCTATTGGTTATTCATGATGACTTTAATACTTAGACTGATAATGAGTGTTTACTGCTGCTCATAGTTCAGTAAAAATGAAAAATATAACCCACATCTGTGTTTCTTTTTTGTTTTTGTTTCAGCCAATGAAACAGAGGTGGCTTTCTTCAGGAGAGAAGATTACGGTGTCTTTAAAGCGAATCCAAAAACTGTTTGGTGACCAAGAGGTTTTTATTTATGCTGAAAAAACACCCTGGAAACACGGAGGTCTAAGGTCACAAACCAACCTGGAAGAAAAGAAAAGCAGTGTCATGTTTTGGCTGCAGAGTTTTAATTTGAAGGACTGTTTTTAGAGTGGAGCTGTTTTCCATCTCACAGATGTGCCTTTTATTTCAGGTGTTTCTTCAGGTTACCAGACCAAAAAGTTTTAGTTACATTGTTTTTTTAAATGTTAAATAAAGTTTGTTGAGTGTCTGTTTGATGTGGTTTATTTTTTATTAGTGAAGAAAAAAATTATAAGATGCACAGACATTTACAACATGAAATGATTTTGAAAAATATGCTTATGTGCAGTTTATGTGTAGGCTTAGGTTTCCTTTTTTTTTTTGCATTCTTTTTATTTGCAGCAGTGGCGGCTCTCGGCCTCTGTAACTTTAAATAGTAAATATACACATGAGGTACAGTAAAATAACATAAAACTAAAGATAGAAAAAAGAAGCGATATATCATTGATTTTAGGATGTTTAATGTGTTATTTCTGTTTCAGAGTTAGTACCATAGACTGTCTATGGTTAGTACATTGACGGAACATATTAAAAGGTTCACCATAGTTCATAAATACTGACGCTTCTTGGTCGTAAAGATCTGATTCGTTACTACGATCACGCCAACCAATGAAAGATCGGGATTCTCTGTCATCCTCACTGTCAGCCAATAGCGTCACAGGATGGGCGTGTCCTTTCCGCTCCTCTGCAGCTGCATTATAAGAGTGGACTTCACCCATATTTCCTCCTCCCGTCCAGTTAACAGTCTCTGCAGGACCCACTGCCTCATAACGGACCAGGAACTAAACATGGCTGACCTCAAGGTTAGTCCGAAGTTTATTAAAAACAAAATTAATGTTTTCAGGAGTTAGTTTTTATCCCGTTTGGTCCCGTTAAACCAGTTAAAGAGACGGAGGATGAACCGTTAGCTTGTGTGAGTTAGCCGCCCTGCAGTGACAGTTAGCCTCAGGTGCTGTTTCTTTGAGCACGTGCAGCCTGAAGAAAGGAGGGTTATTTATTATAGATATTCTAGTTTATGCAAAAGGTCGGTTTGTACTATTACAATAATTGTTTATATTTATTACAGGCTGTGTTTTCTGCAGGTGTAAATGGTGTTAGCTCTCTGACAGACCCCTCCTGACCTTTGACCTACTGCCTGCATCATGTGACACAGCTGGAGGGGGGGTTCACTCATATCAGGATCACGCATTTTGGACCCCAATCAGGCCATTTACTCGGACTGAGCCGGCCCAGTTAGCGCCCAGTGGTACCATCAGAGAGGGGAGGAGGGGGGAGGTTTCTGCATGGGGGAGAGGGTCATGTTAGTGCAGGGGGGTGAGAGTGAATCAAAGAGTGTGTTGTAATCGGCCTCTTTGTAATAAAAAGCCTCCAGCTCCACAGACATTTCAACAAGCTTTTAGAGAAATCAGCTGATGTTTTAGTGTTACAGCAGGGCTGTACCTAGGCTGTTTGGAGACAGGGGTGAACATAGTAAAAAGGGGCTCCTCCTGCATGACAGGGGGCACCAACACACAGAAAGATGTGACTGATAAAGACCTGTCTCTGCAGCATTTTAAAAATAGTTTGTAGCTCCGCGGACCAAAAGTCATATCCCAATATATTTAGGCTAGGGATGCACGATTACGGGTAAAATGATAAACCGCTGTAAACTGTCTGATGGTTAGTACTACCGTTTCATATTTTAGTTACCGTTAAAACTGTGTTTGTTTGTTTGAAAAGCTCACAGTGATACTGCTCAATGCTGAGAAGAGCAGCTGCAAACAGCACTCTTCCAGACACAGGCTTGCATGCGCATTGTGCAGTATACAACTTCTATACATGGCAGAGGGCAGTTCTGCTGACCGTGTTGCAGAGATTTTTCCCCCAAAGAAAACGAAGTCCGAAGTCTGGGCTTATTTCGGCCTCTACAAAGGGTTGTGATGGTTGCCAAAAAGCTTTTGTGCATCCAAGCAACCAGCGTGTCATCTGAGAAGCTATTCAGTGCCAGCAGGCACATTATTTCACCTCGCAGATCACAAACCAGACCAAGTAAATATGAAGCAGCAGCACCTTATGGTGGAGAAAACAGACAATCGGTGTGGTTTATTTGATTTGTTTACATATTCTATGTTATTTTAAAGAACTGCACTACACATTTGTTTACATGTGGTTGTGATTTGTGTGAGAAACACCAGCTTGTCAACAACAGCATTTGATATCTGTTTATATATATATGTTTATTTATATATTACATATCTCATTTATAAATATATAGATATATTTCTAATATCGATATATCGCCCAGTCCTAATAACAAGCATCCAAAATGCTTGGCTGTGGCGTATTGTGAAACATGAGGACACCAAATGGGGCAACCACTGAGAACAGCTCTGTGTTAAAGTGTGTGAGCGGCTGTGAAGGATCATAAATGAACTCTGAACCTTTTGATAAATAGATTTTTTTGGTTATCTGCAGCTGAACTGAGGCTCTGCTTTAAGTCAGTGAGTGTCTGCAGTCCGGTGTAAAGTTCATCCCAGTCATGATAGCTCACCGTGATGGTGTTAGAGGAGAGAGACTGAGAGGAGAAAAACAAGGACGGCTGTCATTCACAGCTGCAGTGTAAAGGTTCACCACCTGTGATAGACAGGACTACAAGTAGAGTGACTACAGTGACTTAATTTTCATTTGGATAAGATACCAGCAGAAATAATAAATATTTGATACCCTTTTAAATACCATGGCAACAAAAAATAAGCTTTTTAGCACCCAAAATGGTTAATTTTCTTATTTTGTGCTCACAGTGCTGTTTGAAAGCCACCGAACACAGACCTCCATGTGACAGGCTGTTAGCAACCTGTTTTTCAGGCCTCTGCATCCATCACTGACAAATTTCTGCAGACTTTTCTTTCTCTGACCTCTGCTGTAGCTGTAGCTGTAATCAAATGATAGTCTCATCAGATCCAACCCTAACCTGCAGTGTTTCCTCTGGTCTTCAGGCAGACTTTGACAAAGCAGCAGAGGAGGTGAAGAACCTGGCGACGAAGCCCGCTGATGAAGAGATGCTGCAGGTGTACTCTCTGTTCAAACAGGCCACCGTAGGAGACGTCAACACAGGTAAGACGATCACTATTTTATCTTCTAAGAAATCCCAATTGTTGGAATTACAATTGGAGAACTGGGTGGATAACCTGTGAGGTAAGAGTAATTGTAGTAGCAGTAATACATGTTAACCAGTAGAGGGCAGCAAAATTGTGCTCTCACACCAAAGTAAACAGATCTTTGAATTCTGATGCTGGAGGTATACTTGCAGTACTATGACTTTTTTATCATACTATACTATGACATTTTATATAATACTACTATGACAAATTTTAACATACTATACTATGACATTATTATCATACTATACATTCTTTATACCATCAATGACATTTTTTTAACATACTATACTATGACTTATTTTAACATGCTATCCTTTGACTTTTTATCATACTATACTATGACTTTAACCTCTGATCCTGGAGGTATACTTGCTGTTTGAGCCTCAAATTCACAAAAGTGTGTCCCTGCATCATGCTTACTTGACCATATACTACACGTCTTACTGGAGGGTGCCTCTAGAGGGCAACACAGAGCTCGGGTTATATACCCTTACCAGATTAAGGGGATGTAAACAAAAGAGAAGGTCGAAAAAGATGATTTTATTGAGTTCAAATAAAGAAGGACTCTGCTCACTTTTAATTCACTTTGAGCTCCTGACTGACCTCTGACTCTGTCTGTCTCTGCAGCTCGTCCAGGGATGTTTGACTTCACAGGGAAGGCAAAATGGGACGCCTGGGAGAAGCAGAAAGGTACGTGTCCAGCTCTTTTATCCATATCACAGCTCAGGTCTTTTGAAGCAGTCAGTTTTTAATGAGTCAGCCTCTCCTCATCAGGGACTTAACACTCACCTTCACTTTCACCACATCTGTCAGGGTTATCTGGGGCTGTTTAAAGCTCCAGACCATCAAAGTGAGTGTTAACATATGAGATCAAAGTTAAACTCAGTAAATAGTGTATCTGTCTAATCAGAGGGGGACCTGAGTGCAAGGCAGCAAGGTGCCGATACAGAACAACGTATTCCTGATTTTGTGTTTGTCCTCTTTCAGTAACAGCTGTTGTTTTTGATGTAATTTCCAGGTAAGAGTCAGGAAGACGCCATGAAAGAGTACATCGCACTGGTGGGTGAGCTGAAGGGGAAGTACGGGATGAACTAGGAACCTGAGGATCCACCTGCTGGATGGACTGGGAGCCCCTGATCCTCCATCCTGACACTGTGAAGCCTTAAAACACCAGCAGAGTGTCCTTAAACACAGGAAACACATGGACTGAATGCTGGACAGTGATTGGTCCCTGTGAGATGAAGAGAAGAAGAGCCTCTGACGAGAGATTAAGTTTGATATCATGTTTGTGTTTCTGCAGATTCTTGGCATTTCAACATTAAATCATTCCTCTGTAACAGCCGAGTCTGATCCTCTCTGAGTCTGTGTCTGAGCTCACGTTTGTCTTTTTAAAAACCTTCTTGAATTCAAGAGCTGTTTCAATTTTTTATTAAACCTCTAAAAAACACTTCATTAATAAAATGAACTGATTTCACACTGAGTTGTCAGTTTGTTATATTCTGATCAGTTAAATGTTCAGATTTATCCCTCAATGCTGTTATTTTTACATTACTGCCCCCTGCTGGCCTTTAGTCAAGATAACGGCTCTGCAGTTTTCTTTGGCCTCTTAAATATGGTTCAGAGGATAAGAAGACCAACTGGGACTCCTGAGGTTGTGGGTACGATCCTTGCCTTATCCAGGCCCAGGTGAAATTTAAAGTCTAGTGTCTAGAAAGGAAAGTTAAAGAGGAAAAAAACGGAACACTCCTGTGTGTCCACATAGCTTAGAGGATAAGAAGACTGACTGGGGCTCCTGAGGTTATGGGTTCGAATCCTTATCCAGATCTAGGTTAAATTTAAATACCTGTGTGTAGAAAGGAGAGTGAAAGAGGGGAAAAAATGGAGTACGCCTGTGTGTCTGCATAGCGCAGAGGATAAGAAGAATGACTGGGACTCCTGAGGTTGTGGGTTTGATCCTTATCCAGGTCTAGGTTAAATTTAAAGTCCAGTGTCTAGAAAGGAGAGTTAAAGGGGAAAAAAACAAAACACTCCTGTTTGTCCACATAGCTCAGTGGATAAGAACACTGACTGGGACTCCTGAGGTTGTGGGTTCGAGCCTTGCCTTATCCAGGTCTAGTTTAACTTGAAAGTCCTTTAGCCAAAGTAGGAAGATAAAAGTGGGCAGACCTCGTGCCCTAGTGTGAATCCTATCTAGTGGCCCTGTATGGAAGTCTATTGGCACCCAATGGGGCCTGGTTTGATACCAGCTCGTGGCTGGAGAGTATTAGTAATGATCAGATTGTTTTATCATCAGAAGTGATGTTGAAAAGTCATCACTTCTGGAAGTATTCTATACCAATTATTTGATAGAATATATTTTTTTCATCATTTCATTACTTTGAACTTCCCCGTCACTTACTGGATTTGAACCAGGGTACCAACATTGGGAGCCAATTGATTACCGCACTGCGCTACAAGATACGATCCACACTTGAGTATTAGCTCCGCGCAGTTTTATTTTCATACCTTGGCTCCTGGACTTTAAAATTCAACTAGACCTAGATTAGGATTGAACCCATGACCTCAGGAGTCCCAGTCAGTCTTCCTATCCTCTGAGCTATGCGGACACAAAAGAGAATTCAGTTTTCTATCTATTTCACTCTCCTTTCTAGACCCCAGAACCACAAGGACCACATGATTCTCATCTTCCCAAAAGTCTTTTCCCACTCTTTTTTTCTAAGCCAGCCTTTAAAAGTCAGTTTGTAAATAGATGAAGATTTGACTCTTTGACTGCAGAAGTCCCAGCCAGTCTCCTTCAATTCTGAGCCACATGGACACAAAGTAGGATCCTGTTTGTGAAAGGTTCTCAATCTCCTCTCCTCTCTCTAGAGTATGTTACAAATGTCATAGTATAGAATGGGTTAAGGGGAGGATTTTTAAAGGACTATACTATGACATTTTTATATCATACTATACAATGACTTTTTAATCATACTATACTATGACCTTTTTATCATACTATACTTGATACGTTTTCATCATACTGTCCTATGACCTTTTTTAACATACTGTCCTCTTACTTTTTTAATTACAATATACTTTATTTTTTTTAACATACTATTCTGACTTTTTTTATACCGTACTTTGACTTTTTTATTGTACAATACTGTGACATCTTTCTCATACTATACTCTGACATCTTTTTATACTATGCTTTGACATTTTTTTTATTATACTATTCTATAAAATCTTTAAACAAACTTTCTATGAATTTTGGTCATACTGTATTTTGCCATTATTTTTAATCATACTATACTATGACATTTTTATCATAATAGACGTTCACTTTTTTTCATACTAAACTATGACATTTTTTAATATACTTTCCTTTGACTTTTTTGATCACGATATACTATGACATTTTTATTATATTATATTATGACCTTTTTTAACGTGCCAACCTTTGACATTTTCATTATACTATACCTTCACATTTTTATCATACTATACTATGACATTTTTTTTAATCATACCATACGAAGAAAGTTTTTTTTTATTATATTATACTATGAGATTTTTTTAACATTTTCTGACTTTTTAGCATACTTTACTATGACATTTAATCATACTATACTAGGACTTTTATTTTTAATCAAAGTATCCTATGACATTTAAAAAAAAAACTATACCATGCATTTTTAACATACTATATTTTGACATATTTTATCATACTGTTTTTTTTCATACTATACTATATTTTTATTTTACTTAACCATTTTTTTCATACCAAATCTTTTTTCATACTACTTTATATTTTTACTTACTATACTATGAAATTTAATATTTAACTTTATTTTCTAACATGCTATACTATGGCATTTTTATCAAACTATACTACGATATTTTTATCATACTTTATTTTTATCAAACTATACAATGACATTTCCTTCAAACTTACCTGTTTTTTTCATATGCTATACTTTGCCTTTTTTTTTCTTATATATTGTGATATTTTAACATTATATACTATGACATATTTTTCATACTTAATGATTTTTTGTCATACTCTATGTTATGTCCTGATGGGCTAGGGATATTCAGGACTAACAAAAACAGCAATTAAAAACAAGGTAAGGACGAAAAAAAGGAGAATGGCAGGAATGGACAATAACTCAAGTATTTTAATAAAGAAACTCAGGACAGCAGTACCACAGAAAAAAAAACAATCCTCACAGAACTAAGGACAATATAATTATCAACAACAAAAAGCAATCCTCTGAAAAACAGGACGACTATTCAAGAACAGATGACGCACACAAAACTCAGGCTGCTGCTGCTCCACTGCAGAACATCACACTGGGGTGTATCATACAATATCATGACATTTTATGATACTATACTACGATATTTTTGTGACAGGCAGTGTGACAGGGCGGTGGTCTGCTGGGAAGGCGGTCCACAGAGGTGGCGGCATGACACGGCTCGGCCCCGTTGGTGTCCCGCAAGGCGCTAATTTTCATTATCACAGTGATGCTGACATCAGCCTCTTGAGTCTTATTTATTTGTCTCAAGTCTGGATCTGCTCTTAGTCCCTGATCCCAGTCTCTTCCTGTCACACCTGGTCAGACTCAGGTAAACTGGAGGATTTGATGATCAGGGAGATGTTAGTCGGTCCTCCTCCGCTCTGACTCAGGGAGCTACGGGGTCTCCTAGTCTCTACCTGCAGGTTCTGCTTCTGCCTCCACCTTCTCCACCTTCTCTGGAGCTCATTCTGCACCTGAACAAAAAAAAAAAAATCCAAATTGTACTACTGCTGTTTAATAACAAACTGTTTGTGTGCTGCCAAAATAATCCAGTAAATTAAAGAGGAGGAGCTTCTATGACAGAAGTGAATGTAGATTTTAATTTGGGGTCAATAAAGTCTCACCTCTGCGTTCAGGAAGCAATACAGAAGAGCTACAACAAAACCCTGAAACAGCACAAGAAACAACAACTGTTACTGTGACAACAACACTGTAAAGTCACTGTAGAAGATCGTAACATCTGCAGAGTTAATGCTATCGAGATGCAAGTGAGAGCAAACCTGAGTGGAGGCGAACGCCAGCTCGACAAAGGTCCAGATTTCATGTGTGGAGTCAGAGACTTTATGTGGAAGGAAAGCAAACAGGATGTAGTGTAAGCCAAACAGAGACACCAGCAGGAAGGAAGACTTGGCCAGCTTCCTGTTTGGGGAGCAATGATGAGAATTAATGGAGGTAAATAGTTTATAACAGAGGGTTTAACCTGCATCTGGATCTTATCTGCACAGGACTCTAAACACCTGCAGACACAGAACTGTTCAGACTCAAAGGTGTGAGATTTAGATACACAATGATATGAATGTATGGGTCTCTAAAAAAAGGTGACAAGAATCCAAAGATTAAAGACGCTTCATCAGAGAGATTCAAAAATGATTTTCAAGAAGCTGAAACTGGAATATGGAGAAATCTTTGTACAAAAGGGACAAGGACAAGAACAAAGACTGGATGGCCCTGATCTTCAGGTCCTCTGGCACGACTGAATTAAAAACAGACAGGTCTTTGTAGTGGAAATCACTGCGCTGTGTGCCAAAATCACTCCCAAAAACCATTGTCCTTCAACACAGTTCATCACTGCATCTACAAATAAACCATTTAAGACGGTCTGAGGGGAAAAGGAAAACTGTCCTCTGGTCTGACTTTCGTTTCAGAAATCATGGACACTGCATCCTCCACTGTGAAGTATAGATACTGGTGTTGCTGATCACGATATTAAAGACAGCAGTAATATATTGAGTACCTGTGCAGGGGTCTCACCTGTAGTGGTTGAATTCACAACCCAGCATGTCCTGAGTCCTCAGTTTGGCCACCAGGATTCTTATAATGCACACGAAGAACGACAGGTTCACCTGGAAACACGCAGAGACAAACTAACCTGTTACAGCTCTGTATATAATCCACATCATGATATGTTACTGCATGTAAAGGATAAAATTATGAAGGTTTACAGACTATGATGAAGATGATAACAGGTAATCTGAGAATCCACCAGATCCACGTGATCCGCCTCGTCTCCCAACAGCTTCAAAATCAACCACAGAAGCAGGTGGTCAGAAAGTTCAAGTAACCACAAAACATACTGCTCACACACACACATTTATTCAGTATAATTCAATGTAATTGAATTTTAATAATAGTTTAATTCAATATCAGGAGGACTGCTGTTTGTTACATTAATGAAATCATAAGAAATCCATCACCTGAGATAATAGCAGCAGAGTTTTTGTGCTTTATAAATAAATTACCCCTGATCCTCATGGAGATACCGCGCACTGCACCATCCAATCAATATAACCATCGGAGAACCTGGAAGACATAAATAATGTTGTGAATTAAAGGTATCACTAAACGGAAGTCAGAGATATAATTAATCTTCATACAAAGGACATTATTTCAACTATGTAACTTACCCCAACCGAGCACGATGTAGTACCACAGACGTCTCCTGGTGGAGAACAGAGACACGCTGAGCAGACTGTACAGGAAGTGACCTTCAGCCAACAACCAGCTGTAGTTCGCCATGATGCTGTAGTTAGACAAAGCTGTGGCAATTTTACAACCGATCTGCAGCAGAAAACAAATAACATACTAAATAAATAAATTACAATATCACAGTTCACCAACAGAGGGCACCACAGTACAGAGCGTTCTGAATATCGTACATTTTACAGCTCTCCCACAGAGGGCAGCAGAGGACAGCAATTTTTAAATGCGCCAATTTAGTAGCTCACCTACAGGGGGCAGCAGAGGACATTAGATACACTTTGCAATTATACAGTCCTGAAGGGGGCAGTAGAGGCCTGAGAACACAGGCAGTGCGCTTACATGCACAGCTTAAATCAGACTAAGCTCATAATTCGGTTATTTCGCCGAATCAGACTTCTCTCCTCATCCGCATATACATGCAGCTGAGAAAACTGAATTATTGATGTGGATGTGTCCTCCTCCTCAAAACTAGGGGGCAACATGGGTCTTTTAAGCGGCGCTGTTTCCAACCCCATACAACTGTCAACAACAACAGCAGGTCCATGCCAGACGTCAAAAGTGGCTACAACTGCTACTGGGCATTTTAGCACACTACTCCTCTTCTCTGGTGTTTTTGTTCTGGGGCGTGGCGCACGAACACATGCATTGTCGGATCATAGTCCAACTACGCTGGTTACATGGTAGAGAAAATCAAATTCCAATCTCATTATCTGGGTGTCTTAAATGGAGTTCTCCGACTCCAATTAAAAGAGTTCTTAAACTCTGATTATAGTCGGACTAAGGTGTTTACATGCACTTCAGTTGTTCTGTCTTAATCGGAGTAAGACAATAATTCGGTTTTCTCGAGTGTCATGTAAACGTACTGAATGACTACACAACTGTATTAAAGTTGACCTATAGGGGGCAGTGCAAAATGAATTGAAATTTTCATGATCACTTGTTTTTGTTGACCTTAATCGTCATTAATCCGACCTTAGGAGCGCTACATGTCTACTCTATTCCTTTATAAACGGGTAAGAGTTCTTTGACAGTACCGGGTAGACTCCACAGTGGAAATGGTCTTCAGTGGAGAACAGGACAGAGTCTCTGATGAAGATGAGTGACGCTCGCAGAATGAAGGAGAGGAAGAGCTGGATGTGAACAAAGTTACGTGTGCAGTGGAGCCTCCTGGTGGAGAAAAGCGGTACATTTCTGTTAAATTTGACCTCACAGGTGAACAAAAAGATGCAGAGTGCAGGAGTAAAACTGAAGTTTTAAATGGAATCTCTAACCTGAACATACAGAGGATGGTCACAGCGATGATCAGAGAGACGAGTGAGACGGCGTATCCCACAGAGTACATGATCCTCACAAATATGAAGTACTGATGAGAGCTGAACTCCTGAGGACAGAGGACAGGTATACAGAGAGCTCAGTGCAGAAAGGGTTAATAACGTGAGTGTGTCTGTGGGCCTCAGAAAGAAAGAGGGTTCACACAGCTTGAGCTTTCTGTTTGTCTCCTAAATCAGCTGAGTGAAGCTCTGCTGTCCTCCTGCAGGAAGATCTCAGAGCCGACAGAAAGCAGACCTCAGCGCTCACTGAAGCTGCTCTTCAAAATCACTAACAGACTGTGGGAATCAGACAGAGACGGGCCGAGCTGCAGCTCATTCAGACATAAGCTGCAGAGTGATTTCAGCTTCACCGGCGAAGGACCACACCAGAGATGAGACTCAATTTAACAATTATTTATGCTTTTTATGTTTCCGAGTTTAACATCTTGTTTCTGTGGATTTAGGGGCACTCAGCAGAGTTGAAGCTCACACTGTAGGGCAGGAAACAAACCCTTATGGTCCTTCAGAGGGAAAAACAGAAAGGAATCAGGAGAAAAAGGGGGAGAGGGAGAGGTCTGAATTCATGAGACATATAACTTCTGCTCCTGAAGCTTTAATAAACAGCATCATGACAAATATAATGACAGAGGATAAATAAAATTCATGGAAATGTAAGAATAAGAGATTGAGAAAAGCAGGTGTTCACCTCTGCAGGTAAGCTGAGGTTGAGTCCGTACTCGCAGGCTTCATGGTGAGGAGGAAAAGACTCAGACCAGCCCTCATCTGTGCAGTTTCTGAACACCTGACCTGCGCAAGAGATGATAAACATACTGATAAAGATGCTACACTAACACAGATACACAAAGTTTGATGATGATGAGAGAAGTCAGTATGGTTAACTCATGACTGTTTGCATCATAGAGGTCCATCTGTAACTTTCTGAGACATTAAATCAACCCTCTGAGTGATGTCAAAGATATGGTTTCATCACATCTATATAGCAGTCCTTCCAGCAGCTCCACCCCTCCACCTTCATGGGCGGGGCTAAAGTTAATCTGTGACGTACCTGTGGTGTGCAGAAACCTGGGACAGGGCTGAGACACCACGTCTCCGACAGCAGCGTGAGGCCAGCAGTTCAGGTGATCCCACCAACCCCTGCAGCCTGACAGAGAGACAGAGACGGGAAACTATTATTTAACAAGGAAAAGAATAAAATACAGCAACTACAGAAATGAAGTCTGATGAGTGACGTAAATCTGAGTGTAAGAAAGACACAATTAAAGATCCAGAAGGAAGAAAAAAAACGTGGAAGAGACAGAAACAGATATTTCTTTCATTGATAGACTGAGTGCAGTTTCAGGGAGTACAGGGAGTGAATTTTCAGGTTACAGGATCGGTGAATCAGACACTGACTTGACTGACTGGTGGACACACTGTGGCTGTTAGCGAGGAGACTGAAGGCCTCACCCTAACCCAGTATTTCCAGGATGACGACCTCTGCGCATGAGCTTCAGAACTCCACTTCAGAAACAGCTGGATGCTGCCACTGAAACTACATCCAGTTGTTATACAGTCTACGGTTTCCCCCGCGTTAAAGTTTATATTTTGTCAAATGTCTTGCACTTTGAGTAAACACCAAGTTTTTTCTGAGCTCTAAAGCTGCGCAGCAAAGCCTTTTAACTTCAAATATGTAAATACCTCAACATTAATGCGTTCACTGCTGCACACAGGGAGAAGGTGGGTACTTAGCTTTGTCTTCAGTCAGTGATTGAATATGGAATCAGGATCTAAATAGTTTTTCTGAAATCCTGAAGAAATCACATCCCTCGGCCTCAGACATTAAAAACCTCCTCCTCCTCTATCCTCTCAGCTTTGCAGCTGCAAGAAAACATCTGAAGAATTTGGCTGAAGAGCAGCTTTAACTCTTATATGGAGTGGTTTTAAATAAAATACTGAAACTTCCCATCAGATAAATGATCAGTTCTTTTTATAAATACAGCTCTGCTGATTTTTACTCTAAATCTGTCCTCTATCAGATAACTTTACTTTAAGAGTCCGAGAGTCATTCTGAGTATTTTTGGGCAGAGATTCAGCAGACACTTCAGACTGTGATTTACTGCTGAGAGATAGTTATTCTGCTATAAACTCTCACAGACAGGGCTGCTTTTTTTAAGGACGACTGTCCAAACAGCAACAAACACAGCCGTCAAGCTGCAGTCAGTAAACTGTAGATTTCTGCAAACTGAAGATTTAATTCAAGCAGTACCGTGTCCTTGAGAAGTACGTTTATTTTTGCAGCATTATGGCAAAAGAAGTGTAGTAACGACGATGAGTGTTTGTTTCATTTTAAGCTGAAAACACGAAGAAACTGTCTGTAAAATCGTCTCTAACAGATGAGTAAAGACGTGTTAAAACGTGCAGCTTCATCTCACCCAGCATCAGTCACCCTAATGTGATTCCTCTGCAGGTCTCTCCTCTCTGTTACCCACCTGGGAGCCGTAACCATGGCAACATAAAGTTTTTAGTGGTCAGTAAATGTAATCAGCTGACAGATCACGATGTTAGCGGCTGCAGTGATGGGTGGAGGTCTGTGTTGTTTCCTCCCGGGTCGACACGTTCAGTGAAAATGACAGAGAGGAGTGTAAAAACAGCTTTTATTCTATCACTGCTCTTTCTCTATCTTTAGACTTCCTGGAAAATAAACACCTGAACAGACACGGACTGCAGGGTGTCCATGTCAGGGAGGTTTCCTCATGGATGATGAACTTAAACGTGTTTTACTCTTTAAACATCCTCTGCAGGTGTGGATTTACTCAAACTCAGTCTGACCTGTGATCAGCTGCAGAAACATCAGAGTTTTAATGCTCATGTAAAACCTGAGATGTGTTTGAGTGAGGGAACTTTTTGTGCTGCAGATTTTGTCTCCAAACTTAACAGAAAAATCAGAATACTTTTAAGAGTGGGCTACAAATAACAAGTCAAGTCAAGGATGCTTTTTCCTTAATGCACTTTGAGAATTAAGTAAAATTGTGGCAATTAAGTTGGAAAATAATTGTTTGATTTTACAATTATGCTTTTACAGAGCAGCTTGTTAAATTATTTTTATTTTAATTTTTTTAATTATTATTATTTATTTTGCTTTGATTATTGTTAACGTTGTTTTGAATATTCTCACTGGTTGTGTTTGTTTTCAGTTTACTTTTGGTGTTGCACGCATATGTTCGAAAAAACTAGTAAAATTAAATTAAATTAAATAAGAAGCTTTTTACTGCACTGTAGTTTGTAATGCAATCAAAAGCCTCTCTGACTTATAACACAAACCAGCTCAAAACTTCCTAAACAGGCTGAAAAGAATCCAATCAGGCAACAGCAGCCAATGAAAATGTCCCCATGGTTACTTTCTGAAGTTACAAAATTATGCTCAGAAATTTTACATCCACACCAATACTTAGATATTGGTTTTTAACCCTATAATGCCTGAAACCACAAATTATGGCCAGAAAATTAAAATTATTTTGGAGCTGAAATATTTATTTGACTTACTACTGAAAACAAAAAAAAATCAACATGTCCTTCAAATTTAACAAATATATTTATTTATCTCGTTTGATACATCGGATGTTTTCGGAAACTAATAAACTACAAGAGGACATTTTTATCATTTATCGGACTGCATTCAGTTTTTTTTAGTAATTTGTTGATCGTATTGATTTGATAGAAGTATATAAAAGTATGTATCAAATATGATACAAAAGGTATTAAAGGGTTAAAAAAAGATATAATAGAAAAGGTAAATAAATGATCTTCATTTAAATATGAGTTTGCCACCTTTCTATGAGTTAGAGCCCCAGCTGGGACACCTTGTTAAAAGTGTCTGGACACGACTCTGGTTCACAAAGAGACATCAGTCAGTCTGTTTATGACCTGATAAAACCTTTCAACAGGGTTAGAGTTATCTTATGATGATTAATGTGTCACAAAACCAGGAGAGACAGTTCAGTTTGGAGTATTTGCATGACTTTGTGTCCACTGTCAACATCCCCAGAGAACGAATGAATACATGACACCTATACTGCCTCTTCATTGTGCAACAGGAGCATAAAAACACATAAATGACTAAAACAGCACTGCACACTAAAGGAGAAATAAAATCATAAAGAGTTCAAAGCATTTTAAAGTGACATATCAAGGCTTCAGTAAAGGGCAGCATGTTAAATTTCAAGACTTTTGCAAAGATGAAGGTGCGATATCCGCTTTAGTCCTCATCCTGCAGCTCTCTGTCCCTGAACCTGAGGTGAAATGTCTGTATTCAGAGCAGGAGGTCTGCTGGGATTCATACTGCTGTGTGAGGTTAGAGATACTGCACATTTGTTATCTTGTCACCCAAACCTGTAATGGACTCACCTGTAGTTCCTGAGCTGTGGGAGCTCTGGTTGTTCCTGAGCCGCTCCAAACAAGAAAATTCATCCTGGAGCAAAATGAAGTTTGGGTCGCATTCAGGGGGAACAGCTTTAGCCTGCAGACACATGCACACCAGCAGCTTTAATACATGCACAGTAACAGACAAACAGGGATGCACCATGACTGCATGATTTCACAGAACTTCATCTAAGAGTTGAGAAAAAAAAACACCAACTTTAACAATCCTGTCCTCACAAAGTTTTACAGCAGAGTCTGACCTGAGTCCAAAACTGCAGAAGAAGAGTGAGAGCTGCTATTCCTCCTGGTTTCCACATGAAGACGACATTCATGATCCCGACAGACTATTTAATAAGAAGAGGAGTCTGTGAATCAGTCTGAGCTTCATGAAAGAATCTGAACTCACACACAGAGAGAGAGAGAGAGAGAGAGAGAGAGAGAGGACGATCAGGGGAGAGTCTTCTCCATAAACATCCTGTGTGCACTGCAGCTCTCACTCACACACACACACACACACACACACACACACACACACACACACACACACACACACACACACACACACACACACACACACACACACACACACAGTACTCACCCTCCCTCGACCCTCCCCTGGATGTGAAAACGCAGAGATCCGTGCAGACTCTGTTTTTAATGATTTAGACTGATCTCTCTGCTCTCTGTATGATCCTTTAAAAAGTCTGCTCCGTGATAACTTTCATAATTTATACCGGCATGATTTATCCTGACAAAACTTTACAACAGCTCTAGCACCATATCTGTCAGGTGTCACAGTAAATAATCCCAAACAGAACGAGTTAAACCACCAAAAGTGTTCAGAGGAAAAGAGAAACCAAACGTTTGTCTCTTTAAGAGTTTATGAAGCATGTTTTTTAATGCAGCATGCAGAGATGGTAAGGACCCAGTAAAACCTTTGTCATGTTTCATTAACTTTAGCTGGAATTGTTGTAGTCATGCATGTCAGCCCAGTTTGAAAACTGTAGATGATCAGGTGCTGCACCAGCAGACTGATCGAATAACAGGAGAAACAGTTTATGCAAACAGATCCAAACTTGATTTCCTACATCAGATCAGTTCTCACGTGTAGCACCTGTGGGCCCGTCCTCATACTCTGCATCTTTGTGTTTTTGTGTAGATAAAATAAAGTTAATGAGCCGCAAACAGAAACAGGAACACGGCTGAGTCCAGCTGAGCAGCTTCTGTGACTTTCTGACTGTTTCTAATAGAAACACCTCGTCCTCCTTTATTTGTTTGATCCTTATGCTTTATTTTGGAGGTCAGAGATACCTCTAATATTTAACTTCAGTGTATGTTTTATAATTTTGATCCAGTGAAGCATCATTCTGTAATGATGGCTATAAAATAAGAGGATTAAAAAAAGAGGAAGCAGATAAAGGATGTTGTATAACTCTGTTTGAACAGAGGATTGAGGAAGACCATATATACTGGGACAGAGTTTATATTTGTTTAAGTGTCATCTTCCATTCCACGTAAAAAAAGAAGAAGAGATTACTATCAGATATGCATATCTCAGATAACGCTGGGATGTCCTCAGGTGAGCTGCAGATAGAGCTGAGATGCTGTTTAAATATGGACGACACGCCTCTATCAGCTCCCATCTTCAAACATGGAAGCCTAAACATCCTCAGTGAGCACTGACACACTAAACTAAAGGTATGTGGAGCAGATATATACACAGAGGCAATGTCCTGCTGCAGATCTCATTCAGGGCTCTCTGTCAAAAGAGATTAATAATCTCAAAGAGGCTTCCCAGATAAAATAAAAGAGGTAATCTGGCAGGGGGATTGAGGCACTCTAAACATATAAAAATTCAACCTGTAACTCCACAGCCCACCTAAAGCAGCCAGCAGGGGTCAGTATTTTCAGAGTGGGTATTGCCATACAGTGCCCTCTGTAGGTGGTTTGTTAAATTGCTAAGTATTTAGTTTCTTTGTGCCCCCTACAGGTTGGCCATCAAAGTGGTGTATGGTCAGTTCCTTTTCTCTTAGGGGCAGTCCCCTGTCAGTGGATTCTGTAGAGAATTGCCAATCGCCAAATATCCTCTCCTGCCCTCTATAGGTGAGTTTAAATTCGGTCACATTATTTGATTATTTGTGTTCCCTGCTGTGTGTTTCTTCTGCTGCCCATGAAGGTAATTTGCGAGGTAATTAAGTCTGTCCTTGGCTGCCCTCTGTAGGTTGGTTTGAGGTTGTCAGGCATTAACTATCCACTTTTTGGTCTGCTGGAAGTCACTCCAATGATTAACAGTATTTATGATGACTTTTTTATTGATATGGTGATACACAGCAGTAGAGCTAAAAAAAAAAGAAAAAAAAGAAAAAAGGGTCTTTTCTATGCTTTTCTTCTGATTTGAGTCTTCTATGATTTTTTGGATGCTGATTCGATTTAAATTGCGATTTTACGATATTGTCAATTTTCTTGATTTTTAATCTGCATATTTCACACCAGTGAAACAGTTGAATGACTATGATTTTCCACTGACTGTTCCAGGAATCTTATTTCCCCCCAAAATACACATCACATGTAAGTCAGTTTTTAAGATTTATTCTTAAATTTGAAAAAAAAAAAAAAATCATTTTTTGAACTTAAAAATCAATTTAAAAAATTGTAAAACAAAAAATCGCAATACTTATGTGAAACAATTTTCTCTCCCACCCGTACAAAGCAGCATGATATAGCCAAGTGAATCATATTAGAGTTATTCAAGCAGAGTTGGTTTGGTTGCAGGGAAACTGAGTTTAACAGGAGACAGAAAATGCTGTGATTGATGGTAGCTTGCTATCATTCTCCTGTCTCCTGCAGAGTGATGGGAAAACCAAGAACAGACAAGCTGGAACCACACTGTGTACAGGTCTGCTTGTCAGAAACAGTACATGATGTTACAGGAACATGTTGAAGGCCCAAACCTAGATAATCAGTCTTCCGGGCTGCTGTCAGTTAGGAGGGCAGGACTGCTCTGGAGCTGTCCAGTGCTGAAATCTCAGACAAGGCCCTCACAGCAGCAGAACTGTCCAGTGCTGAAATCACTAATCTAAACGCAAATTGATGTGGAGCTGTCCGGTGCTGAAGCTGACCTCACAGAGTTGTCCAGTGATAAAGTTAGGGTTTTGATCAGGTGACTGTGGAGCTTATTGTTGGTGCTGACATGATCATATTTTTATGTTGTCTCATTTTAAAGACTTTAAAGGGATAGTCCGGCGTAAAATTAATTTAAGGTCAAACACACTGTAACACCGAGTTAGACACCCCCGTGAAAGAGGAATGTTGCCGACCGCCTGCCTCTCTAGCTATACTAACTTTAGTGACGACTGCACGATAGCAATACACAGCAGTCTGAGGAGCCATAAACAAACTTCAACAAAAACGTCACTCTATAGCCACAAATAATGCTCAGAACAGCACCTAACTTCATCAACAGTACATATAGGGTCCTAGCCATAGTGCTAGCCACCAAACATCTTTTTAACTTTGCCCAATTTCTTCAGCAAAGAGACTAAACACAACTCACCTACTCTCTTCCAGCAGCCGCTTGTTTGTAGGCCAGTCCATTACAGACTACAGCGGGGTGACGCAGCTCAAGGAAGAACATTTATGATCATCTCTTTATGGAAATGCAATCAGACCGAGACGCTAAGGCAGAAGACCTACTGTGTCTGCTGAGCAAAATGATTAATATGGTGATAATTACTTTAAGGTGAAGTAATTATCAAAAATGTTTTTCCTAAGTTAATTTTACGCTGGAATATCCCAGAATTAGTCCTGTACTCTACTGTTCTGACAGTGAACACTGAAAATGATTCATAAAAAGCGGTTTATAACAAAAAAAACAAACAAATAAAAAACAATCCTGTATCTTTGCCTTTAAATACAAGCTCCACAAAAAAAATCAACTGAAGGTAAAATGAATTAACAAACATAAATTTGAATTACTTAGATTTCAAACTTAATGTTTATCTTGTCTGTCATCTGTCTGCAATAATGACGCTGAAACCCAGTCCGTCCTGTAATCTCTGCTCAGATTTCTCCGTCTCCTCCTCTCACCTCCCTAATGTTACCATCACTGAATGTTTTCATTGATCTTCTGAACAATAAGTTGTATAAGAAGGTTAGGTAACATCATATTGATTGGTTTTAATGCCTCAAGCTTGTTGTTTCATGTTTTCATCTCTCTCTCTAAAGGTTAAAGCTTGATGGACCTCTGCTCATCCTGCAGGAAATACTGAGAAATTATTCAAGCTGAAGAGTCAAAAAGTTTGATTGACACTCTTGATGTGGGTACAGGGGTGCAAAGGTGGAAAGGTATATTTTGAGTAGTAATACACAGAAAAAACTGAGACTGTTTTGTGTATGCACAAAGGTAGTATGCACATTTAAAGGAAAAGTATTGCACATAAACAGAGCTAATCACAAGTTTACTGTACAGAGTAAGTATTGTGTAAATATGCAGATGAATTATTGCACATATACAGAGGAAGACTAAACTCAGCTGAGGAGTATTTCTGTAAGCAGTCGTCTCATGTTTCTACTTTAAATTAAAATCTAATTGCAGCTGCTCAGATGAGCTCCTCTGGTGGTATCAGGAAATCACACACAGACCTGCACACAGGGATCAATTCACCGAGCAGCACAAATCCTTCACAGAGAGTTTGAATAGCTTTTTTAAGATATCATTTTTAACAATAATTACAGATTAAAAAGCTGGTCTGGTCCCTCTCTTTCCCTTCTGTCAGAGTCCTTTTTGGTGTTTTCAATTCTGTCAAAATGTTCTTACAGGAGACACTAAGGTATGTCTGGTAAATAGTGGACTTAAACTGCAGGCTTTTGTAAGTTGTTTTGCAAAGAATAGTATCTGTTTACTGTTACTGGAAAGGCTTTTAAGACCTGAAATAGCACTAAAATGAGAGTGAAGCTGTTATTTTTAGGTTAAATAGTTTCATTTTGTTGTTTCAAGTGGAAGCTAATGAAGATTTGAGTTGTATTAAACTGAGAGAGGCCTGTGTTTGACTGTGAAATCTCCTCTTTGAAATGCTAATGTTGTTTGTGATGATCGTACCTGTTTTTCTCCCTAAGCTGCTGCTCTCTGTTTAACAAATGAGGCTGATTCTCCCTCAGAGCTTCACAAAGACTGTTACTGAGGAAACATCTCCACTGGAAAAAAAAACAAAAACAGTCATATTAGCTAAAAGTATCATGTTTTGGTCCTTGGAGTAGCATTCATTAGAAATTAACAGCTTGATTAGATGATTACTGATTGTGGAACCATTCAGCAGCATCTCTGTGTCCACTGGGGGGCAGTCTCCCTCTATAACAGCAGCCCATCTGTGATCCAGTATCAAACCCTTAAACGAAACATGTACCTTTTGAAAGGTAGTGGGTCTCTCTGCCCAGCCTAGCTTACGTAACCTGGGTGCTGTGTTTGACAAGGACATGTCCTTGGACCACCACTGTAAACAGTTGGTGAAGAATTGCTTTTATCATCTGAGGAACATCGCTTAACTGAGGTCTATGATTTCAAGACCTGAAATGGAGGTGATAATTCATGCTTTTGTTTCATCCCGCATTGACTACTGTAATGCTGTTTTCATGTGTTTCAACAAAAAGGCTGTAAATCGCCTTCAAACTGTCCAAAATGCAGCTGCAAGGCTTGTAACTGGATCCAGGAAAAGGGACCATATCACCCCAATTTTATACTCCCTACACTGGTTACCTGTTAATTTTAGGATTCATTTTAACATTTTAGTTCTTGCTTTTAACCTTCCTCCTGTGTTAGTTTTTACTATGCACCCAGTATGTTGAGGGTCGGTTTTGACCCATGTCTTCAGCTGTAAATGACACTAAAAATAATTCTCTATTATCCAATTTGGTTCTCATCTCTGGGTTACCTTGTGAGGCTTCATTATCCATGAAAATATTGTAACAGTTTTTGTAGTGGTCCTCTGGGCCTTTCTTTGTCAGTATACCCCTCACACAGACATCTATACTGAATTGATCTCATGTCTGGACATGTCCGATGTTGTTTTTTGTGCAGGGAAAAAACATGGCAAAATGAGAATTTCCTAAATCTCACATGATTGGAAGAGGATCTGACTGTCAGTGCGGTGCCGGACAGAGCACATATGATTTTAGTTTTTGCTCTAATTATTAAATATTAATATGACCGGGTCGACAGTGACCATAAGTTTCATAATTTTAATAAGAGCATTTCATCATTTAGTCAATTTATATTTTTTATTTTGTGGAAATAGAGATTTCTGACAAAGTCAAAAAGTCTTGATGCAAAAAAACATAATTTAAGTGGTTCTTTTGAGCATTTAAATACAAAAACAGGTTGGTGCAGACCCTAACACAGGAGGAGGGTTAGAGCCCTCCATGATCAAGCTCCCTCTTACATCACTGAGCGGCTGAGACCCTATTCCCCATCACGTTCACCAAGGTCATCAGACCACAAACTCTTGATGGCCCCTCGCACCTGTTTTAAAACACGAGGTCACTGCTGTTTCCAGACCAGTGCCCCACAAACACTGACCTTACGTAGCATAGAGTCTAATGAATGTTTTAAGAAAGAACTTTAAACCTATCTTTTTAGACAGGCTTTTAACTGATGTCGATGTTGTGGGTCCTCTGTGAAGTGCTTGTATCTATGCCATTATATGGATTGTGTTTCTCTGTATTCTGTTGCATTTTATCCTTGTTGTAAAGCACTTTCTGATTTTATCTATAAAAAGTGCTATATAAATTAAATTTACTTACCTTCCTACTTACTTAAAAGACAACAAAATATAGAATAACTCGGGAAATCAACCCCATTCAAGAACAAAATGTGGTCTACTCATATAGAAAAGTTGGGATTTATACTATAATCGTCAACAACTCATCATAGAAATGCAGAGACTTGTAAAATAATCAACTGGTCAAAAAGATCTATATTAATATTAAATCAAACATGTTATTTTGTAGTTCTTACCTCCGGTTTACCAGGTCTTTCACTTCCTGTCTTTGTGTGCTTCATGCCCTGTTCTCTCCCACCCGTGTCCTGTTAGTCTCACCTGTGTGTGTCTCGTTGTTCCCTTTGCCTCCTCATGCTCCTGGTTCCTCTGATGGAAGTTCATTCACAAGTATAATGAGCAGGGGGAGCGAGTATTTGGACCGAGAAATGACAGGGGACGTCTGATTGAACAACAGGATAAGAAGATTAAGAAACCTGCCTGTGAGGGTGAAGAACAGTTTTACCTTTAAATGTGGTCTTAAACTGAACCGAGTCTAAACCTCGATCCAGAAAATTACTCTGTATTGAAGAACAAACTGATATTTTAAATATTAAGTCAGTCACAATTAATACAACATTTTACAGAAGAGTTAAAAAGAAAGATAAAGTAAGTGGATGACTTCAGGGAATCTCCTGAATCCAGTTCATTTGTTCAGTGTCCTAAATGAAGCCTGCAGCTCTCATAAATTACCATCTCATTAAGATTCAGGGTGAAAACACATTAAAATATTCATGTGCTCTCAGGCTCCACAGCCCCACCTTTAATTAGATTTAAATGACACGGCTTTGTCCAGAACAAACGAGGAGCAGCAGCAGTCAGTGTGCACCCATAATGAGCTCACCTGAGGAGGACTGGAGGATGGAGACCCCCCGTGGAGGAGACCTTCTGTGAGGGGACAGGGTGAAGTCTGGTAGTCTAAAGCTTAAAGAGAGAGGAGCACACCTGCAGAAACTTTTCCTAGGTGTTGTTTCAGTCAGTTGAGAAGTTGTCATGAACTCTAGAGGCAAGTTGAAGATTTTCTATTGGCAGTTTAAGCTCAACAAATCAAATCAATATCTTTCAATGATTTTGAGCAAGTCATTCATGCTTTTATTTTCCATGATTGGATTACTGTAACGCTCTTTACATCTGTGTTAATCAGGCTTCCCTCCCACGCTTATACTTAGTCCAAAATGCTGATGCTCGCCTTTTGACAGGTAAACGTAAACATGACCACATCACCCCAATTGTGGCGTCCCTTCATCGGCTTCCTGCCCATTTTAGAATTTATTTTAACATTTTATTGTTTGTTTTTCAATCTTTAAATGGATCAGCACCACAGTACATTACTGACCTCTTAAATGTTTACACCCCCACACGTTCCCTGAGGTCTGCTGATCAGCTCCAACTCGTGGTTCCAAAAGCATGACGGTTGTGTGATCTCTGTCTTTTTACGTCCTTTGTGGTCCTTTTATCACTTTTATTTCTTTTATGCTTTCATGTTTTTATTTCATTTATTTTATTTCATTTTTACCTGCTTTTACTTATTTTATCTTGATGTTTTCAGCATTGTCTGTTCTTTTAATTTTACTGTGCAGCACTTTGGTAGACTTGAACGTTTTTTAGAATGTAATATATAAATAAAGCGGATTGGATTGGATACATGAGGATGATTTAAAGCTTTTTCTTGTCACAGCTCTGGTTATGGATGATCCATTCAGCTCAGATGACCACTTTTAGAAAAAATAGGGGGGCTCACAGAAAGTTGAAGCCCATCATCTGTCTCCTTATATATACAAATACCATAAGAAAAAACAGACAGCACCTACAAAACTGCCTAAATCAGCACTAATACAACATAAAAAAACACAATTCAGACAGACCATGAGCTGTCAGTTATTCTCAGCATCAAACTAAATAATTATTCATGTTTTATACACAATAAACTGAGCTCCACCGTCATAGGCTAAGAACGGACTGAATAATCCCGAGAATTAAACCTGAGGCATATTTTTATTAATTTAAAAAAAAATTATGATACAATTATGGCTGCAAAGGATTTGTGGGCTTCATATGATAAACACTCAAATACAAACACAGAGAAAAACAGCAACATATGAAAACACTGAACATCCCGTCCTCAGAGATTCACTCAGTAAATACCAGAAGTCAAACTCAAACAAACACCAGGAGTACGAACCAGGCGAGTCTCAGTTTAACTGTAAATAGTAAGCTACACAGAGGCTTCACAACCTGAAACTAATATTCTTGTGATTTTCTTCAGTTTGCTGAAATAAAAACATAATGAAGCAGGATAGTAAAAAGTCAAAAGTCAAGATTTGTCAGGTCTGTCCGCAGGAGGAGAAGAAAACAACCTTTAAATCTTTGTTTGTTGAATAGAGGTCAGATCCATTATTTCTGATGCATTCAGGGAAGTCGGGAAATATAAACGCTCATTGTCTTTAGTGACTCAGCATCAAGCAGATTAGTGTCTCAGTGTAAATGTTTGATGTAGACCGAAGATGCCCTTGGATTAATGACTTTTTTTTCTCTGTGTAAGAAGATCCTCTCATGTTTTACGAAGGATTATCTCGCAGAGAGCACAAACCAATGAATGGAAAATATGGGATAGTAAAAATGTTTTTGATAAAACAGAGTCCTTGTTTTTTGAAACAGTTTTTCAATAATTCATATTCCTCCTTCTTTCCTCTCTCAGTTAAATGATTAAACTGCTGCACGCTGCAGATGGACGCTCTTCTTTTCATTTCAATACAGAAACGTCTGAGCGGTAAAATCTTTTTATTTATTAAAACATTTTTCTAAACCTGGATATGCAGCTTGTTCTACTTGAAATACCTTTTATTTGCTTTTAGTTGGATTTCTGTCCTCTAGGGTGAGGAAACATCAGAGCATCAAAATAATGCAGATCCATCAATATTTCAGCATTTCCAGTTGTAGAAAGTCGATTTTCTTTACTTTTTCAATCCAAATGGAGAAATAACATTCAGTGATGTGCTTTACAGCGTGCCACAGAGGTGTACTTCTCATACAGCAAAGATAAACTAAAGCAGAGTGGGTCCTATTTTTCCTCGATGAATGTCAATTTTTAATAAAAAGGACTCGTCTCGCTCTGACCTCACTCACTCGTGTTTAAATCTGAGGTCACTCTGCATCAGTTTGGTCGCTCTGCTGCATGTCCTCCATCAATTTTTCATCTTTGCAGGGTGCCAGCTTTCAGCAGAAACCAATCAGTCATCAAATACATACGCTTCTCAGTTTGCATATGTTCAGATTCATTATACCTTACTTCAACAAACTATAATGACAGACACCTGGTATGGTGTTACTGCCAGACAGTATTAAGTTGAAATTGAGTAAGGGTCAAACACACCATTAACACCGAGTTAGACACCCCGTTGAGAGATGAATGTTGCAGACCGCTTGCTTCTTTAGTTATACCAACTTTAGGGACGACCGCAGATAGCAATACAGAGAGCCACGCGCTCAACCAAAACGCCACTCTATAGCCACAAATAATGCTCAGAACAGCACCTAACTTCATCAACAGTACATATAGGGTCCAAGACATAGCACTAGCCACCAAACATCTTTTATAACTTTGCCTAATTTCTTTAGCAAAGAGACTTAACACAATTCACCTACTCTCTGCCAGCAGCCGTTTGATGTATGGAGACCTCGGAGCGAGTCCATCGACTGCTGCGGGGTGACGCAGCTCAAGGAAGAACATTTATGAGGCATTGAAGTCCAGCATCATATCAGGCTTGAACCAGATCTTGGTAATGCAGCAACAGACTCCGATTCTAAAGCTAAGACTACTAAAGGCTTTTTACCTGATCTAGACTAAGACTGTTAAGGGTTTAGACTGCTACACGCTTACTTTGTGTTCACACCAAGTGCGAATAAAACCAATGAACTGCTTAATTCGCGTGTTTGTATCGCGTCTATAGAGTCCAATCACACGTGTGATAATGGGAGAGTCTGTTTACATCAAACATAGCAGAGGTTGACCTCACTGTGAGGATCTGTTTTGTTTAAACAACTTACCTCATAATTACATCTCCTCACTCTCTTTCCTCCAGCTGAGTTCTTCCTGTCTCAGTGTCACAAACTAGTTTTATCCTCCAGCTCAGGTGGCTGTGTCGATTCATCCTCCATTTTCCACCTGAGTGAATCTCTGCCGGTCTGCTGTTGACTACGTCATCGGGGTGTCTCCATTCTGATTGGTTCTCACGACGCTAATAGCCTGCTATTAGAACTCTTATGGGCTCAGACTGCTTTTGAGTTACATTTGTATGGTCATGCTACTTTTACTTGCCAAAGTGTTCTGCTCTTTGTTAATATGTAGGATAACAGTTGGTCTTCTATTACTAGATGGGACTCAATCGCATCTTATCCCAGTATTTGCTTTTTGGAATAAGAGTCCAAAGATTATGGTCTTGACCTTCCTTGATTATGTCATGACATTACATTTGTTGTGACTTATGAATAAAGCCTTTTTGTTTGGTAAATGTTGGTACTCTGATTTCTGGAATTGAAAACAAGACTCATCCTCTTGTGATTTTTATGGCCAAATCAATAATTAGATTGTTGTCTGTCCAAATAAGTCAAACCCTGAGATCAGTCTTTATTCACAGCATTTGTTTTTAAAAATGACAGTCATTACATCTTCTATTCCTTTGAATATTCAGAAAACTGTGCTCTCCTCCATCCTCCCTCCTCTCTTCTTTTGTCCTCTGTCCTCTTCTGCTGGGTGGTATCTGGTCGTCATTCTGGGAGGTGAGTTCAGCTTTTCTCTCTTCAAGCCTCATTTCTTCCTCTGCAGACAATGAAATGAGTCTGAGAGCATGCTCACTGAAATGCACATCACATATACATCATATACAGACTCTCTCTCTTTTCTCTTTCCCTCCACTAAATGTTCTGAAGCAAAAGCTTTTAAAAAGACATCTCTAGCCGCCTGTAGAGATTTTTATGGGTTTTATTTGGCCTTCAGGTCTCAGAGGATCACATCAGCCCTGAAAACTCCATTTAGCAGGAACACTCTGCTCTTTATTTGTCACTTTTATCTGCATGTTATTTAGTATGAGTGCTAAACATTTCCCCTCTGTAGTAAATAAAGCTGTATAAATGTAAGGAAGGGTGAAGGGAATCACTTAAAAGTATCAAAACATAAAACTATTTTTAAAGCAGAATTGAGTGAAAGTTAGAGGAGAGTAACCCTGCAGGAGAATCTACAACTCGGCTCAACTTATTCAAAACGGAGTCATCCCAGCCCTCTATATCAGGACCTGACAGAGCGGCTCCTGGTACAAGCCCTGTAATATCAAACACTGACGACTGCAACTCCTTACTGGCAGGCCTCCCAATGTGAGACAGAGATGATGATTTATCACTTTCTGCTCAAATATGTGCTTTCTGGTGTCAAACTCCACCCTACCTAACTCTAAATGGGCCATAATTTACTAAATGAGCATCATGCCGTATTGAAGAAGACTGTTAACTAGCGATTAAGACCATAAACTCATCAACTGTGTGCGTTTGAATTGCGGTGTGTCTCCTCTCTCTGTCATTAGAGGACAGGTGGATTGTCACACAAAGTGATTAGAGGTAATCATGAATTATTGCTCGGCAACATCTGCCCGCTGTCACTCGTCTCTTTGCAGAGCCACCGTGCGTGTGTGTGTGTGTTTACGCACGTGTGAGTGTTTGAGTAACAGAGAGGCTCATTAATGTGTAATCAGCTCAGACGTGGAGGTGTTGCTCTCTCATTAAGCTCTCATTGAGTTGCTGTGTTTACACTGAGGATGAGCTATCAGCTCCAAACCCATCAGGGACATCAGAGACTGGGAGTAAACTTTGCTTTGTACACTGTACAAAGTTTCTGTACTGAGCCCTGTACCCGAACAACAAGGACGATGAGAAGGTTTATTCAGTGGAGCAGGTCTTTATTTAGACACAGCTCTCAAAGAATATAAACATTCAGAGAAGGAAAGAGAGCTACCTCGATGACAAGGTGACCTCTACTCTAATCTATGAGACTGTATTATATAAAATGATGCACTATGATAAGATATGGTGTGATACAATAGAATCAGAAAAAACAAAATGATACAGGACGATACCATACCACACATATCATACCGTACAATACCGTAACATATGATAGGACACAATCTGGTAAAATACAATACAATGCGGTAAAATACAATACGATACAGTACGGTACGATATGATATATGATATGATACAATATGATACGGTACAGTAAGATACGTTACATTATGATACAATATGGTTAGATACGATAAGGTAAAATATGCTAAGCAAAGATACAAAACAATGTGATACCTAGGACACGATATGTTACGCTATGATACAATACGATACGAAATGAAACATGATACAATATGATACAGTACAATACGTTATGAAATAATGCCATACGGTACAATAGGATATGATTTGTTTTTGTATGATATGATGCAATACAGTTTGGTTCGATAATGTGGGCTATGATACTGAACTGTGATATAATACAAAATAATATGTTATGATGCGATACATTACAATAAAATAAGGTATGGTAAGGTATGATATTGCACCAGAAGATATGATACATTATGATAGGATATGGCACAATTTAACTATGTGATACAATATAAGATAGTGTGATATCATTCCATACATATCTTACCATACAATACCGTAACACATGATAGGATACAATCTGGTAAAATACGAAACCACACAGTCTGGTACGATATAATATGATACAATATGATATATGATATGATAAGATAAGATAAGATATGATGCAATACATAAGATACGTCACATTACGGTACGTTACGATACGTTATGTTACGATACAATATGGTTAGATACACTAAGCTAAGATACCAAACAATACGATACCTATGACATGATGTGTTACGATATGATAGGATATGATATATGATATAGTCTGATACGATACAATACATTATTTTTTTACATTACAATAAAATAAGGTATGGTAAGACATGAGACAGCACCATAAGATATGATACATTATAATAGGATATGGCACAATTTAATATCATACGATACAAGACAAATGGTGCGATATGGTATTAAATAATATGATACAGTACTACAGGATATCATAAGATACAGAATATCAAAATAAGATATGATTCAACATGGAATGATATGTTAAGGAACGATAGGATTTAATGAGAACTTGCTCTTGGACTTCAGCGCTGCATACACTTAACCGGATTTACAACAGTGCCAATAAATAAAACAATTTGAAAAAAGGTCTTGATACCAAGGAAGGCTGGATGGCTTTAAGTAACATCAGTTTGTAAGAAAGACTCGGCGGGACCTCGATCCTCCTTGTAGGTCTCTTCTTGTCAGAGCTCCACAGACAGCTGTGAGTCTCTTCAGAGGGCAGATTTCTGGTTCTCTGAAATCCTGGAGGGTCAACAGGAAGGCGGAGCTGAGGAGAATCTCCTCTGATTCAGATTTCACAGAAACGGTGAAATTCTCATCCTCAAGGGAATCATCACACTCTGCTTTCATCACGCTCCCAGAAGAGACTTTAATCTTCCTCAAAAAACCACAGAAGAAGAAGAGGAAGGGGAAGAGGAAGCTGCCGAGTGACTCTGAGCAGAAACTGGGAGCCAAATTAATTTCAGCCTGCAGCTCTGCGGCTCAGCAGCTGACAGTGACTGATAAATGAGAAGATGCAGAAACAGAGCGGAGAGGAATAAAAACAGACATAAAACATTAGAAATAATGAAAAAGAATGTTATCAGAGTGAGCAGGCAGACCTGCGGCTCTCTGGGAGAATTTAGATGTTTCAGAGGGAGGTTTGCAGATCCAGTGAGGATGAACGGGCTGCCAGATGGAGCAAACAGTCAGACCGTAAAACAGGTTCAATCCAGCAGCTGCAGGTCAAACAATCAGACTCTCAGTGCCATCGATAACCCTCACATCAAGACTGGTGCCTCCTGAAGACTGCCGGGTGTCTCAGTTTAACAGATTTACACTCTGGAGGACCAGAGACTGTGGGAGAAAACTGCACAGTTTATATTTATCTTGATAAAAACAGAGCATGGAGGAGAATATACACACAACAAAGCTCTCTCTGCAAAGCTATGTCAGCTGAGCCGTCTAAACCTTCCACAAACTGAAGCCAAATTTCTCATTTCTAATGTGCAAGTTGTTTCTGAAAATAACCCACTTACTCTCACTGTAAAGAGTTAGATTAAAAACTTATACAACTGTGGAAGCTATTTTGTTTTATTTCTCTATGAATTGTCCTCCTTTGGTCACCTGATAATAAGAAAATCCCTACATTACAATACTCCAAAACTGCTAATTTATTTCGTGTTTGTTATGATTGTTAAAATCATGAAATGAAAATCAATGATTGGTTTAGAACAGAACAGCATCAGATACGATAAAGAGAAATATTCTAAAAACTCTTAAGAGGACTTTACAAGACAAAAGAAGTGGATGGGTTGGCTGAGGGAGAGGTCTGGAGATGGGTGACAAAATGAAGAGGAGGAGGAAGAGGCAGAGAAAGAGGAGGTAGGGTAGGAGAGGAGTGGAGAGGCTAGGATGTGACGGGATGGAAACAGAAAATCAATGGTGGAAAAGTGGCAGCAGAAGAAAACAGAGACACAGGAGAGCAATCTGAGCTGGAGCAGGATGTGTGGAGTTTAGAGCTGCAGGGTCTGGAGGGAGTCTTTATCTCGAAGAGGAGAAGGAGGAGGAAGCAGAAGAGGAGGAGGGTTTGAAGGTAGGTACGTTAGTAAATTTGCAGAGGTTAGAAAAGTCCAACAGGCAGAAATAGCAGCTCTGTCTCTTTACCTTAGAGACCCAAGAACCCAAGTTCTGTCCTCTTCCTCCTTTACCTTTCCATTCATCCATCCATCTAACCATCATTCATCTGTCTCTTCCTATTTTTCCATTCTTACGTCCTCTCTCTCTCTCTTGCTCCCTACCTCCCTTTGTTCCCTCGCCTGCCCTTAGTTGAATCAATCAAAACAGTGTCACATTCGTATTTATCAGCTGATGGTGAGACAAAGCCAGTTCACACAGCTGTAATATTCGTACAAGAAGAAAAGTAAAAGATATAACAGCCTTTTAAAGCTTGAATTAACAAATAAACAATGACAAATAAATCCAGTAAAAAGGATTAAAATCATACTTGAAGATCTAAATCCTTGTTTTGTTTTTTCAGAAACAACATGCTCTTTATTCATAAAGTCTGAGAGAGAACAAGGCAGAATATCCAGAGTAACTCAGACTGAAGCAGAACTCCTGTCTTTGTTACATGTTGGACATGATCGTGTTACAGAAATCATCTTCTCGCAGTTTTGACACTGTGTTCCCTGCTGCTTCTTCATGCTCTAACTCCCGTCATAAATCCATCTGTTCCTCTCTGCTCAGACACAAACAGGAAATCTCTCTGTGAGCAGAAACAAACACTCACCTCTCTGCTCTGACAGATTTTCATGTTGTCTTTCATAAATCCTCTCCTCCTCGCTGGAGCAGACGCTCAGAGCGAACACCGACACAAACACTGTCAGAGTGTCAGCGAGCCGGGGAAACAGAGTGACAGGGAACAAAGGGAACACCTGGAGCGACAGGTGAGGATGGCAACCAAGACTCAGGCTCTATATGACATAATGGTGCTTTTTTTAAACCCTGATTTCACTCTACATCAGACATATCAGGTGACTTTATAGTTGTGTTGTTAACCCTGATATCAGTGTATCTGTGTGACTGCAGCAGGGAGCTGTTTGAGGTTACAGAAGTTTAACTAACCCTCTCAGACTTTAATGATGCCAGACTTTTACGATGTCAGACTTTAATGATGTTGGACTTTAATGATGTCAGGGCTGCAGTGTGAGAGTATGAGAGAGTCTGTGGCGACTACAGATGGTATGAATATGAGGGATGACACCACACATTAGCATCAAATGAAAACAAGGGCGATCCCATCAATTTGTATCAATTTGTAATTAATTAAACAAGTAAAACAACAAACAAATAACAGGGAAAGGACACTCTGACAGCTCCCCTGTGCGACTGTAAGACATGCAGTAGGGAGACGTTTGTGGATATCGAAGGTTGCAAGGATCAGATGTTGCTGTTTCTGGATTGCAGAGGCTGCAGATGTGTCAGGCTGGAGAGGCTGAAGGCTGCAGCTGTTGTAGGATGCAGGTTGCAAAGTTGTAGAGGTTGTAGAGGTTGCAGAGGAGAAACTTACGGTGGCCGAAAACTGCCACTGCTTCAGATAAAAAAAGAATGCAAAAAAAAAAGGAGTCACATTGGAAGTTTGCAAAAGATGCAAAAGAAAGAAACCGAAGCCTGCTGCAAATAAAAAAAGAAATGTGCAGATAAAAAAGCCATAACGGAAGTTCATGACGCAAAAAAAAGTGGCAATGGGAAAAAAAAAAAGGGGAAAAAGATGCAAAATGATATGCTTCTTTGCTCGTCTTCTTATCGACATCTTCTATGCCTGGATCATAAAACACCGGTGCATCATCATTATTGGTCCCCAGCAGCTCACTTCCATTGTGACTTTTTTATTTGCATCCTTTCATTTTTACAGTAAGTTCTTTTTTTTTTACCATCGCCACTTTTTTTGCGTTGTTAACTTCTGTTGTGGCTTTTTTTATCTGCACCGTTTCTTTTTTTTTTGCATCAGTAACGTCCGTTGTGGTTTCTTTTTTTTTGCATTCTTTTTTGTTTGCAGCAGTGGCGGTTCTCAGGCACCGTAGAAATCATTCCAAAATACAGGAGAAAACAGAGCGTCTCCAGCCTGTATATGAAGCTGCTGCAGGAGGATATTTTTCTTCCAGGATGCACCAGTGCTGGAGTATGTTTTCAGCCTGATAACCAGCCGCCCTCTTGCTCTGACAACACCCTCACACTCTGCTGCTGAGACGTCTCTGTTATGAACTGACCGTCAGATAAACACAGCCCCCGTCTCCTCTCAGCTTCTCTTGAGCTGGAGATCAGTCTGGGTCAGAGGTAGGGGTAGGGGAGAGATCCCTCAGCCTGCAGGCATCTGTCAGAGAGGTGAAGCTCTGATTGGTCAGATGTGACGTCATCACAAAACATTATGAAACTTATTTTAACCCTCAGTGAACCTGAAATACTCTTAACATGCTGTGAGTTTCATGAAGTCCGAGCGTCTTTGCTTAGTTTTAAAGAACCAAAGATATTGATGAGGGAATAAAACAGTAATGGACACATTCATTAACTCTTAATTTGCGTTAAAGATCCATTTATCACCAGAGTTTGTGTCATATAAGTCAGAGAGTTCATGTTTTAACTGTGCAGCTCAGTGAGCTCCCTCTCTTTAAATCAATTACAGTGCACTGTTTTCTCCTCCCAGCATGCTTTGCCGCTGTGACCTTGCAGAAACAGAGACGAGACGCAGCACTAATCAGCGAGATGTAAATCAGCGGGAGCGAACAGATCACTGACCGCTGAAAAAATGTCCTGTTAGAGGACAGGAAGTCAGAGTCTGCGGATACGAAAGCCCACTGAGACACAGACACACACACACACACACACACACACACACACACACACACACTCAGAGGGTAAAAATGTATAGCAGTTGCGGTGCTTTCAGGTCTCTTTAACACTCAGAGCTCAGCAGTCTGTCCTCTTATTCGGTTTAATCAGAATAATAGAAACAAAAGACGAAACAAAGTGTGAAATTAAACCCAAAGCCTGAAAAAGGAGGGAGCTACAAGGACGGCCGAAGAGGTTACGAAGTTAGGGAGACGCTCAGTGCTGGACTCTGCAGGCCTCAGAGCTCATTATTGTCTTCAGAGATAATCCTCCACCACAGAGACTGACTTCTTGAGGGAGTCCAGCTCATGTCCTTCAGTGTTACACAGACTCCTGTTCTGGGAGCAGCTTATTAACCTGAGCAGAAACTGGACACTTCAAACTTGGATCTGGAGGCTGAATCTGTTCAAACAGAGAATCAAAGCTCTGCTGTTTACACCCCCTGTTACTCTCTGATTGAGGGTTGAGACCAGAAGGAATCAGAATTAAAGAAGCTCCTTATTATTCCCCTCCTGAGGGGATTGGACTGTAAAAGCCTCCTGCAGCAGAGCGCGCCGAGATGAGCTGTTTGATAGTTTCTCTCTCTTTATATGAACAAAGTGACTCTTTGAGTTTCTTCAGCGTCTAAACGGATTAAACCGCAGGTTCATTAAAGCTGCTTTGTGCTCCGAACAGGACAGTCGTGTTCGCTGACTTTAAATCACTTTCCCTTACTTTTCGCTCTTTAGCTGAAACATTTCTGATTAAGCTGTGGGCTCTCACTCCTCCTGCGCTCCGTTAATCAACCATGTAATGACTTTAAATTGGATAAATCACTCAGACCAACCCTGTTAGAGAGCCCAGCTGGCTCTGTTTAAAGCAGCCCAAGAGGAGGAGGATGGACGAGGAAGATGGAGAGGTTCAAGCATCCTGAATCTCTCCTCTGTGTCTCATTTATTTAATTTAACTGAGCCTCCAATAAGAGAGAAAGAAAAACCATCAATCTGAGGATGAAGCTGATTAAACATTCAGAGCTCAAAGTTAAGTTTTTGAAGACCCACTCTGATGAAAATCATGTTTTTCTCTGGCATTTTTCTGATGCTACAGGACATATCATGAGAAAACTAAATGCGAAATTTCTTTTCTGAGTATTTCTTCATTCAAATTGCTGTGAATCTTCGGCAGATCCAAAACGGCAACAGTGAGATGTCATACGTAACTAATCCAAGCTCCGTCCCTGGAGCCCCGCCATGCAGGCCACGCTCTGCATATAGAGGAGAAATACACGGGACGATCCCGGATAGCAAGGCTCGTAAAAAAGTGAATTATGATATTAGCTTTCGTCGTGTCCCTAAAGACATTAGTGTCCAAGAGTTGAATAGCTCCTATGTTACCTGCCACTTCTACCACATTGACAATGTTAGGTTGCAAGCTAACGTGACGAGGAGTGTGCAGAGCAGCGCTGTTTCCGCCCACGACTCAGAGGTGAATTGCTAATGAGCAACTGGAGCTCTGCAGAAGAAAAGCCTTTGAAAACGACACAGGTAAAGCGACTTTTGGTAAAAACTTCCTAATAACAATTTAAAGAGGACTGAGAACACTTAGTTGTAAAAAAATACAATCGGAGTGGGACTCTAAATAAAGTTTACTCATTTTTTTGCAGCTTTAATGTTTTCCTTGCGGTCTTGCGTTCAATAAGTAGATTTTGGGGATTTATTTTCATCACATTTTAGTGAAAAAGACCCAAAAAAGTCAGGTGATATTGTACAAAGAGGAATGTTCACTACTTCAGGGGTTAAGGTGACGGATAAGTCAAACTGAGCCTGAATACACCGTGTTTTTTTTTCAGAGGACAAACTGTTTTAACAGGATTTGGTTTGCAGACAGGAACAGGATTGAGAAACTTTAAAATCACAGTTCTCCTCTCTTTTTAAAATGGAGTCCAAATCATGTTGAGATGATAATATGAATATGTGCCATCATCATCATCAGCTAAAGTCAGACCAGGTTTGACGCTGCAGAAAGACGAGTATTCAGACAGCAGATCAGAGAGTCTCTGAGGCTGAGACAGTCAAACCGTCCTGAGGGACAGACTAAGAGCTTCTTTCTGCTTCAGCTGCTCTCAGCTGAAAACATCAGAGCAGCAGATCTATTATTTACTCTATTCACCATCACTTACATAGAACAACCTGAGCAAACCGAGCGCAGTGTTAGTTCAGGCAGGCCATGGAGAATATCAGCTGCTCTGAACTCTGACTGCTCAGCTCTTCTGTCATCCAATCATCAAATGTGAAAATGTTTATACTCAGCCTGCCTTCACTTCCTACTCACTCTGCAAACCTCTTTGCTGCTGCTCTCCACAGCTCCTCCTTTAATGCAGTAACAGGAACGGCTCCACTGCAGAATGGCAGCGATTTTCGCCATCCGCCAATTCCTACTGGATACGTTTGTGAGGCAAATTTTGTGGCGGATTTCGGACAGCAGGAATCGCGAGAACTCACAAGTACTCGCGGATTCACGTGCAATCGTGGGATACCGAGTTGTCTCTATAAAGACAGCAACATAACCATATAAGCAGTAGATTGTGTCCTTCTAGAGGAAGAAATCCATGTCTTGACTTCCAGCATCAGCATCAACGGGGTGAAATGAAGTCTGAAAACCTTTGACTTGTTTGTCCCCATCCACATTTGCATGGTGTGATATCTATACAATCCCCCAAAAACATGTAGTATTTTATTTTGAAAAGAAGCCAAATGTTTTATTTTGTGTCTGTTCCCAACTCTCTTTCCAGCATGAGCTAATCTGTGCGAAATTTATGCGGCATGCTGCGGCGTCTGGAAAAAACAGAACTCTGGCGATCGGCTTCGGTGCCCGCTGAACCGCAGCCGATTGGAAAGAAGCCAGTGGAAATTGACACATTAACTTGAATGGAAATAATCAGCTGTGATCGGCGCCACCATTCCACAGCGGAGCCGTTGCGGAAGTGGTGGAAATTGGGGGTGATAGATAGTGACTGATGCCTGCTCTGCTCTGTACCCCAGGGTCTTTGCTGGTACTCTCCCCGCCTCAGGGTTTAGCAGACCACATTAACACGTGGAAGAACAGGAAGCTCTTAGCAAGTATCATAATCCTCTGACTGACAATCAGGAACTTTTTCATCATGCTCGTACTGTTTTGACGATGAGGATAGAGTTGTAAATTCACCCTTATGGGGCGTTCACACCAAGCGCAAGTAAAATCATTTACTTGCTTAATTCACACAAATCTAGACGCGTCAATAAATAGTATTTACTCGCTTCATTCACCCATCAACAGTAATTTCAAAGGTAATCCCTGCCAATTCAACCAGCTGGATCAAGTGATAGTCAAAGGTTTTTTACAATCTGACCTCTTCACTCACTTGCCTCCAGGCAAGCTTCTTTTTATTCCGGTTTCGGTAATTGTAAGAAAAGGTAACATATAATTCGGGGCACCCTCACACAGACTCGATCAGTTTGTCCTTTCTCATTGTCACTCTTCGTGCTGAGTAGTTATACGACGCGAATATCTGCCAAATCTTCGCCCAATTAGCGCCGCCAGAGTCATAGGACCAATGCTCTCCGGCTGAGGATGGTCCCAGTTTTTCCAGCGAGCTGACAGAGTGTAAAATAAAGAAGTGTCTGCTGGAAGTGTGTGTGTGTGTGCAGAGAGCAGATTCATTCAGAGGAAGATCTATGGCCAATTAAAAATTTAACACTCGGGTTTTCAGGCTGAACTACCAAACCAGTCAGAGCGTCTTCATCAATTAGACACAAGGATCTTCTTCTAGCTCCCAGCTCCACATCTGCTGATACTGATACACTCCATATTGATCAGACAGAGCTGTTCGGCTGCAGAGGAGTGGAGGAAGGTTTTCTATCTGTTTGACAGGTCAGCAGATGGGTTTCTTCAGAGAGGAGGAAGGCTGAGAATGAGACAGAAGCAGAAGTTGAACAAAGAAGGTAGAAAGTTTGGTGGTAGAAGTAGGAGGAGGAGGAGGATTCATGTTTCTGCGTCTAAAAAGTGTAGCAGAACAAAGCTCATTTTACAATAAATGATATTTAAAAACAAACCAAACTGTGACTGATTCAGGCTTTGGCTGAAATAGTGATTTTTACTGTGGTTTCCTGTAAAAGAGAGAAAGCTTGAAGTGACGGTCACATTGATTTGCACCTTTTTAAGCTGCAGTACGTGCTCTGTTTTAAAGAGTCCAGAGAGAGGCAACATGAATAATTTCTCAATTTTCTAACAAATCTACAACAAAAAGGATTTGTCAGCTTCTTTAGGGGTGTCTGTACTGCACTGCACAAAGAGGGAAAAGTAGAATAAATACTAACTTTTACTTCTATGAATCCTGAAAACCTGCTGATGAGTGTTTAAATCACACAGGGAGTCACAGGGAGGTGAACTCCTAAACTTTACTATTTCAACATTACTTCCTCTTTAACATCAGAGCGTGTTTCTTCGTGCACTTTTTTCTCACCTGCAGTGAGCAGAAACACCTGGATCTCTCAGTCTGGACTCTGATCAAAGCTGGACTCACTGTCTGCATGAACTCTACAGAAACAGACTTTCTGCCTCAGGCTGAAACTTTTAAATCCACCTTCTCCATATCAGCAGGGAGTCTTCACGCACCTCCACCTCCAGAGGCAGACGAGCTAAAGACTCGGTCTCTCAGGTCATGAGTCTTCGACCCCCCCTGCTGATCTGATTACATGAACAGAATCTGAAACAAGAAGGTTCAAGTGTTTGGTTTCTAATTCAGGTCGGAGTTGGACTCAACAGACCTGAGGATGTCAATTATTTCTGATGCATTCAGGAAAGTCAGGAAATTAAAACGCTGATTGTCTTTAGTGACTCAGCATCCAGCAGTAGAATGCTGCGTTCCAGTAACCTCGGCAGTCGGGTGTCAGAGCTGGGAATGTGGTTACACCCGAGTCGGCAGCGTTCCAGTAAACAAGTCGGAAAAACCAAGATGGATGCCTACTGTAAGCCGTTGCTAGCTGTTGTTAACAACTGACAGCCGTCGTTAGCCATTGTCAGTTGTTGTTAGTTGTAGTCAGTTGTTGTTAGCCATTGTCAGTTGTTGTTAGCTGTTAGCTGTTGTCAGTTGTTGTTAGCCGTTGTCAGTTGTAAGTGGATGTCAGTTGTTGTTAGTAATTGTCAGTTGTTGTTGTAAGCGGATGTCAGTTGTTGGTTGCCGTTGTCAGTTGTTGTTAGTCATTGTCAGTTGATGGAAGCGAGTGTCAGTTGTTGTTAGATGTTGTCAGTTGTTGTTAGCCATTGTCAGTTGTTGTTAGTTGTAGTCAGTTGTTGTTAGCTGTTAGCTGTTGTCAGTTGTTGTTAGCCATTGTCAGTTGTTGTTAGCCATTGTCAGTTGTTGTAAGCCGTTGTCAGTTGTTGTTAGCCATTGTCAGTTGTTGTAAGCTGTTGTCAGTTGTTGTTAGCCATTGTCAGTTGTTGTAAGCCATTGTCAGTTGTTGTTAGCCGTCGTCAGTTGTTGTTAGCCAATGTCAGTTGATGTAAGCAAGTGTCAGTTGTTGTTAGCTGTAGTCAGTTGTTGTTAGCTGTTAGCTGTTGTCAGTTGTTGTTAGCCATTGTCAGTTGTTGTTTGCCATTGTCAGTTGTTGTTAGTTGTAGTCAGTTGTTGTTAGCTGTTAGCTGTTGTCAGTTGTTGTTAGCCATTGTCAGTTGTTGTTTGCCATTGTCAGTTGTTGTTTGCCGTTGTCAGTTGTTGTTAGCCATTGTCAGTTGTTGTAAGCTGTTGTCAGTTGTTGTAAGCCAGTGTCAGTTGTTGTAAGCCAGTGTCAGTTGTTGTTAGCCGTCGTCAGTTGTTGTTAGTCATTGTCAGTTGATGTTAGCGGATTTCAGTTGTTGTTAGATGTTGTCAGCTGTTGTTAGCCGTTGTGAGCTGTTGTTAGTTGTTGTTAGCCGTTGTTAGCTGTTGTTAGCTGTTGTCAGTTGTTGTTAGCCGTTGTCAGTTGTTGTAAGCCAGTGTCAGTTGTTGTTAGCCGTCGTCAGTTGTTGTTAGTCAATGTCAGTTGATGTAAGCAAGTGTCAGTTGTTGTTAGCTGTAGTCAGTTGTTGTTAGCTGTTAGCTGTTGTCAGTTGTTGTTAGCCATTGTCAGTTGTTGTTTGCCATTGTCAGTTGTTGTTAGTTGTAGTCAGTTGTTGTTAGCTGTTAGCTGTTGTCAGTTGTTGTTAGTCAATGTCAGTTGATGTAAGCAAGTGTCAGTTGTTGTTAGCTGTAGTCAGTTGTTGTTAGCTGTTGTCAGTTGTTGTTAGCCATTGTCAGTTGTTGTTTGCCATTGTCAGTTGTTGTTAGTTGTAGTCAGTTGTTGTTAGCTGTTAGCTGTTGTCAGTTGTTGTTAGCCATTGTCAGTTGTTGTTTGCCATTGTCAGTTGTTGTTTGCCGTTGTCAGTTGTTGTTAGCCATTGTCAGTTGTTGTAAGCTGTTGTCAGTTGTTGTTTGCCATTGTCAGTTGTTGTAAGCCAGTGTCAGTTGTTGTTAGCCGTCGTCAGTTGTTGTTAGTCATTGTCAGTTGATGTTAGCGGATTTCAGTTGTTGTTAGATGTTGTCAGCTGTTGTTAGCCGTTGTGAGCTGTTGTTAGTTGTTGTTAGCCGTTGTTAGCTGTTGTTAGCTGTTGTCAGTTGTTGTTAGCCGTTGTCAGTTGTTGTTGTTAGCCGTTGCCAGTTGTTGTTAGCCGTTGTCAGTTGTTGTTAGTCATTGTCAGTTGATGTAAGCAAGTGTCAGTTGTTGTTAGCTGTTGTCAGTTGTTGTTAGCCGTTGTTAGCTGTTGTTAGCCGTTGCCAGTTGTTGTTTGCCGTTGTCAGTTGTTGTTTGCTGCTGTCAGCTGTTGTCAGTTGTTGTTAGCCGTTGTTAGCTGTTGTTAGCCGTTGTTAGCTGTTGTTAGCCGTTGTCAGTTGTTGTTAGCCGTTGTCAGTTGTTGTCACAGTTAGACGTCGGGCAGTAAAACATTTACCACTCATTGAATTTCTCAAAAACAAAACAGAAGTGCTAATAAATAAAACATTACAAGAGCTTTTACTGTTTCTCTTTACTGTTGATGCACTGAGCTGCCATCTTGGATAATGATGTTGTCAAGTTGGTGAGGATCATCCAACTCTCTGACTTCAGGGCGATGTTCCAGATAAATTGCTGACTCGGAGCTCGGAAATTCCGACTTCTAAGTACAACTGGAATGCAGCATTATAGCGTGATGATGAGCAGCAATAGTATGAGGACTACAAACAGAAAGCAGCACCAACCATAAATGTTGTATAGTGTGTTTATGAGAAGAAACATATCTGTTGGTCTCAGGTGTGTCAGGTCTTTTTTTCATGCGCTGTGATATAACATCAGTCAGTTTCACACCTGCAGAGTCTGAGTCTGTGGACACCTCTCACACCGCTGCATCATCCCCATCTCAGAGACTCAGAAAGCGTTAAATATGTAAACTCCTCTCATCTGTGAGGTGCAGCAGATTCATTATTTAAAGCGAAAACAGAGCTTCTTACATTCAGACAGAAACGAACACAAACTCTGTGATGCTCCGAGATCCTCCAGCTGAGAAAACAAAACTTGATCAAATTCAGAGTTTGATAGAAACAGCAGCATGTCCTCCGTGATGTTTGCACAGCTTTGTTCAGTGACAGTGAGTTTGAACAGACCGAGATTAATTTTCTCCTCCATGCTCTCCTGTTAATCTGATCATTCATCACTGTGATCCTCTCCACTATGAAGCTCCTCTTTTTTTTCCCAAAGCTAAAACCTCCACCTGGATCGTTTGGTGATGTCTGTGTACCTGGAGGGAACAGCTGCTGTCCCACCTGTCCACCTCACTCTCCTCCAGCCTTCATCTCTCCAGATACCGAACACCTGGACAGGTTTGGGGGGAACAGCTGCAGAGGAGTCCTGCTTTATAAATCACATCCCTCTTCAGAGCGATCTGCCCAGGACTCTGTATGAAGAATGTTTTCAGTTTACACCTCCTGCTACAGATCACATCACTCTGACCTGACCTTTGACTTCCAGCAGATTAACCTGTTGCTGTCTATGGATAATCAGTCAGCTGTCAGTTGCCATACAATGCTGTTACTGCTCTGTAGGTGAACATTAAATCTCACTTCTGTACAGCATTAGCAAATCTTGTGCATTTTGACCACCTAAATTGACCAAACAAGACATTTTTTGCACAGTCTTCTTTCTCATTTAGGTCTTAAGACAAATGAATCATATATTGTTAAGCTAGGCCTGTCATGAATCAGAGTTAAACAAAAAGGAAAGGGTCCAAATACAAAACAATAATGAACTAAATAAAAAGCAACAAAAACTTAATTATAATGTCCAACTCAAAAATCCCAAAAGGCAAAATCAACAAAAAGACACTTGGAGAAACCACATGGAGACTCACTTAAGAGACAAGCGTAAACTGAACTCGACATACAGACACACACCTTGACAAAGACACACAATGAACCAACAAAGAAGCAGGTGCAGACTATTACAGAGGAGGGAAAACTAACTGGAACACAGGGAACAAGACTAGAAACACTGGAAATAAACTACTACAAAATAAAACAGGAAACACTGAAAACTAATAAAGAACAAAACACAGAGAACATGAAGGAAACGTCAGACACAAACTGAAAACTCACAATACTGGACTACAGGGGAACAGGAACACGAGGGAAAATACACTGAAATGACCAAAACCAGGGGAAAACTAAATACCAGAACACATTATCACAAGGTCTGCATGCTTTGTGCTAATGTCAACATGGGACCTTCATAGCTCTGCTGAGAAGCACTCTTGAAATGCTGTGTGGACAAATGTCTTAGCATGTTGCTGGTGTTTCCACTCTTTCCACACTCACTCTGGTGTTGTCACACAGCCACAGATGTTTCAATACATGAGATATGAGATATATGAGATATATATGATATATGAGAACCTATTTGCATAAAAATTGGCCGGACTTTGGACAATTTTTGTCCAAAACTGTTTTGGCTCTAAGCTCGTCTACACATAAATCTGAACTGCATACTGCTGGTCAGTAATGTCTGCAGCACAGATGGACCCTGCTGCACATCCTGCAGTTACACATGTATAATGATTAGACAGTCTGCCTATCACCACTCACTAGCTGTGTTTACATGGGCACAAATAATCGGAATAAATACCAGATCGGAATAAAAAAGCGTCATGTAAACATGTCGATTGGAAGATTCTGATCCAATGCGGCTCAATCGGAAATGAATTGTATTTCGATCGAGAGGGGTGGTTTATGTCGATCATTATTCCGAAACACGTCCATGTAAATACTTATTCCGATCATGACTCTCTTACCTGACTCAGTCTTCACTCTTTAGCCTTTGGCTTATTATTGAGGCCAGTAAAGGAGGTTTCATTATTAAAACTCTGGCATGAAACACAATCGTAGTGCCGTGTCTGCTCCTCCAGTAAAATAACAAGGCGTACATACAGCATAATGATGTCACATCTGCATGCCCAGCGCAACCTTTGACAGAACAGTAAAATAAGTACACAAGAGCGCCATCTAGTGACAATATTTAACACGGGAAAAACTCCTGAATTGGATGAAGTGAGCCACTACCGCTTTTGTTGGTTTGTTGACAGCACAGGCGTAAATACAACTCTTCTTTTTCTGTGGATGTTTTAGTGAAATCAGACAACTCTGCACATGTCCAAATGCTTCTAATCTGAATAAAGCTCGGTGCATGTGTACACACGTCATGATCAGATAACTTGATTTTGCACCCATATAAACAGTGGATTCAGATTATCTGATCCTTCAAATTTTTAATCGGATCAAGAAATGTTGCCCATGTGCATTTTATATTATAACTGGAGTGATATTGTGGTTTTCATACCCTAAGGGTGAAGATCTGATATCAGAACAATCTTACTTCAAACTGGTTTTCGACTCTACTTGAATAACTTGTCAGGTGTCAGGTAAAGTTCTTCCTCATATTTTCCAATTTTAAGGTTTCATGTTCAGTAGATTCAGCTCAGATTTTAAAGGGATGTGACGTCGGCACCTGTCTTCAGCCTCAGCTCTTTTATATCCAGTCGTGTCTTTTATTTGGAGCTTTTGTTCTGAGTCCGCTTTGATCTAAACGGATCTGCTGCTGTGAGCGAGTGAACGCCGCCTGATTGAAGGAGTCTCATCTCACCTGTGTGACAAAAATAAAAGTCTAGGATAATAACCCAGCCTGTGCCTAGACACTTTGATGTTTCTGCAAGAACACAAAGGTGGAGAGAGCTGCGTGTGATCACAGAGAGGAGGAAGACTTTTTAATTAAACTCTGAAACACTGAAGCACAGAGAAGAAGAGGAGGAGGACTCTGCAAGTCTGAAAACTCTGCATGCTTACGTTTGAGTATTTCAGACAGCTTCACGGGGCTGCAGGTGGGAGGAGAATTCTGCAGAGAGACTGCAGCAAACATGGAGCTGATCCAGGTAATTATTGACCTGCAGAGAGCTGATGGCATGCATGGATATACAGCTGGAGCCTCAGAAACTTTCTGATGAGAGCTGATTTTTATGAAGCTCCAACTGTGGCTGTTTCAGAGCTCTTAAGTTTCATACCAGTATCCCTCATTTTTGCCTCTTTTTACTGACTGCTTTAAAGGGATACTCCGGCGTAAAATTAATTTAGGGTCAAACACACCATAACACCGAGTTAGACACCCCCTCGAGAGATGAATGTTGCCGACCGCTTGCTTCTCTAGTTATACCAACTTTAGTAACGACTGCAGGATAGCAATACACAGCGGTCTGAGGAGCCATAAACAAACCTCAACCAAAACGCCACTCTATAGCCACAAATAATGCTCAGAACAGCACCTAACTTCATCAACAGTACATACAGGGTCCCAGCCACAGCACTAGCCACCAAACATCTTTTTAACTTTGCCTAATTTCTTTAGCAAAGAGACCAAACACAACTCACCTACTCTCCTCCAGCAGCTGCTTGTTTGTAGCGAGACCTCAGGCCAGTCCATTACGTACAACAGCAGGGGTGACGCAGCTCAAGGAAGAACATTTATGATCATTTCTTCATGGAAATGCAATCAGACCGAGACACTAAAGCAGAAGAACTACCACATCTGCAGTGCAAAATGATTAATATGATTATTATTAAAAGGAAATAATAAAGAAATTATCATAAATGTTCTTCCTTGAGCTGCGTCACCCCGCTGTTGTACGTAATGGACTGGCCTGAGGTCTCACTACAAACAAGCAGCTGCTGGAGGATTTTAGTGAAATCCAAGCTGTGAGAGACATGTCTGTCAGTGAAAGACTTTTACGAAGGCTGCTCTTGTGTGTCCTCTCTCTGATTTCCCTCCTCTCTCCTTGATCCTTTCTCTCCCAGTCAAGTCAAGGTCCATGAGTACTTCCAGTTTGGCTGTGGACTGCTGTGTTAAACTCTTTACTTGAAGTGATTACTGATTCACGCACTTGCAAAGATATAAATCTGTTTCTACAGTCCAGTTTCTGTTTATGGTTTGTTCAGTGGTTTTGGTGTGTGTTCCTCCAGGCTGAAAATCTCTTTAACACAGCAGAAGTAGAAACACGCTCTGATGACGAAGCAGAAAAGAGACTTTGTTATCAAACGACACAACACTCTGTCGCTTTAAATATTTCCTCTCGGAGTTTAGCTGCAGCTGTGTTTGCTCTAATGAAATCAGGACTGTCTCCATTATGGAAATGAGTCTCTCTGTGACCTCTGCTCCTCTTAAAGCTGATAAATTTTACTGTGTTTGGACAGCTCCGCTCTTACAGCTGATAAATGTTGACACCGTTCTCCCCTTGGACCTCGCAGAGGGAGACGCTGCTTTAACTTTATTTTGACACCCGAGCGGATAACCACGGCTGACGGAGAGCTTCCTGTGCAGCCCGGGGCGCGATGGAGAGCAGAGTCATCACTCGAGAGGGGCTAACTCCTGATCCTGTGAGACACAAGCCTGCCAGACTACAGTGAGGGAATAAAACACACAGCTGGTGGTTGGACAGCTGGACGTACAGACTATAGATTGTATATACTATGGACAACTTAGTTTCATCTTATGCCAGTTTATGGATTTAAAGCCGAAAAGCTCTCGGTAATTCCGCATTTTTTCTCCACTTCCTGAAACCAACATTTCGCAGTAGCGTTGTACGCACTCCACCACTTGCCCAGTAGCATTGTACGGGTTAGGCAGGAGAGTCATTGAGAGTGGCTGTGATAACGCTCGGCTCAAATCCCAGGTGGCGATATTTTTTTTTGTCGGATGGTAGGGGAAAGTCCCTCCTCCTTCGGCTCTGATTGGCGAGAAAAGCTGGAAACTTTGTGACATGCTAAAGCTGAGCACAGGCTGTCGGCTCTATACATCGAACAGAACATTACAGAACATTATCGCATTTCCGAATCTCCTGACCCTAACCTTAACCCAACAGACGATGTGGTTTCACAGCCATAAGAAATAACCAATCTGAGCCCCAGAGAAAAATTTATAATCTGTGTAATAAATATCTAAAGTTTGTCCACAGCCCCATAGAGATTGCTGGAGGAGGTGGGATTTATGACCTATACTGCAGCCTGTCACCAGAGGGAGCTGTTCTCGCGGCAGCTTCACCCAGCAAGGAGGCAGACGCTGTCCATTCTATATACAGTCTATGGTACAGACGTGAACTTTGTTAAGCTCCGCCCACTCAGAACACACTCAGTCTAGCGACCAAGTTGTGAATAAGTTTGGTGTTATCTGGTCCCTCTGCAGAGAAGCTCCTGAAACATCTGTCTGAGTTAAACTCTGAGCCTGTGGGACAGCATACAGATGTTTTTTTAAAGAATAAAGTGTCTCGAACAGCTGTTTCCTCCTCTAACAGCTGCTTCTGGATCAGTTAATGATGTGGTCCACCCTTAACGTTCTGTTGTTCTTCATTAGCACCTGTTTGGAGTTATTATTATTTAATCATGCGCTCGGCTTCATGCCCACTAAACTTTTCTTATGAACAGATGCGCTCTTAAAGTTCTCTCTCCAACCTTCATATTAAAATGTATTTTTCATATTATATTATAGAATACTATACAAATATATTGTTCTTTGTATTAGCCTATATGTTATTGTATATTTCCACATATTATAATGCATAATAACTTGTCCTATCCTATGGTATCCTCCTGAATCTGCTGAGTGAACGCTCTGTGGTCAGCCTGCAGTCAGCGAGCGCACAGAAGAGGTCAGACGAGGGTTTGGAGTGAGTTATTAAATCATCAATAATACAGCATGTCCGCTCATATTCAGAGAGTTCTGCAGACAGGAGCCGGACCACAGACCTTCAGGTGGTTCAAAGGTCTGTTAGCTACAGTGTGCAGCGATCATGAGTTTCCTCTGCGGCGTAGAAATGCCAGAGAGTGATGCACAGAAAAACAATGAATTATTTATTAAAATTACACCATTATGGGGCGGTGACAGTGAGAGATTTTAGTTTGGGCTTTTTGCTGTGATCTGGGATTTTTGAAAGTTTTTGTATCAGTAACTATTTTACATAAGCACACAAAAAACTCACAAAAACATTCCTACATTTTTGGGATGAGCTGTATGAGCGTTTATATTCCAACATGCAGCAGGATGAACGACTATTGCGGCTTTCCCAGTACCTTAAAAAAGTCGCTGGAGCCAGATAATAGGTCCTGTATATTTGTGTGACACAGTGCACCCACAGTTCAGCGAGGTTTTGGAGCCTTAATAACAGAAAAAAAACACTTCCAGTGATTTACACACGCATACCAGATGTTACATGTGTACACTTTGCGACATGCATCATTGCAAACAAAGAATATAAAGCGCATTCAACAAAAATTACAGCTTCCTAGGCTCACCTCTCCACCCCAGTGCAGGTAAGACTGCCACTTATATAACCTACCGGCTTTCAAACACAGCGCCCACGTGACCCGAAACTCAGCAAAACCAACGGCAACCAGACAAAAGTAATAACCCCGTTATCCGATCAGCAAAGCAACATTGTTGCTCCTACAATTACTTATTTTTTTGGCCTTCGAGGTTTTAAAATTTGACACCAAAAATGTCTGCAGTTTTTTTAACACATAGCATTGATATAACTGTAAAACTGTCACCATGGTGCAGCTTTCTGACACACCGATTTGGATGTCATGTCCTGACTCTAGAGACTCACCCTCTCTCCCACCCTGCGTGAAAGTAAAGACTCCTCGCTGTGAAGGTCAAGTGCAGGCAAACATTTTTAGAAATGTTCAGGAGCTCTGCCCAAGAAATTTTGTCAGCGGTGTCAGTGGTGCATGCATGAAGGAAAGGATTTTATACTTCCTGTTTACTCTCATGCATGCACATATTAAGATCCAGCAGAAGGAAACTTGGCCTCCAGCTTACTCTGTGCATTTACATCTGTTTGATGTTGATTTATTCACCGTGTAACTTTTAGAGAAAAATAAATTAAATTCAAGTTTATGAGCTAACACACCCTCTCACTCTGCATTATTTTATCAGACTGTTTCTGACTCTGCACTCTGAAGAGGATCTAATACAGTCAGAAACACGAAACGGGATAAATACTGTCACAGTTAAAAGACGGAAACGAATCCCTGGAGGATTTCTGTGTCAGGATACAGACGCAGAAAGAGTCTGTTTTTGAATCTTTGTGTCTTTTTACTTTTCTAAAAGAGTGAGGCTGAAACACAGACCGGATCAAACTCTAAATCAGGATTTATCTCAGATAGATGATAAAATACAGAGACAGGAAACAGGTGGAGGGACAGAGGACAATCTGACATTTTTTTTCATTTTGTTTTTCTGATGATTTTTTACAGCCTCCGTCACAGAAGACTTATTTCCCCAGCATCAGCATTTCAATGAGCAGATTTCAGTGTTAAATACAGATTGTTCTCTGTTGAATACGACCCAAAACCAGCATTCAATAACCCAGCCTCTTTTAATTAATGCAGAATAGATTAAATGGGTAAAAGGTGGTATCACGCTGGCAGATCTCACAGCTCTAACCTCCACACAGTGTGAAATATACAGTCCAAAAATAACAGTCAGAAGTGTTTGAAGGTTTTTCTGTCAGTTTTTTCCCTGCGTATCTCTCTGCGACACAATTTAAAGCAGCTCTGTGGTTTGAAACCGACTTCACAGCAGACTAATCGTAGATTTTAATCATTAATGATAAACTATCTTTTCATTATGTCTGAGAAATATGTTGGACAAATCTAACTGTGACTTACATCTTTGCTTGTTGTCGCTCTGAGAATCACGAGAAAGATCAGAGGTGATATCTCAGGAAGTAGATCCATGCATCTGTCCTCAGAAATACTCCCATCAGGTCCAACATGATGACTTTCTGCAGCTCACAGCAGACGCCTCTGTTAACAGATTATTTTCTCAGGTTTTTTTTTTTTGCAGGCTGTTTATGCAGCAGGAGTTCAGGGACTGTAAAACAGCAGAACAACGCAGAGCACAAAAGGTCACAATATGTACAAATAAGATGCATTCATACATTTTTTTTCTACAATTACAATGTCAGTATATACCAGTGTCAGGTTTTAAGAATTTAAGATGTTTTAAAAAGTCACATTTTAATGATTTTTAATACTAATGAATAAAATTAATATCAAATAAGAAACTGAACTTTGTAGAGCCTTTTTTTTCTGGCTGAAGATGTCTGTGGATTTAGTCAAACTGCTCTATCACACATTTGAGCAATCTGATTTTCAAACATCTCCATACAGGAACTAAAATCTTCTCCACAGGGGCCAGTTATCTGACGTTTTGTCCCTAAAGTTCAAACTAAATGTCAGGTAAAGATTTGAGAGCATCAAAAGCTCCTCCGAAGCAGCCGAAATATCAAGTGTCTGATCAGATAAAATGGATCATTATCAATCCTGAGAGTCTGATTTTACTAAATCTGCAGTTCAAAATAAAATAATATTCTCTGGACTCTGATTGCTGGGTAAATTTGGAGTTAAAATGGATGAAATGGTCCTTTAAATGTCTTTAAACCTAGAAAATGTCTCCCTACAGTTGAGTATATTTATTATATAGATTTCTGAATCAGAGACTCACACAATACAGAACATATACTAACAAAAACGAAAATCTTAAAGGTTTGTTTGATCCGCTGGTTTTGAATGAACGGTTAAGTCAGGTTTGAGCTTGTTGGGGACAAATCCTCCCCTTCATGCTGGATTATCATCAATGAGCTGAGTCCACATTAAAGTTTTATTGCACTTTACCTTCACTGCTTTCAAGGTGCACTTAAAGTCTGAGGATCTGCAGCTGCATTAGAGGGAGGCTGTGTGCTCGCTGTAGGAGAGCTGAATGTTAATGTTCCAGAGCGGGTCGACTCTTTTCCTCTGAGAGGAGCACCTTTATAAACCCGCTGCTGCAGGGCGTCGGTTTCCTCCGAGTGTCTTTATAAACATACTGCTGCAGGACTTTTATATTGGGGGCATTTATAGAAAGAAGAAGAGGGGCCCCTGGATTGAGCCCTGAGGTACCCCGCAGGCCATGTCAGGTCCTATGATTAAAAAAAGGTCTAAAAGCCAGCTCAGAGATATCTGCTTTTTAGCTGCTTGTTGGAAAGCTGAGCCTAGATCTGAATGACTCAAAATAGAGGACTCCCTTTTTTTTACTTAGGTGATCATTTTCTCCTTTCTTTTCATTGTTATGCAAATGATCTGCAAATATATCTGCCAGTGAAGCCAAACAATGGCAGTGCGCACAGTTCTTTGTTTGCTTGTATTGTTGATGACTGTATTGTGTTCGGGGACACAGTGACGGCTGGCTTTGGCTCCTTGTTTCCAAATCTCAGTCAAACTGTCAGGAATCTGGGAAAAACACCTCAAGTTTGACAAACAAATTGACAATGTTGTCAGGACTAGTTTCTTCCAACTACATCTATTGGCCAAAGTCAAAATGTTTTTAAGCCATCATGACCTTGAGATAGCCATCCATGCTCTACTCAGGTCAAGATTAGGCTATTGTAATGCGCTTTATGTTGGCATCTCCTAATCATCTCTTAGTCGCCTTCAACTTGTCCAAAATGCTGCTGCCAACTAAAACAAACAAACGTGAGCACATCACTCCTGTCCTCAGCTCTCTTCATTGGCTTCCCGTCTCTTTTAGGATTGATTTTAAACTTTAAATGTTTGTTTTTAAAGCTCTTAACAGCCTCGCCCCCATCTATTTAACTGAGCTTTTAATAGTTCAGGAGGCGGGTAAAACTCTGAGGTTGTTAAATCAAATTCTGCTGGAGGTGCCCTGGTCAAAACACAAAGAAGCTCCCCACCGAAATGAGTTATTTCTGACCTGGGTCTTTTCAAATCCCGATTGAAAACATACTTATTTATGCTGGCTTTTAATACCCAGTAACGTGGTGACACTTTATTTTATTGCATTGTATTTTATTCTTTTTTCATC